CACTCAGCTACCAGAATATCGCTTTGAGGCCGTGAAGCTTTGCTTTTGCCTTCATCGCTATTCCGAAGTACTATCGTCTTCCACTGTCGAAACTCGGTTCGCGCTGTTCCGCATTTGGGTGGTCTCGAATCGAACTCCGGCCCGCACGACATCAACCGATTCACTTCCCTCTTTGAATCAGCTCAACCTGCGGCCGACTTCACATAGCCGTGTCGACAACTTTGCTATATCATAGCACTCTTGCGCCGAGTGCCAACTGTACGCTGGCCACCGTCGCGTTCTGTTCCCGCCGAACAAAGTACATACAGACACACTTACGGATATAACTGCGCTGGCCTGCACGACAGGGATCAACCCTTCCCGCTTGCTCGCGCGCCGTGGGACTTCGGCCACAACGGCCATCGTCAGAGGCCGCTGTCCTCTTATTTCTCAGATCTTAGCCATCTAGCTAATCCTCATTGGGGTTTCGACGAAACAATGGCACCCAAGGCGCCCCGTCTCAAGATTCTATCAGGTTTGTCATCCCACCCCATGCCCTTGCTCACAGCACGCCCCCCTCTTGGCTCAGCACCCAATATGCCCACCCTTGCTCCTCGCCCGTCCCAAACTTTTTAGTGTCCCGTCTCCAAGTTATTCTTTTCTTTCCCAAGCCTCGCTTGGCCAAAACAATTCCTTCCATTGATTCCAACTTCTTGTCTCTCTTTTCCTTGTGCTTTTCGTTTCTTTTCTGGCATTCCCGCAGCGTCTCGATCCGAAACTTTCGTCACAGACGGAGCCGCTGTCTAATACAGCGCTCTCTGTCCCGCCATTCGTCATGAGTGGTCACCAGCTAATGCGCATCTGCTCAGTTGGGGGCAATCCCGTCTCGGCTTTCTTGTCGTGGAGGCTCCAGGCCACCAATGCCTGCGACGTCACGCTGGTGTGGAAGTCAGGCTTCGAGCACGTCGCCCAGTACGGCATCTCGTTCAAGTACGTCGGCGCCACGGGCGGCCCTGCATCTACCCGTCTGTCATATCCTAATGTTCGAATTGCAGGTCCACCACGTTTGGCAATGAGCGTTTTAAGCCCCGGCATGGTAAGGGAAAACATTGGCTCCCCGTTCTTTCTTCTTCAGACAGGACAAGACTCGCTCACACTCCCTCTCCCCCTGTTCACAGTTGTCCGAAACCCAGAAGATGCTGCGGGAAATCGAGACGGTCCGTTCGATTACGTCATCCTCTGCGTGAAGGCTCTTCCCGATGTCTACGATCTCGCGGCCGTCATCGAATCTGTTGTTACTCCTCAGCATACCTGTATCCTTCTCAACACGACGCACTCGCTCGGAATCGAAGCCGCAATCGAGGAACGCTTCCCGACCAATGTTGTCCTGTCCCTCGTCTGTGGGGCTGAGCTTACGCAGCTCGGACAGAGCGAGTTCGAGCACAAGGGCTCAACTGACGTGTGGATCGGCCCTGCCAACCCCAATGCCAGCATCCCACAGTCCATACAAGAGGACATGGCTCAGGCCATCTCCTTGACGCTTGGCACCGGTCAGGTCAACAGTCAGGTATCCCCCAACATCCGACAGCAGCAATACGAAAGAGTCATTGGGTAAGTATCAGACCCCTTGCCGGGGATTTGAGGTTTGTGGATGTATCAGCTAACGGAAGAATGCCCACCAAGTCCAATTGCATTTCACCCCATCAGCGTAATATTCGAAACATCCAACCATGCGGCGCTCCTGGAGAAAATGGGGGTAAGAGACATGGTCTCCGAGGTCATTGACGAGTTACTGCGCGTCGCCGAGGCCAATGGCTGCAAGTTCGCCCCAAACTTCAAGCAGTCAATCATGGACGAAATGACAAGACCAAATCAGCCCGAGAGCATCATGTGGCAGGATTTTATCGCCAGGCGGCCAATGGAGGTCGAGACTTACCTCGGCTCCCCGATCAAACTCGCTCGCGATGCAAAAGTCCCTGTGCCCCGGATAGAGACTCTCTATGCCATTCTCCACAATCTGAACATTGTCAACCGCAACCGGCCGAAACAAGGCGACGCGATGGCTTTGGGCAACGGCCCCCCTGGCTCGCCGAACAACGCATCACCACTTCCCCCTCGAGGCCAGTCCCAGGCCGGCTTCCGCCCAATGATGCCCAATGGCAACGGAATGCCGCCTCGCCAACCCCGACCCAGAACGTCGTCCAACTTTAGCAACGCGGGAGGGATGCGCAGGCCTCCGCCCATGGCGAACGGCGGGCCCAATGGCTACGGCAGGCCGTCACAGCACATGAATGGTGGAGGTTCCCGCGCAGCATCTCGACGTGGCTCGATGGAAGGCAATGATTTGGAGGAGTTCTCCCACCTCGTCTTGTACGATGACATTCCGGAGGGTCAGGAAGAGACTTTGGGGTCTGAAAACCCGGACCTCGGCCTCAGAGAGCGAGAGTTGCAGCTGCGACAGCGCGAGCTGGCTTTGAAAGAGCAGGAGATGAGAATGAGGCGTGGTCCGCCTCCCCAGGCATCTGCGCCTCCTTCTCGCCGCGGGCCGCCACCATCCAGGGGTGGGTTTGACGACGATGATGATGACGACGACTACTTCGACCCGGCCATGGCCAGCAACGTACCCGTGATAGATCCAGACAACTTCGACATGATGAGCGTCACCTCGAGGAAAAACCGCAAGGTGCCCGGACCGCCTCCGTCCCAGATGCGGCGCAATCTTGAAGGAGATGCGCCGCCGTCCAAGAGCAGCAGGTTTCGGCCCTTTGGTCGCAATCGTTCCAGCCAAATGAGCCAGATCAGCCAAATGCCCACTGTGAATGACAACATCCTCGACGACCCGTTGCTGAGCTTCACTTCGAATCGCTACGGAGCCGTGGACCGCGGTGCCATGAGTGCGGGATCCCGTGCCAACTCTCTGACGGCCGCTCGGCTGGATGAGATGCAATTCGGTCCCGGGGGAGGCGGAGGCGGAGGGCCCAGCATGACCATGACTGGTGGCTACCCTCGACGAACTAGTCACTCGCCGGGAAACCAGTACAGCCCCTCGATGCGAGGTGGAAATGGTAGACCCTCACCACCAAACGGATTCGGACCTACGAACGGCCAACCATCTCCGCCCAACGGCGTTCGACAGCCCGTTCCCCGTTATCCCCCCGGGCAAGGCAACGCGGTCGCGCCTCAGCAAGTTGAACAGCAAATTGGGGTGAGCCCTCTCAATCCCCCCAAAACTATAGATGCCCGTAGTCTGACCGGCAGCGCGAGTGCCAGCGCGGATAGTGGTGAAAACGGCTCCGAAAGGTCGGCATATGGCAGTCAAGGTAGTCTTCAGCAACAACGGCCACAGGGGCAGTTGAAACCTTGATCTCACCTGATCAAGGGAACCGCTGCTTGCATCATCTTCGTCAAACGATATCTGAAATCGCCCACCTCGCGTTCAACTCACCCTTCACCTTTCTCTCATACCTCCATCTCGCGCTCCGGGATCCACACACGCACAACGTCGGCGAGGAAACGTCCTCTGCTCGGCTGCTTGCATTTACCAATCGACTCAGGCCTTCGAGAAAGCAATAACCGACAGGCTGCTTGGCGTACCATCTTCCCTCCCCTGTACGGCAACCCTCAGATTTCATGCGACAACATATCAACAACGTAGTGGAACTATCACAGATCAACCACTTGGATGAGCTTGGACTACTGATCGATCGACATTGGCGCTTTTTTTGCAATTGGACCGGACTATCAAGTCTCGTATATACACGTGGAACGAAACGAAACCGAAATCATTCATTCATCATATCGCGCATTTGCTCATGTCTCCTCTGTGGACCGACTTATACGTCGATACTGATCGACCCCCTCTAGAGGAACATTCAGGGGCGATCATGGCGCATTTTGTCGGCCCTCGAATGCATACTTCATTTTTCTTTTTCTTTTTCTAAATCAGCCCAAGCCTGAGTTTTGGAAATAAAAACCTTGCAGAAAAGCGGTTGAGCTACGACGGCATTACTTTCCTTTCCGTTCTTCATTGCGAATCAAATAGCATCTTTAGATTTCTTGGTGGTGGGCTCCATCTTCTCCCTCGCCTTCTTCAACGAATTCTCCTCTTTCCTTTCACCTTTGTCCTCGTCTTTGATATTGTTCTTCCCTTTTTCTTTGTTCATTTTTCTTTCAGCAACACGCCGCTATTATTCTTTATTAATGTGGGAGGAACAATCGGCTATCGTCTGTCCGGAAAAGTGCAACCATGGCAGGATTGTATGAATAGGATATCGCCAGGAGATTGGCGCGGCAATGACCATTTTACGTCATGTCATATCGCCATCACGCAGTCAACGATTGCTAGATTCGTCTACGATACAGAAGCGGCAGCAAAACAAACAGCGAGATATCGAGTGGCGGCAGGATGCTTGAATAATTGATAGTTGAACACACAATAAAGACATAGAATGGCAGGGCAAACAGCGTTTAATGACGGGAAGATGGGAAAATACACGGGCGGCATCGTTCAGAAGGTAGTCCGAATATAATATGGCATGCTGATTCTGACGGCAGAGCCTTTTCTTTCTTTCAACTTGTTCATGTTTTTCTCTTGCTCTCCTCGCTTCCCCCTTGAACTCGAGGCAGCGCAACACGGGGAATGGCTGCGCCGGGATGCATCTGGCAATCAAGTTTCAATTGCTCAGATACAGTTTCAGTAACACATGGCTTCATCGGAACATTGCGTCTCGGAGCCTGGATTGGGACAGTGCATGAATATATATTCTTGAGCTCATTGGGGACGTTTACAAGGTACCTTAGTTGGAGGAAGAAACTTGGAAGTCGTGAAGTTAGGCTTCAGGTGTATCACGTGAGTTGGCGTGGAGGGGCGGCGCCTCGATATCAACAACTCGCATCAACCTCTCCAGCTACGCGTCTAAACAAGCAGCTTTCAACTGAGACTTTTCACCTAATTGCATCATTTTATCAGCTGATTCTTGATTCCTCTTCATAAGCATCAGACAGTTGTCTTCTGAGAAGGCTGAGCGAACGATGGCGTCCCGAAATGTGGGTGGATCGCAGGGACTTGGGAGACAGAGCATAATGACGAGTGGGAGTGCGATGAAGTCGAGACAGTTGGTATGTGAGACTGCGATTGCATGATTATTTTTCTTCCTTTAGCTTTCCTTATGCTTTATCTAGTTTTTTCTGCCTATGCACAGCAATTGTCCTTGTCTATGAGAGACTGATTGCAAGTGCTGGTCACATGAATGTCGTATTAACCTCCCTTTTCTCGAATAGACACATCTTCACTCGCAGCTGGCGCAACTATCGGCCAATCTAGCGGACACGGAGAACTTGTTGAGAATGACGAGCGTGCAAGCGGAAGCGATGAGGGGGCTGGGCAGCTGGCACGGCGGCTTGTGAGTCTTGGAGCAGCCACCGATATGAAGCCGTGAATGGAAGCTGACTGGGAGTGATGATTTGCAGGTTTATGGCTGCGAGTAAAGTGCTTGGGGAAGAGAGTGTGAAGGAACCTGGGAAGTGATGATGACGCGTTCAGAGATGGGATTGGTGAATTGTTTTCAAGCGGAGTTTACAGTGATGGGAATGCGGTATGATTTTAATGAGCAAATGTGGGAATTCTTCCTTATTTTCTTATATACAGCCGGCTCAGCTCTCATGAAGCTTTGAGCGAGCGGCCAACATTGATCAGATTTATACCAGGATGTGTTGCTTTAATGTCCGACTGGTTATTTGGGATGGAGCATGAAACAAGGGCCTTTCTGTTATAAAGCTCCTTCCGCGTTTGTGCATGATGCCGGTTCCCCAACGGAGAGATATCTGGTGCAGTGTCTATGCCTCGTCCCGGGGTATCATGTTCAGAGCAGCTCCTGAAGTAGAGGAGAATGGTATGGCCACATGCCACGTTGAGTATCGCGTAGTTCTGTGTCCTTCGAGAACAACCGCTTTGGCCCTTTGCGCAATCAGCAGCCTCCGCAGAGAATGCACTGGGTGTTTTCGACTGTTCGACGGTTCGTGCTGTTCTGCTCTGCAGTATTCAGCTGGCCTCTTCTCAGCTTGCATATGGGGATCTCGAAAGTACAGATGTGATATCACATATATCCACCGCCCTGGCATCTCATCGCGTAGGCAGCGCGGGAGCTGGCGCAGGCACAGGCGGAGCGCCGTCTCGCTCCGTCTTCGGGGTCTCAGAAATCCCAGCAGTCCGAAGGGGCTTTCTCTTCTGCCTCGGTGCGCTGATGGGATACCGCTTCACGTTGCTGCACGTGTCACACCGAATCACGAGCACGTCGGCCCACGGTTTTCTTCCACCTTTGCTCGGGTTCTCCACGGAAGAGTGGCATGTCTTGCCTTCGATCAGCACGGCGTCGCAGTACTTGCAGATGGTCTGCTTAATCGAGGGGCTCTGCCGGATCTGGGCTTTCAGAGACACCGATCTCATGTCGGATACGACCTGGTGAGACAGGTTCATCGTTGCCTTGCGCTCTGGGCTGTCATGGTTTGGTTGGCCGTTTCCCCTGCCAGAAGATGCATTTCTTCTCGACCGAGATGAGGCATTGTCGTCATCATGTTGGGACTTCTCCAAGCTTGTCTCCTCATTGGTGCCCGGCTCTGCTCGTTGAGCGCAATTGGCTAGATAAACGGCTGCCTGGTAAAGATATGAAGCCCGGGTGTAGATGTGCCTGTTTTGAATACCAGGATTGCCCTTTGCCTTGGCCATGATCTCCGTCTTTGAATGCCTCCTCTAACGGGATATAAGGCTCCAGGGGTATTGTATGAGAATAGATCGTGATTCATGCCATAGTAATGAAATATGTAAGGAAAAGTTTAGAGCTCACAAAGACGCGCAGTAGTAGTAATATTGGCTCAAGCAAGGGAGAATCCAACCTGTTGGAAAAAAGGCCGTGAGTAATCTTTCGCCTGCCCCAAGTCATACAGTGTGTAGTTTTGCGTACGGCGCCTTGTTCGCACATGGCTTACCTCATGTACGACGCTGTCGCACTTTCCCTTAGGCGCCCAGCACGTGACCGCGCCGGCTGTGCGCGCACGGGCCACGGCTTACTCAGGCGCGCCTTCGCCTTTGTCCTTCTCCCTCCCTCCGCCCTCTTCGACAGCCTCATTCTTTCCTCATCCACATCCACCGCATCGGCCCATCGTCCTCGATACGTGGCATTGCAACCCAATTCCTGTCCGTTCTGTCCTTCCTCTGTTCCGGCATCGTCTCCGCCTGGTAATTGAGGTTCCTCCTCCGTCCTGCTGTCTTCTTCTCTCCATCTATTTCTTCGCCTTTATTCCTCCCTTCTGACGCGCCGAACCTGCTAGCGCCTCTCATTCAAAAGAGCCTCTTTGTCCCGACAGTTTCTTCTCGACTTTTCCCCATCAACCACAACATCCAACCATGTCTCACGAGGAAGATCTCATCGACTACTCCGACGAGGAGATTGGCGCCAACGAGACCGCCGCCGCCTCCAACGGCAAGAAGGGCGAGACCACCTCCGGTAACAATGTCGACAAGAAGGGCAGCTACGTGGGCATCCACTCCACCGGTTTCCGCGACTTCTTGCTGAAGCCCGAGCTTCTGCGCGCTATCGGCGACTGCGGTTTCGAGCATCCTTCGGAGGGTCAGTCCTGAAATTCTAACACCGTCCTAAGTCATCTACACAATCATAAAATTGCTTCCCTTTTCCTTGAGAGCAAGCGTCCGTCCATCTCGCAAGCAAGACAAAAAGAGAGTCCGAGCAAGAAAAGAAAGAAGAAGAGGGAATCAGAAGTGGAAGCTTAAATCGACTCGAACCACCCGTTGGCCCCACAGCCGACTGTCGATGGCCATCATCGTTGGATGTACGGTCGTTTTCTTTGGCATGGCAAAGACTCTCCATTGGGCTGAAAGGCTTTTTGTGGCTTCCACGAAAGCAAGCCCACGTCGCCACTCGCAAGGAACCCTTGAGTTCTACCGATATGAGCTGCGTGGACAGGTGTCAAGCTGTCCCCTGAAAGCACTCGTCGAACAGCGGGTGCAGATAAGGCTTTGGAGATAGTCAAGCCACGTTGGGAAGGGAGAAGAGACGAGGAAGAATGCATGTCCCTACATCTCTAGGGCATGTGCGGACGATCACCGGCTGGGATCACACATGGCTTCAAGATCCCTTACCATTTCGGTTTGAGGCGCAAGTCGATCCCAGTTTTGACTGGCGGTTTCTTGCAAGTTGGGAAATCATGTTCATGCTGCGACGATGGACGGACCTTGACGCTCATCACCCATCGTTCGTTGCTACTTGGTTACAAATCAAAGTCTAACACCTCGCGATCGACAGTCCAGCAAACCTGTATCCCCCAAGCCCTTCTGGGTGGAGACATCATCTGCCAGGCCAAGTCCGGTCTGGGAAAGACTGCCGTCTTTGTCCTGGCCACGCTTCAGCAAGTCGAGCCCGTTAATGGCGAGGTCTCTGTTGTCGTCATGTGCCACACTCGTGAGCTGGCCTACCAGATCCGAGACGAGTACAACCGATTCAGCAAGTACATGCCCGACATCAAGACTGGTGTCTTCTATGGCGGTACTCCCATCAAGAACGACGTTGAGACGCTCAAGAACAAGGACACGTGCCCTCACATCATTGTCGGCACTCCCGGTCGTCTTAAGGCCCTTGTCCGTGACAAGGCCCTCCGTCTCGGAAGCGTGCGCATCTTCGTCCTGGACGAGTGCGACAAGATGCTCGACCAGCCTGGTGAGTGCAACATGCCATCGTACGGCTCGAGGCGGTTCCTCTCTTCTAACACAGCACAGACATGCGTACCGACGTGCAGGATGTGTTCCGCGCTACCCCTCAGCAGAAGCAGGTCATGATGTTCTCGGCCACCCTCTCCGACGCCATCAAGCCTATCTGCCGCAAGTTCATGCAAAACCCCACGGAGCACTACGTGGATGAAGACACCAAGCTCACTCTGCACGGCCTGCAGCAGTACTACATCAAGCTTGAGGAGCGCGAGAAGAACAGGAAGCTGAACGAGCTTCTCGACGATCTCCAGTTCAACCAGGTCATCATCTTCGTCAAGAGCACCGTCCGTGCTACCGAGCTGGACAAGCTCCTCCGCGAATGCAACTTCCCCTCCATCGCTGTTCACTCTGGAGTCAGCCAGGAGGAGCGGTAAGTCGATTCCACGGTCTCGAGAAGTTGAATCGAGGAGGCGATTGCTAATGTTGCGACAAACAGTATCCGCCGCTACAAGGAGTTCAAGGAGTTCAAGAAGCGCATCTGCGTCGCCACTGACGTCTTTGGACGTGGTATCGACATTGAGCGAATCAACTTGGCCATCAACTACGACTTGCCCGGCGATGCCAACTCCTACCTCCACCGTGTCGGCCGTGCCGGTCGATTCGGTACCAAGGGTCTGGCCATCTCCTTTGTGAGCACTGAGCAGGATCAGGAGGTCCTCAAGGAGATTGAGAAGCGATTCGAAGTCGCTCTTCCGTAAGAAGCCCTCCAAACCGTTCACCCAGAGTCCAGCCAGAATGAAGATTGGAGCAAGCTAACCAGATGTGATGTTGCAGAGAGTTCCCCAAGGAGGGCGTTGATGCCAGCACCTACATGGCGTCTTAGATGATGGCTCACGACGTGACTCCACCGCCTCGTGTACTATGTTTGTGCGTGCCAAGGCTTGACAGGAGCATGTGGGAGAGAAGGTCTTTCGTCTATGCCGTCGGATTCAGAAAATTTGGGGGAGTAGCCGAGCTTGCTTATACTATTACGTAGCTTATTTTACCGGGAGCGCAAGGGAATGGTAGGCTGAAATGCCGTGGTTCACAAGGTCAATGAAATGAATGGATTTGCACAATGTCTGCACACTGAGAAAACATGTAGCCCATTTCCTGGAAAGGAATGACTGGTGATGAGTATTTCGAGCTGGTGCCTCACGTTGTGTATTGGATCTCGGACCCAGCGAAGGCACCCTGAAGGGGACACGAGGCAGCCAGGGGATTCCGTAAGGAGTTGCTGGAATGTTCTTTTCGTTACTCTTTCGAGTCACTCTCGGTCAGCTCTCACGATGTTCGTCGGCCTTTTAGCTTTTCGGATGTCATCCGGTCACATGGCAAGGCGGCTGCCTACGATAGCGGCACATGGATGGAGCGAGGCGTGATTTGGCGCCACCGAGCTTTGCAACCCCTGGCAGCCTCCGGTCCTGGCTGCTTGCTGTGCCGCGCTCGTGATATCATGAGTTGCGATATGTATATTGACACCGACTGTGGATCTCGGAATGCGGGAAGCCATCAGGCATTTGCGCGCCTCGAAGTGAGCAGCTTGCGGCGTCGACTCATCGACCATTGTATCGTATTTGGTCCTAGTTCGTATTACCTTCTACTACCACATCGGATGCTAGTGGAGGCGTCGAAGCCCCTGCAGCTCCTTGTCCTTTGTTAGTAAGTCAGTTGTTCTTGTTGGCCTCTCCTCGCCTACCCTAGATAATGTAGGCAGAATCGAGCAAGGGGCAAGCGAAGAGCTCAATCATAATATCGATCGTTGCCATTGCACCGCACCTTGCTCGTGTTGTCAAGTCACATGAGCTCTGTTGATATCAACATGCGGTGAAGTTCAATATACGTGGTTTGTTCCCATTGAGCGCCTGTCAAGAGAGCTCATGCGAGGTTCGTAGGAGCTTGGATATTTCGCCGGAAACCACACATTCGGCCTTGATTTGGGCATGCAGAATTGCCGCCGACCGCCCAAGCTGACCAATGGAGAAACCAAGAATAGGCGATCGAGAGGCATCGAGCATTTGTAATACTGGCAAGCTTCCAATATGTACTCCGTACAGTTGCCAGCAATGTCACCGACACGTCTTTGATGCCTTACCGGGGCTCCACTGGATGACTTGGCTCATCTCTTCTCATCATATCAGCACTACCTTCTCCAGGACCCCATAGAACAACGATGTCACGGTCGAGCGCGCATGGCGCTGCCCGGATTCTGCATCGTCTTCCTAGGTCTCAGAGCAAACGGCCGAGCCATCACCAAAGCGCAGTGCTCGATTCCGACTTCGGGCGGTGATGGCGCCTTTCGACGCACGAGGCGATAGCTGAAGTTGCCCAAATTGACACGACGACATGCTAGCTGAGTCATGCACGATTGCCCGTATGAGTCTCCACGAGTGTCGCCGCTTGGGCGTCATCAGCGTCGCCGGCCCTCACTAGATTGGGCTGCGACCGATTATTAGGCAGTTCCGCCCACTCGGAAGAGCCTGGCGCCTCGGTACCAATGAGGAACTGCGACCGGTATCCTCATGCACTCGCCGGTGAAACAGGCATGGGCCAATGTAATTCGCATGCCATCAAGGTCACCTATCACCGCCAATTCGAGCGCCTGATGAACATTCTTGCAAGCAGAAAATCCGTAGGCCTATCCTGCTGTGACCGCGCGGAAACGTGGTCAGAAGTCTGTCAGGCACAGCAAAGAGTATAAGTGGAAAATCGCAAACGCCAGGTTCTCGGATTCTGCTTCGTACAACGATGCAAAGACGTCGCTGCCTACTCGAGGGATGTTGCCGCTTGCTTATTATCTCGAATCACAGCGATTCAGGCCGCCAATAGTAGCAGAGACGCGCTGCGCCGTTGTGTTCCTAGATCCTGTTCGAAGCAGATAAGAGTCGCCGCCGAAGTGAATGAAACGTATTTATTGGACATCGCTGTGAGCGGTGTTCCGGAAAGGAGTTTGCGCCTGGCAAATGTAAGAATCTGCGGATGAGCTGCATATTAGGTAGGCGAGGATGTGAGCATTCGTCTACTTCCTCTTCTCCAAAGAGCCAACCATGCTCCCTCGCCAGGTGGTTGGCTGATTTGACTCAGCAGCGTCTCGCAATTTGGCGCATCTGCCAGGAACAGAGATAAGACTTGGGGCAAATGTTGGATACAGGTACTTCGTACTTCGTAATGCGTACTGTTCCGTCTTTCTTCGTGTTCTTGTCTGATGCGCCGTGTCTTCAGTCACCTACAATTAGGCCCAACCAGTGTGCTCTCGTGGCTCAAGAAGGGCATCACCGCCAGGGTTCCCGCGAGCTGCGATGGACCTGGCATGATCCAGAGACGTGTCTAAGACTGATTGAAAGAGCGGCAAGCCTACCACTCATCCTGGAAGTGGTTTGCGCGGAAGCTGATGGCGGCCTTCTAGAGTCAGATGGTACCGCCTGTCCCGTTGGTTGACTCGTTTGGCTCGAGGATGCAGCATGGGATCCAGAGTCGCATCGTTGTCGTGGCAGCTTCATGCTTGCTGAGCTGCGGACAGATGGCTCCCTCCTGTTGTCTCCCCTCTTCACCTCCGCCCCCATCGTCTGGCCTTCCCCTCACGCCCTCCTGCAGGCGCATGCAGTGGAAAATGGATAAGTAGATGCGTACTGTAGTATGTATGTATGAACAAGCAGAGATTGTGGGGGAGACCCGCATGACGTGAAAAGTGTGGAAATTATGATGGTCGCGCATGTCTCATGCAATCCGCGTACCTGTTCCGTCACAGCCGTTGTTTGCTTAGGCCACCAAGGTGCACGGCTTGCAGGCTGACGACGAATAGGACCATTACCGGATCATGGGTGATTCCTTTCGCCGGGCTTGTTGAAATGACCCCTCATGTTTGGTGGCTGAACTGCATCGTAGCTCGCCGGGTGTACTCAGACCATGCAAGGTTGAAGCCGTGGCCTTTGCAGCTGATACCTACTTTGCACCAATGCTAGTACGAGTACAGTAACGACAGCAGTATGTCGTGACCGGAGTACTCCCCAAGCAATTGATTCGCTTTCGTGGAACAGCTTCAAGACAGAGTTCGTAAGGGAACGCGGCAGGCAGACTGGCCCCTTGACCGGGAGCCACTGTCAGTCGTGCCGGTTGGGTGATCCTGAAGGAGCAGGCTTGGTGCTGTTCGCAGAGCTGCGATATGAACAAAGTTCTGGCAAGGTGTTGGAGCGAAGGAGACGGCGACGGTGGGCAAAACATAAGGATGGGTGGTGTAGCGCACTATGAGCAGTATCAGCAATATCTCGCGCAAGAAATCGAAGTTCTAGTATGCAGTGTGCAAGAGGAGCATTTGATGCTTGCAGACGACGATGCGAATTCGTCCGCCTCGCCCGGTGCTCGCTCGTGGCTTGGGATGGCAATATTGGAGCGAGCGATGTGCTTGCTTGTGGCATTCTTGGCACTCAGGGCCATATGCAATATTTGATGCTCGCTTCCCAAGCATATTCGATGCGGACGGCATGAGCGGGAGGTTCGAAATGACCAGCCACGCAATCTCGGGCGAAGCTGCATCGTGACTATCCTAATGGTGCAACATGAAGCTGCAGGTGTGAAATTGGGTGAGCTATGAGTCTGCTCAGCATACAGAGAGGGGATCAAAGTAGGCAGGGGGGAAAAGGGGGAGGAAGGGTAGCAGCGAGTTTGCGCTTCTGACCCGCCTGGAACGACGCTCATTTCTCATGGATGTCTCTTTTGTTTCTTGCGTGTGGTGTGAGCCTGCATCCAGGCGCTTGAGTACTAGCCTGGCGACCGTCTAGGACGACGCGGTGCCAACAACGGCGTTTTCGCTTGAGCGATTACAGGCCCTGAAGCAAGCAAAGGATGGTGTCTCTCAACTTTGTGCGGTACCTAACATACTAACAACTGTCAGGCCAAACAACCCGCCATTCGGAACAGTGCTCACCACGCTGCCTTGCCTCATGGCCCTTCGAAGAGGACGTGGCTGGGGAAATGAAATCAGTCCTGCAGTCTTCCGTACATGAGGGAGTATCATTGCGGAGTATACTTCCTTTTCACCCCATTGTGTGACCAGATAAGAATGATTTGTCACATGCTTTGGCCGCGACGGAAGATGAGGTCGAAAAGAAATAGGAGCTGTATGCTTCATTGCGATTAGTGTTCCAAGTGGTCTGAAAGGTCTGGTTCAGGAGTTGGACGAGATGACACAAAACGGAGGTGCCAAGTACCTTACCTTAGTACTTCATATATCATACAAGCACTCCGTAGAGGAGATGCACGTTCGCAGCCTCCGACAACCATTCATGCAATGCATCCCATCAGTGATGAAGCAAGGCCGTCACGAGAAGAGTACAGTACTATACGGGCTTGCTGACTCCATATGGTCGTCGTCGGCTTTGGCCAGAGTGGCTGATGGGGATCGTCCCTCCATCACGAACGATGCACGACATGCCGTCTGGATGCGTCTCCAGCGATGAGCTCACAGTCAAGGCACCGTGTGCTTGATAGACGGACAGGGGTTGACGACCCGTAAATGGACCGTGGTTCGCTAGGACAGAGTCGTACTAGCACGCTCCCCGCAGCGAAAAGCAGCCTGGCCTGCCCTGAGTCCACTGCTGGAACGGCCTTTGCCAATCAACCTCGCATCCACTGGCTTCGAAAATAGATGGCGGAAAGAGGCGGCGCGCCAGCAGCTGGCAGTGTCAGCCTTTAGCACTTGCACACTGCCTCGGCGTTCTTTTGGTCAGCCCAGAGGCGATGCGTTCGTTGACAGCGTCTGAGCGTCCCAGGCGCCTGGGCGGGCGGTAGAAGTAAAATTCCAGGAGTGTTCCGTAAGTAGTAGATGGCACTTTGACTGCTAGATGCTGTTGGTACAAAGTGCCATTGATTGCTGCTTTGTAACCCTGACCGGAAGATAGGCAGCACCACGGGCAACTCATGTTTGTGACAGCCTGAGACCTTTCCTGCTCCTCCCGGGGTGGTGTGACTGAGAAGCAGACGAGACGAGGGCCTTGCAAGCATTCCTGCTAGTTTGGAATACAAGACGAACACACTGCATACGCACCGGCAGACGGGGGTTTGGAGTAGCGTTCGATGCCTTGAGCTGGTTGTTTGACAGCGGCCAGACCGCCTTTGCCCCCAATGACTACACTCACCCACACGCAAGCCACTCGAACACCTTTACCCCCCGGTCGGCGAGGCGAACGGTGTTGTCTGATTTCGGTGGAGGCCTTGCGGAACACGACAATGAAAAATGGAGCGGCCGGAGAGGACGGACTTGTTTGGACGGAACAGTATTCGTACGAAGTTGTTCGTCCATGATATTGCTCCAGAATTGTCAGATCAGGCACCCGCTGACTACCTCAATAACACGCGCCGAACGGAGCAAGACACTTGCTTAAACATTAGTTAAGGTTTTCTAAAGCCTGGCACCTTGTAGGTTTGAGGCATGGAAGGCATGGTCGCAGCACGAAGGACGAAGGACGTTCAACGCAACCTGGAAGCTTGTGTCTCACAAGGTACTGCCGCTAGGCCTTGTCCGAACAAGCTGCTGCGCCCTCGTCCAGATTGGACGTGGGATGCTTCTGCTGTGCTTCCCTCATGTGATCGCGACATGTTCTTGATGCGAAGAACGGAAGGAAAAGACTTGAACATCATGATACGACAGACCGCGGCTGGGTATGGCAGACTCTCTGCACTGAGATACGAAGGAGGCGAAAGAGTGGCCCGTACCGAGGCCCGGGATTTTCGTCATGAGGCAAGGCAAGATGCGGCAGTATGGCGCTGCGTATCACATCTTCGAGGGGAGAACTGGATATCCCGCGAGTGCTTTGCTTCGTAAGTTCGATCTCTCGTCCCCCCTCCTGGAGAGAAAAGCTTGAGCTGTTGACTGCCGGTGTGGACCTTGCGCTTTGTGTTTCGTACTTCGTCCCAGTACAGGAACTCACACCGAGTTCGATGATTCGAGGTTTCAGTTGTTTTCGTCACCTCGTACTGCTAAATTCGTATTTCTTCCGCAAACATTAGCCCTGTAGACAATGACGGAGAGCATGTGGGCAGAAAATCGCACCAAGGTAAGCCACAGGAGCGGTGACTCAGCAATCTCGCCTCCCCTCCCGCCATCCCGCCACCATCGTTATTATTAGTGGCCGTATGACTTCGTAACGGTACTCCCAGCGAGAGTACGGAGTAGAGGATCGTTGTTTGGCTGTGTTATAGCAGAAGAAACGCGGTACGAAGGAGTGAGCTGAGACTGGGGAGGGAAAAACATCTGAAATCTCGCTTGTCTTGAGTTTGCTTCTTCTTCTTCCTTTTTCCTTTTGTCTCAGCCGCGCAGCACTTGTCAAGAGCGGTAAATTTACCACGTTCTCCGTACAGGCATCGAGGAAGGAAGCACTGTCGTGCCCCTACCTAAGCATCTCTCACAGTACGAGTACCTTTCAAAGGAGCCAGGCTACGGGGAATAATGGAAAGTCGTTGAATGGTCGCTGCCTGCCGCTCATTGCCTCATTGCCTCAGGTCCGTGCGTCGCTTTGGCAGCAGTTACACATCTGTCGAGCAGTGGCAGGAGCCAGAAGACCGTCACTCGGTTAGCAGGAGCAATACAATACGTAAAGTGCCAAAGACGATGCATCGAAAGAACATCAGTGATGGAACGACGAGGGCAAAAGGGGGACGGATGTATTGCAGAGATACCCGGCAAAAGAAAAGGCACAAAAGGTGAAATATGATGGCAGCGGCAAGGAAACAATAGCAAGCAAGCAAACAAGCAAGCAACTTTCAAGCAGAGCGAGCAGAGGCAAGAGCACGGCAGCCTGGCACGAGAACAGGAGCAACCTTGAAGCTGCGGCCGGGATAAGCGGCCAAAAGGTCTTGACGCACTAGGCCCGAGGCAATGAGGCCACCAAGCCACCACGATTGCGCTTCGCTCTGTGCACACGCAGTGCAAACGATGACTGAATACCTCTGATGCTTGAGACTCCGTACCGGAATCAGTTTCTACCGCCATGTTTTCCATCTTATGCTATACCGCGAAGATACCTATAGGAGGATTATGACAGTTCAGATCCCCCTCGCGAGGCGCCGACGATCCAGGCACTTCTGTACGTCAGGACGAGATAAGGCGCAAAGTCCTCGGGACTTGTCAAGGCAGGAAAGTCGGCTGCACCGACGAAGTACCTGCCACTGTACTCATCCAACGCACAACTTGAGAACGTGAGTGCAGCGCCTCTGCGGAAGCTGTGGAGAGCCAGCATGGAGGCGGAATCTGCGCCATGTGTGCTGGCTGGGCCACTGGAGCGTCCGCGCCTGCCAGCCATTCGCCAGCCGCAGGAGGGGAGAGAGGGGCGGGGCACCTCCTGGAGCCATTCTGAACCAATCAGCGCGCGCCAGGCCGCAGGTTGGAGAAGCAAGCGGCGACGAGCCAGCCGAATCGATGGCTGCTGCCCATTTTCGCAGCGCATCAAGACGTTTTCGAGCGCAATTTCCTCACCTCCCAGCTCGCAAGTTCGTACCGGCTACGGAGGACGCCGTCGTTGCACGGCGTGTGATGCGGTACTGAGTACTGCGTACCTTCTTTGCGCAGAAAGCGCTCTGGTAGGTCCTGACTGCCAGTTGTGGTGCTAGGCTTGAACCTTCTCTTGTATTAGTGCCGGACCAGGTTAGACCGCGACGACGAAAAAAGGTCGAGAAAATCCAGGTGCATCATCGCAGCACCCCCTTGCGCGTTTCCAAAGTCCCCAAGTCCCGTCGCATGTACCCTCGTACCCTCGTACCCCGGCTCTCCTGTGCTCCCGCACTTGGTGTCTCTGCGTCCCGCTCGCATTTCCTGACTGGCTGGCGGCGCTTCAGTCCGACTCTGGCCTCTGCCGGCCATTCAAAAATATGCCACGACCCCCATGGCCATGATTGATTCTGCTTCTCTTCCCCCATCGAACGTCGCCATGGAGTTCGCTATCGCCCTGTATTAACCTCGCCAGCGACTCTCGAAGTCTGCTCTGGTGCCTCTCTACTCTCCGGCGCATTTCATCGTTTCTGTTACCTGTCTAATATTTGGGAATCTCTTCTTTTTCTATTTCCTTACCGTCACGCCACGTCTTGTCTCTTTATTACTCTGGCCGATTTCCTATTGCGCTTCCTTTTGCCTGCCTGTGCTGTCTTTCTGGTACCTGGACAACGGCGCAACCATACGCACACCAACCGGCCCCATCGCATCTTCTGGCCTCTTTTCCCACCCCTAGCCAACACAGCTCATCATCACTACCTACTCACGGTCCTGCTGACCTGGACAAGAGAAGACACGAAAGAAGAATTCGAGGATAGCCGTGCATTGCTGCCTGTGCTACTCCTTTGACCGCTCTCTCGCCGACTCCTGGCCCTTTCCTGTGTCCTTGTGTGTTTTCCATCAAATCACTCGACTCCCTTCCCTCCCTTTGTTATTTTTTTTTCGGTGGGCGAATCGACTCACTCGGCCTCGCCACTCACCTATTCTGCTCAGTTGACGAGCGCTGTGGCCCCGGCTCTCCAGGCGCTGTCTCACTCACTGTCACTGCCTAGCCTTAGCTGCTCGGGCGCTGTGCTCCGAAATCGCCAGTTGGCGGCCACCTGCCCAGTCAGTCGCCACCTCAGCGCGAAAGAGTCACACAGCCGACCCGACGCTGCTGTATCCACTCCCTGCCAGGCGTCAAAGTCGCTATTCCTCTCCCGCCACGCCGCCAGGCTGTCACCTCCAGTCGCCGCCTTGCTTCAGCCCCTAAGCCTTCAGGCCACGCTGCGAAGAGTCACATCTCACTCGTCGCCGTGATAAATACAAAGCACGCTGCCTGCCGGTGCCCTGATAGCTTCCAGCTCCTCAGCCGTACCTGCATATTCCATCTCGATGATCCCTGGTCCCGACTCGACCCTCGCACCATCCCTGTAGCCGCCGTCGCGTCGACAAGACAAGACCGAAAGCCCGTCCTCTCACAGCCACAGCACCATCGTCATAGGCCCAGGGCCTCGAGCAACAACACAACCGATCTCAACCGGCCTCCGACTCTGCGCCCGATGATAGACTTGCTCTAAGAGTCTCATCAACCCCTCCCACAACCAGCCCGCCAGAGCATTGGTTTCGCGATGCCTCTTGCAACCTACAAAGTTACCTCTCCAGTCGCCGTCTCAGCTTCGTCCACCGGTCTGCTCGTTCGTGAAAAGTCGGCCTATATTCTTGTCTAAGGAAGGCCTTCCTCTTTTCATCTCGAACACGCTTCTGCTGGCAGTGCATTCGCATCATTGAATGCTATTGCTGTAGAAGCAAGCAACCACGACTCGGTACACCCTCGAAACTGTTACAATCCTTCCGGTTGACTTAGCCTTGACGGCGACTGGAAATACGCACGCTGGCTTGACAACATACAAGTCTGCTTTCACTATATTCCAACGACTCTACACCTTTGTAACCCTACGACTCTACAACTGCACCTTCTCCCCCAATCACACGCAACCTTCTCACAAAATGACGTCTGGGACGACTATCTCGCCCGCTTATGACCCCTTGAGTCAATACGCCCCCTATAGCTCCTCCATAGCCTCATCCGCCTCCGCCTCTACCTCCTCTGTATGGTCTGGGTTTGATTCTGCTTCCCAGGCCTCGGACGATGCTTCTCTTTCCACCTCGTCTGAGAGCGACTCATGCCACTCCTACTTCGCCTCACGGGGATCGTCAACATCCGCCTCGACTGATCACCAGGCCCTCGGCCGTCGGCCCGACGTTCTGAGCAGACAGCGCCAAGGCCAACAGGTTGCGCCTGTTCCTGTCGTTCCTTTGGAGCTGCGCCAAAACCCCCGACGCACCGCTGCAGCTGCCGGTGGTGCGGGATGCCCCCCGCCCTTGCTTTCGCGGCAACCGGACCGCAAAGTAAACTTTGTTGATAGCCTTGTCGGTACGTGCCTCTCTAATACTGACACAGTCCGCGATTCCGAGACCCCCTTGCTTAGCCTTTACGTCCGCAGATTCGTCCACTCAGATCGTGGAAGCCATATGGCCCCTCTCTTCTGCCCCGTGCCGCCCGGAGCCTGGCAACCGGACCGTGCTGCCGCTGCGCACCTTTATCCAGGAGACGCTTCGGCGCTCGCGCACCAGCTACTCGACCCTGCAGGTGGCGCTGTACTACCTCATCCTCATCAAGCCCCACGTCCCCAAGCGTGGCTTCACGGTTGAGCAGTACGAGGACCGTTACGCCGACCGGGCTCTTCAGTGCGGCCGGCGCATGTTTCTCGCGGCCCTCATTCTCGCGTCCAAATACCTACAAGACCGCAACTACTCTGCGCGAGCCTGGAGCAAGATTTCTGGCCTCAATGTTCAAGAGATCAACCAGAACGAGGTCGCATTCCTGCTTGCCGTCAACTGGAAGCTGCACATCACAGACGACGTCTTCCAGAGATGGACAGAGATCGTCCTCAAGCACACTCCGCCCCCGCCCCCACCGTCCCCTGGTGCCCTCTCCCAGACCTTTACCCAGCAGACGCTGGAGTGGAAGCAGGTCATCCTGCGACTGGATCCGGATCTAACCAACATCGAGGGGCTCATCCCTGCCCTTCGCGTGCCTGCGAGATCCAGTGATCTCTGCGCACTGTCGCCTCGTAGCATTCTCAACCTTCCCACGGAGCAGCAGCAGAAGCACCCGCGTGTCTCTGTCCCGGCTCTGGCTGCGGCTGAGGACGCTAGCCGTGTTGCCAAGCTTCCCATCAAGTACTTCCCTGCTGCTATGCCCTTGGAGCCGACCCCGACGATGGCCCATTCGACCACTCCTGGTAGGATGGCACCAACATTGGGACCTCTTCCGACGCCGCGTTTGACGCCGCAGTCTAGTGGTATCTGCACTCCTGCAGTGAGTGCGGCATCCCACCTCCTCGGAAAAGGCAGCGCTATGTGCTTGGCCGTGGCTCAAGCTGGCAACCTCAGCACCGTCCAACACCTGGAGCGCTTCCCCGCGACCTCGTCGACGCCCCCACTGAACTACTGTCCCGCCCGCCGCTCTTCTCTTGCCAATTCAATCTCGACCGTGTCCTCTCCCGACTCGATGGTTTCGGATCATTCGCACACCTCTCGCTCGTCCTCCATTTCGTCTGCATCATCTTTCGCTAGCGCGACCCTCAACGGCTCGTTGACGGCTCAGTCGCGATCCCGATCGATGAAAGCGATGAATGAGAGGTCGAGTTTGAGGACGACTATCCAGCCCGTATCAGAGAGCTATGAAGAGTTTAGTTTCACGTCATCCCCCGAATCGTATACCGGCCCGGTTGCGAAACTCGGTGGCCTTTCCGTGGAAACCCCTTTGGCAAGACAGCAGCGCGAGTTGGAAGGTATGTCACGGGACGCCGCTTCAGACGCCGCACGCGCTCTTCAGCATTTGCACAGCCAGAGCATCCGCAGTGCCCAGTTCACGCCCTCAGCGCCCATTGCGCCCAAGGCCAGCCTTAAGCGTAGCAGAACCGCGTCGGTCGACCAGCCTCTGCATGAGCATGTCCGCGAGATCCTTCATTGCGCGCCTCAAGGTGCTAGGAGTGCTCCTTGGCCAATTGCTCGCTCGCGACGACTTGATGGATCAGAGCCTTACTTTCAGGTGCCTGTTCTCCCCAGCCCGGAGGACACGAGGAAGCGACTCTGTTGCTCTGCCGAAGCGGCCAGTGGCTATCAAGCGGCAACAGGCAACCACTCATACGGCCTCCGGGAGCCAAGTTTTTGGGGCATCCTTAACTGAAATTTACACGGGGCGTTTGTTACATTGTCAAGCTTTATACGCGAACTGTTTTTGCCAATCAATCTAATGCTGTCCTTTCTCACGGATCTGGTCTGGCCATCATCACCGATCCTCTCTTTCGTTACTCTCTCTTTTGCTGCACTTTTACCCCCTTCCCTTTGTTAGAAGAATTTACGGTTCACATGGATGGCGCTCGAGGGGGAGGCCAGGGGCGTCTCGTTGACAACAGAGCTTTTGATATCGCACCCCTCGGGCAGAGGGTACGTTTCTGCAATCATCATACAACACCGGACATGGTATTCCAAGGCAGCGGCTTCGCCTTGGAAAAAAAGTGCGTTTAATCTTTTTACTGTTTCTACATCCAGAAACAAGGGAAATTATATATGGATGGCTACAACGATGGTGACACGAAAGATATCCTGTAAAGTGTGGAAAGCAATTTGAAGGTTTGTACCCAGCGGTGGGAGGTTTGGAGGCTGGTTTTGTGTGTTTACTGTACGACTAGAAGCTTTTGATTTCATTTGCGACCATACCTTTTTTTGTACTTTTTTCTTCTTTTTTGCTCTACCTACTAGGCCAACGAAGCCTCGTCCGCTTGGATACCCCTCTCTGTACGTAGAGAGGATGGAAGTGAGCGGATGAGGAATAATCAGACATGATGACGAGCAGCTGCTGGCTTTCCTTTGCCCCATGCGTGATACTTGAGCGATCAAATCAAAGCTACAAGCACCGACAAGTGCCCAACGAGATCCGCCTGAGCATAGGTAGCTGTACAGCTATAGCCAGTTCAACTGGTAGGTGCGGACAAATACCTTACGGATACTGCTACATGTCCACTACCTGAGCATGCTTCCCTTGGCCGATCTTCTCAGAAGCACAAAGTGATGCCGGCACGGAGTATGCTGACCTGTGGGACTTCGGCTTCGAGGAAGAACCCAAGACGCTTGCTCACAAAAGGAGAAGAGGGCTTATGACCAGACAAGGAAGAGAGGGGGGAGAAAGCCACACGCCTTGTCCCATCCTGGTTGAGATGCCTAAGAATCCCGACGGCTGTTCTGGCTTGCGTGTGTGAAACCGCCTACCGAGTGAGTCATGAAAATCGTCTCGGAGCATGGGGCCCTAAAAATTTCACTCGTTGCCAGCTTCCTGAGGCCGGGAGCTTGCCTAGTCGGGTAAGCGGTGGCGACTGATGGAGGGTTGCTCGTTGGTGAGCGTTGCTCGTTGCTCGCGCTCCATTTCCATTTACACTGTGGCTCTTGCTATGCAGTGGGCTTGTATCAACGTCGAAACTGAGCTCCGCGCTCAAAGTATGCGATGTTTGTAGCAGATACGCTTGGATAGAGGTCGCAATCCTATGGGAAGCGAGCATCTTGTTTGTGTGATGCCAACTTTCCAAAAGAGGAGATTCTCTTGACCACGGTGGAGTCTTTCGGCCCTGGTCACTTGGCCGTTGTGAGTCCTTCCCCGGAGAGCCAGACGATGGGTAAGGCCTTCGCGTCCTCGTTCACGGCGACGTCTAGGGTACTATGGGCTGGCCCGGCCAGATTGTGAAAACACCGTGAATGAGACGGGGGGCTGCCTTCGCGTCACGGTCCATGTCGCGACTCGTGTGCCAGTGGAGTGGGATATGTTCCATTTCTGCTGGCCTCGCCAAGGTTGACGGGAAGTAGACCGACACATATGCCTCATAGCTGCAGCTGTTGTTGAGAGTTCTACGTGTTGCTGCGTCAATGGCCTCCCTGTTATCGACCAGTCATTGACTGCCCTCCCTTGAATGGCCTCCCCGCGGAGTCGGAAGATGGGAGTAGCTTTTCGATCAAAGCCGGACAAAGGACGGGCCACATGAGGAATGAACTGGAGGCATTGATAGCCAGTGCTTTGTGATATTATTGGGGACGGATGAAAATCCCTCTTCCTTCGCTGCCTATAAGTTATGCGCTCGCATTTCGTAAACCACACATGAATAGACCACACATACATATGCGCACATAACAAAGGAAGATTGAGGGGAAGAATTGAGATAAAGGTAAGGAAGTGATAAGAGACAGCACGTAGCTGAAGTGGTACCGTAGATGGGGGCCACCGAATGATTCAGCCTCTCCAAGAATGACAGACGTGGATGTGAGCCAACCATTGAGCGTGATACAAAACTCGAGTTTTCCGCGCGGCTGATTCGTCTGTTGACCTCAAGCTTATCCAAAGCCCTGGGTATGAGCTGTCCTAGCTCGGCAGACGTGAGCCCTTTAGGGAGACGGAGAGAGGCGCGACCACCGAATGGTGATGTTCCGGTTCAATGTGGGCGTGACAAGACGAGAGACTGACGGGCCGTTGTCAGGGTCAACCTAGGGACCGCGTTGTCCAGCCGGCTTGCTGGACCGTTTTGCGCGGATTTTCTGTGTACACCAGTTGTGTATCCGTTCGACGAATGTTGTGTAACCATACCCAAAGCTCACCTGACCATCGGTTGATATTGATGCATGAATGCACCGATGCTGCAGCACCGGTTATACAAGAAATAGCGACCAGCAGTCTCAAATATCATCCTGGCCTCTGCATTTGGCCCAGAGGCAATGGCCTCCACTGTGCCCTGCATACGTGAGGGCTGCCCAATGGCCTTGGGAGGAGGTGGATGAGAAGAACAGCCGGCGAATACGTGGTATTGCCCGTCCCATCATCCTCATGACCACTATCGTCATAATCGTCCATTTCTCGTACAGGTGAGGTCGTCATACATCCGCAAGCTGCAGTGATGCCCTGCCAGCGCACGCTTCCTAAAGGGATGGACGCCTGTCGGCCGACGAGAGGAAAGGGTGGAGAGAAAACCTAGATGTCAGACCGTCGAACCACAAGGTCTGCTCTATGGTCTGGGATATGTAGCGAGAGGAAAAGGGCGCTTCTGACTCGTCGTAGCAGTTCTCTCGTCTCGTTAGGGTCGCCTCCCCATTCGATACGACGCTCCAGTCCGATGATCTCCTTCCTCACAACGTCTGCAGGCAGGCCATCAAAGACCCAGGTGCGGAAGAGGCAGTTGATGGCCAGCAGATTGGGCACCTCGGCATTAAGCATGGCGTTGCGGATGAGCTCAATCTTGACCTCCCAGGTGGGCTGGGTGAAGAGCCTTCCGCAAGTCATGTAGCCACCGCGACAAAGCCAAAAGAGCTGCCGCTGCATCTCATCGTCCCAGGGGCCGGTAATGAGTCGATCAGGAATACGTGTCAAGGGATGGATATCTTGGGAGAACCAATGAATCCCTCGGGCTGCAAAAGCTGGCCACTTGATCGCTTGCTGGTAGTCTGCCTCGAAGCACTCTCGCGCATTAAAATGAGAGAATCCCCCGTTGTAATCGTGGCCGACTTCTTGAGCATCATGAACCCAGAAAGCACTGTGTTGAAAGTGGCGCCCTCGCCCGTGATTATCGGCCCAATTCTGCTGTGCTTGCAAGATCAAGTCTATGCTGATCCAAGGTTGATCGAGCACTTGGGACTGCACACAAATAAGACCGGGTTAGCATTATGGATTCCCGACCGAGGCTGGCCGCTTTGCACCACATATGGAGACCACCCGCTTGATCCTACGGGCCCTGAGAGCAGGGAGACAGGAGGAAGACACCACGAACCTGGAATAAGGGATCTCCGCCGCACGGAACATGCTGGGCATCTTGGAGCCAAGGCCCATGGACTATCGCGGGGTCGGTCGGGATGCCGAACCACTGCTCCCACGTCTCATGGAATGCCCGGATGAAGAGACGTAACAGTGTGGCTCGACCCGAAAGCTTCATGCCAATGAAGTTGCTCACCCGGGGAAGAGAGAGGTTGGCGCTGTGTAGAAGGATGCTTTCGAGGATTTCCGCCGGAAGGGAGTCGAGCGTGCTCCGGTGGCGCGTTGTTCGAGTTGCCATGACCGAGGACAGAGACTTCTTAGTCCGCAGAGCCTTGACAGGCGGTTCGCACAACGCTTGAGGCCGGTTCGTGACGGGCGTCTTGCGCTTGCCCCGTACGTGGATCTTGGTGAGCTCCATGAGCAGAGACGGCGGTCGCTAGATATCTATCTGCGACTGCGAACCATTTGACATTGGGTATGCCCAAGCCGGGTCCCAACGATGGCTGAGCCAGCGAGAAACCATACGGGTCTGGGGATCGTTTTCTGGGGAGGAATACCAGGCGATTTAAGGTGGAGCCGGAACCCTTCGCGGCTCGACTACCGACAGCTTCTTGTCTCGTTGCGGTAAGCCCAGGCCGAGACGGCGGTGAATAGACTTCAGCCGAAGGAGTGCTCCAGAGGTTCGATGACTTTGTGCAAATGCTGGGGCTTGCTGTGCCGGGAGGAGTGCATCAGGTTGGAGTATCAATCGCTAGACAGGTGCCCATGGATTTCTCAGCTCCATGGGGCTGGTCCAGTCATCGTGCCTTTCTGGCGCTGCAAAAGAGCGTGAATGGAGGATGTAACATTGAGCAAATGACGTCGACGAATTGATACCGTACAAGTGCTGCAAGGATGCCGTTTTGAGGCACTCTGCAGTTTCTCGACAACACCGAGAGTTGATAAAAGAGAAAAAACAATCTGAAGTTGACGATGGAATGGAAGTTGACCTTGCGCAAGAAGTGATATGTACTCCGTAGTTCGTACCTTCCCCGTTCTTGCTGTAGCTTATCATTTGAGGCGTTCCTGCGTTTTTCCTTCAGCATGGGGTGGGCAAGACCGGCAGGTGGTCCGTGCGCATTGATTGCGATAGCGAGTAAATTTTGGAAAGAAACCTCTTGCCATCGATCTGATGCTGGACATTACGGTCGACGAGCTGAGCAAAAGAGGGCCGCCAACTTCAACTCCTTTGTCTCTCTAATTATTATCATTGAGACTCTTAAGTCTCCATATTGTCTAAAGTTTACTTCATCATCACGACTCTACCTGCTGTATCAGAGGCAGCAGTGCCGCTACAGACGACGCAATCGACTCGATCGACGGCAAAGTTGAGAACCACCAAAAACAAAAAGTGTCCATGTTGATGCTCTCTTGTGCCCGCGCCACTCTATAGCGATGCAATCCGCGGCATTGCGATCGCCGGTGCCATCGCGAAGCCTTCTGCGATTCTTGCGCTCCCAGACCGACGTCTCGTTCTTCAGTTACAGCTGCGCTCATGGCTGCCTCGGCCGAGTGACGAACGGCGCCCCCGGGCAGCGAGTCGCCAGAGCGCATTCGGCCGTGACCAAGCCCGGCGAGTCCATGCACTTCACCGAGCTCGAAGCATCGATATTCAGCTTGGAACCGTTCCCAATGGGAAAGGTGTTTCGAAAGGCCTGCGCGCGAACCCTCAAGAGGAAGCCCTTTTGTACGTCGGCGGCGGCGTACCAGAAAGCAGTTGGTGAGGATGGAGATCCAGCACCTGATTCAGCTCCCTCTTGGCAGGAGAAGTTATGGGGCATTGGAGCGCGGAAAGGAACCAAGACGCTCAAACCAGACGATTTGCCTTCTCGCGACGACGCGGATCACGGCTCGTCCATGTTTAACAACCGGCGTATCCTATCCGCCAAGGCGGCGCTGGAGCCACGATTACGATGCACAGAGGTCGATGAGAACGGCAAGGTGATTCTGATGGATGGCGAGTTCAAAAAGACGGAACTGATTGCAAAGGTACGATGATGCGCCGCGGCTTCTCCCGACAAACAATGGCAATGCTAACCGAGGGGTCATGGACATATAGTACGGCTTACTGCCTCGCGATCTTCGCAAAATCGACTCATCCAATCTCCCGCACATTCTCGTTCGCCCTCAGGCTATCCTGCTTAACCTGCTACATCTCCGTGTCTTGATCAAGCGCGATCGAGTGCTCCTGTTCGATGTGTACGGCTCCAAGACCTCTTACCCGCAGTCTGCTTTCATGTACGATCTTCAGGGGAAGCTCCAGCAGAAGCCTCCTCCTGGGGTGCCGGGACTGCCCTACGAGTTCCGTGCTCTCGAGGCCGTCTTGACGTCGGTCACGTCGGAGCTGGAGGCGGATTTCGAGTCGGTGCGAGAGCCCGTCATGCGCATCCTCAGCGAGCTGGAGGACGACATTGACCGGCAGAAGCTGCGCCAACTCCTGATCCTCTCAAAGCGAGTCAGCACGTTCGAACAAAAGGCCAAACTGGTGCGGGACGCCATTGAGGAACTACTGGAGGCGGATGATGACCTGGCCGCCATGTACCTGACGGAAAAGGTGCACGATTTGTATCGGAGCACCGATGATCACACAGAAGTTGAGATGCTGCTGGAGTCCTATCATAAACTCGCCGATGAAATCGTGCAGGAAGCTAGCAACTTGGTTTCTGGTATCCGGAACACGGAGGACCTGTAAGTTTAGCTCGTTCCTTTCCACTCCATCATATCTTGTTGTGTTGATTCTAATGCTGTGCCACAGCGTACGAGCAATCCTCGACGCCAATCGCAACGCCCTCATGCTTCTAGAACTCAAGTTCAGCATCGGCACGCTGGGACTGGCAATGGGCACATTCATTGCCGGCCTCTACGGAGCCAACCTGGAGAATTTTATCGAGGAAACAAACTGGGGCTTCGCGGCGGTCACGGCCGTCTCGACGATCTTTTCTCTGGTGGTCTGCTGGTACGGGTTGGCCAGGCTACGCAGGATCCAGCGCATCAAGATGGCGGGCGATGAGCGGCCTCGGCTATCTCGCGGGCAGCCCTACTACGAGGACGGCGCTGCCCTGGGCATCCTTGACTCGAGGAACAGGGAGCTGCTGCTACGGGCACACATGCAACGGACACTTAACAACAAGAAGAAGTGGTGGTTCTCGCGATGATCTCACGTAGTGAGTCGTGGGTACCGACAGAGACAGGCAAGAAAAGAAGAGAGAAGAAGAGAAAACGAAGAAGAAGGGATGGCCATCATTGGCTGCTCGTCCATACTTGTACGCCTCTCCCCTTATTATCTTGGCATATAGATGGCGTTGTGGGCGGATATGAATGGAATTGGGGTGTACAATCTTCAGCTCTTTTTTTTTTTTTTTTTTTTTTTTTTGGACGTTACTCCATTCAAGGATGATAAGATGAAGCAGGATGATTTACGATAGTCTACGGGCGAATTGATCCTTGGGAGGGCATCTCACCTCAGTCTCCGGGTCTGGCTCGTGGCAGTATTGGAAAATGATAATACATTGCTTGCCACCCATGTACGATAGACGCGTGTCGCAAGCAGCGCATACTCGTGCAGCAATACAGCAACACTTGTGCAGCACACTTTGTACAGCAGCACACTGCAACGTACCTTACCTACAGCGTGCAGCATACAGCAAGCCGTGCAGGAGGCGTGCAGCACACACCGCCCAGAGGACTCGCGGATTCTGCTCGAATGGACGAATTGCCGGCATTTTCAGTCGATTGACAGACGACACCGCCTCTGCGGGCATCAGGCAACCAGCTTGGTCATGGGCCAATGGCGGCGGTAGGCGGGCGCAGGAACAGAATACGGTGAGCAGCAACAGCAGCAGCAGCAGCAACATGTGCCTGCTGTGCCTGTGCCTGTGCCTGAGAGACGGTGACCGTAGTACATGGCTGCAGCGGTAATGTCGTTTGCAGGAGGCTTGATTGGAATTGGCGGACAGGTGGGCTGTTTTTTGGGAACATGTGAGAGAGAGGGGGGAAGGGGGGTAGAGGGGAAAAAGAAGGGGAAAAGAAGGGCGGGAAACTCAAAAAAAGGGGCAAGATGGATGACACGCGAAAAAGGATGTTCACGCACATGCAAAGCATGTGAAGCCATCGAGAAGCAAGCATGCACTGGTAAAAGAGTACGTACCTTGAGAACAGATGGGAGAAAGGATGGAAGTACGGTTGGGATTGAGTTTGAGACACGTTGACGTCATTCGAGATGGCCTTTCACGATGAGATAAGGCAGAGAGACCAAATCGCCGGAAACGCTGATGCAATCCACGGGAAGTATGTACATTGAGAGATACGGACAAAGGCCCGTATCCAAGATCACGATCCGTTCCTCTGACACACGAACGTGCTTCGCTCCGACAAGGCGAGGCGGCACAGACGAAGAATGGCCGGGAAAATCAAGATTCCCCAAGGACCAGGGTTGGTGCATACGTCAAGGGGGGTCCACCGGAGAGCTTAGCAGTGAAACCTTGCAAAAAGCGAGGGCCTAGGAGGAGACGAGACGATGAGGCGGACGGCCGCCTTACCGCAACAAGAGGCGGAGAAGATGCGCTACCGGATTGGACCATGTACATACATGTGCAGCCGCCGGAGGAGACGCGCCGCAGGGGGGAGAGCGACTCTTGACGAGAACGAGGGAGAATGAATTCCATTGCGCGAGTGAATCAGTGTCCTGTAGCACGCAGAAGGTACAATCTCTTCTTTGTGGCATACCTTGGGCGAATAACCTGAATTCTAACGGTTTGGTGGTGGTGACGCCGCTGTGGCTGGTGATGAAGCTATGACAGCGCAAAGTCATTTTGACGTCATGGAAGGCCCTTCTTTTCTTTCTTTTCCTTCCGTCGCCTTGGCCTGCCCAAGGCTGTTGGACGGCCAGACAGCGCTCTGACTGGCCAACGGCCTGCCGCATTTTCCTTTCCTGTCAACTGACGCTTCCGATCTAGCGTTTTGGCCCAAAGGCGATGTTACTGGAATAGTACGGCCTAGCACAAGCCGTGCCGTAGCCACGAAATTGTGTGTTATGTATGTCAGAAGCCGGTATGACGAAAGTGATTGGCAGGTGGTCCATACAGCCATCCATCTCAAACACCAATGCGGAAGGGACTTGCAATTAGATTTTTTTCTGATAGTGAAGAAGAAGAAGAAGCAGAAAGAAAAAGCGGACAGACAGCGAAAGAATGATGTGGGTTCTTCTTTTGCGTCCAAGAACCGGTGAGCGGCAGGAGCCTGCAGGAGGGGGAGGGGAGGAGCCAGGGATGCCGTCAACAATGTCATCTCAATGTTCATGTGTGTCTTGATGTACATCATGGAGCTGAATGCCAAGGCAAGGTACCTGTGTGGCGCTTTTTCAAGTTCCATGGCAAATGCACGTACCACTCTTTCCCTCCCTCCCTTGCTACTCGTACGTTATCGTCTTTTGCAGTTTCCCTGTGTGAGAGGCGACAAACTGGGGACAAACGACCGTTAGCTCTTTCGAGTTTGTGTATAAGAGAAGTGCAGTCGCCACCCCTTCCTTCTGCTCCTTCCTTTCCTCTTCTTCTCTATAAGACTCCTTCCCCATCAACAATCACCAAAACAAACGATACCACTTCTACACCACCACCAATCAAACCTTTCTATTCGAAACTCGACAACAAGCCAACCTACCAAACTACGCTCTACAGCACCTTACAAACACCACACACAACAACACATACAAAGTCCACAAGACAAATCAGTCATCATGGGTGCCGTCGTCTCTTGTGTAAGCATCACCCTTCCCTTTCCAAATTACTACCTATTATTAGACCAATCCTTCTAACATTCAATCTCCAACAGTTCGAAGCCATCTTCCGCACGATTGGCAGCGTCATCATGGCCATCATCAGCGGCATCGGCAACATGCTCACTGCTATTATCAACGGCATCGTCGCCTTCTTCGGCATCATCATCTCCTGCCTGACGTGCGGTCGCTCCGGCGGCAACCGTCGCTACAGACATCGAGGCATGGGAGGGTCCAGAGTTAGGAGTACCGTATAAATCTGAGCTGGAAGAGTGAGAAGTAGAGAAGGAGCGTGATGGAACATCGATGCTCCCCGTTTCACGAACCGGTTATGATTTTACGACACATGGACGCGAAAGAAACGAACCACCCACCCTCACATCTCCACAAAGAGCAAAGCAGAGAGGTCTATTTGCGATCGTGTGGAGGACGAACCACCAATTTCCTTGCCTGTTTTTTTTTTCTTTTTTTGGACTCTTGAGATACCTGGACCTCTAATCAACCCCCGGACGCGGTGGCATATTATGGGCTTTCCTTTGTCTTGCTTTACTACTACCCATTTCATAGTCTGAATAATTGACGTTGTCACCAACATTTCTCTCTCTCTCTCTCTCTCGCGTATGTGTCCCAGTGTTGCTTGTTGTGTACCATCGAATGACAATTGACGCTGTCACCGACACTCTTCTCTCTCGTGCATGTGTCCCTATGTCGCTTATTGTGTACCATCAAATCACACGCCATGTCGTTTAGATGCCACTCAGGGTGGGGTTTATGGAGAGGAAAGGGGGTTAGGATCTCCCTATACACGTAAAACCCCTAGGCTAGTCCTCCTCTTCCATCACATTTCTGTTAAAGAAGCCGTAGATTTGCCTGGCCGACGTCTTGCCCACAATCGGCTCCAGCTCCTTCTCCGTCATGTTGGCCATCTCCCGTATGTTCTCCGTGTCCAGCACCAGGCTCTTGATGTTTTGCGGCGTCACGCCCGGCACCTTGGACAGCATCTCCTGGGGCTCCTGGTTAAAGACCTGGTCCTCCACCTTGGAATCCTTGTCCAGGCCCGCCTGCACCGCCGCGATCGGATCGGGCTCGTGCTCCAGCGTTTTGAGCGAGGCAAATATCTCGGCCGTCTCGTACGGCGACGAGGACCAGATGATGCGGAGCTTGGGGAACGCGAGCGTCAGCAGCACGAGCTTGGACTGGAGATCCGACGAGACGTTGGTGGGCGCGACGCTGTTGAGGCTGCCGGAGAGGTCCGCAAACGGCTCCAGCGTGAAGGACTTGTTCTGGTCGAACTCGATGAGCAGCATGGGGTTCTTGTAGTGCTGGAACATGGTCTCGGCCTGGCTGTACAGCCTGCCGTCCTTGAAGGACGAGATGAGATCGCTGATGGACTTTCGCTCCACGCAAATGTTGGGCGACAGGATGTAGTCGCCCACCGTGAGCATGCACGGCACCACCACCATGGAGCGTCCGTGCAGCAGAGACGGCAGCGAGGACCGGAACTCTCGCACGTCGACAACGACCCGCGGAGGCTCTGCCGTGGCCGCTAGCTTGCCGCCTCCGGCGATGCGGGTGTTGACGGTGCGCAAGAAGGCCTCCTGCGGGTCTTCGATGCCGTGCGGGTCGACCGTCATGACCAGCGACATGCTCGCCCGCTCCTTGATGAGCTTGGTGAAGGCGTCCTTTTCCCTCCTGACAGAGGAGAGGTACCGCTGCTCCTCCACCGAGCCCCCGTAGTACAGAAAGTATACCTTGACGTTGCGGTCGTTGTGTGAGGAGCGGTACACCTCCACGCGGCGGATGAAGGAGGCGTCGGGCTCGTACATGATGATGTAGCGCGGCTTGACCTCCTCCAGCACGTGCTCATCCTGGTCTCCGTCGTAGGCGTGAACAATCACCAAGTCCTGCATCTCGTACAGCTGATAGTAATCCTCCATGTTCTCGAGCGGGTCGGCGGCAATGTCGTCTTTCTGCTGCAGCGCTTCCTCTTCCGTGATCTGGACCTCCGCCATCAGATCGGCCACCTCCCCAGGCTTCTCGAAATACTGCGCAATACTCCCATTGTCGGTACGCCCGGACATGATCATAGAGCCTCCGATATTGCCTCCGCCGCGCATTCTCCGTCGTTTGTTTGCTGGTGCCTTGCCGCCCCTAAGGCTGCCGCCGTGCCCTGACCGCGTGTCTGTTGCCCCGTTGAGGGCTTTCTGGTTCTCGGCAAACAGGGTGGCGCTGACCTGCGCAAACTGTTTCTTCCATCTCAGATAGTTTCGAAGCTTCCGCCTCAGCATGAAGTTGGCGGACGGTTTGTGGGCTTCCTCGGCACGCTCGGGCTCAAGCTCTGGGTCATCTGCGGCGGAAAACCCGCCCCTGTCTACATTCTTTGGCTTGATATGCATAGTCTGAAGGAAGTCGCGCAGCTGCCGACACGTATCCGTGTTTGAGCACATGATGAGTATGCCCCCGTTAGAGTCATCTCGGACCTGTGGCTCATAGAAAAGGTCTCGATCGATTTCCTCCAAAACCTCTGCGAGTATGCCCCATTTCGGTAGCTCCTCAAGGACGGGGCGCAAAGAATCAATGTTCTCGCCACTCTGTGATACACTTTTGGGACTGGCAGAGTAAACACGCCTGCGTGCGGTGTCAAAGATGGTCTGGGCAGCATCCAGAAACAGCCAAGGGGATTGAGACTGCCGGGTGGACCCGGGAGGAGGAGAATGCGCGGCGTGTATGGTGTCGAGGTGCTGGAGAAAGGACACGGCATCATAAGTGAGTATGTTGCTGAGAAGTCCGCGCAGAATAGTCAAGTCGTTGACAATCTGGCGTGTCTTCCAGCTGACGCGATGCCAGTTTGGATCCAGCTGCCGGCGAACCATTACGTCAAAGTTCTTGAGCAAGGCGCTGTCCAGGTTCCAGTCGTCCATCTCCAAGCCCGAGTTGCCCTTCTTCAGCTCGTGAATGCTGACCTCGACGCATTCCATGATGGCATTCTGAATGTCCCTCATCGCGTCCGTCATGGGCACTTCAAGCTCAATGACTTCCGCCTTCTTCTTGCCTTCAAGAGACTGGGCAACGGTGACGTGGAACCTGGGCCAAAGGGACGCCTTTTTGAGGAAGAGATTCCTCATCATGGTGGCCAATGGCGAGAACCCCGTCGTGAAGGGATCCGGATTGTCTGAGAAGGCCTTGAGAAAGCCCACTTTGTTCTTTTGCCTATACACTCGCAGAATGAAGGCCTCTAGAGACGTGGCGATGATTCGATCCGCGTGGAGAGCAATGATGCCGGTGATGAGCTCGGGGTTCAGCAGTCCCGTCAGCAGATCGACCACGAGAATGCGAGATGTGATGCTGAAGATGCCTCCATTCGCATACATCTTCTCCCTGGCACCGACGGTCTGAAGATCGGTGTTGACCACGGTTAAGCCGCGTGCCTTGGGAGACGCACTGATGGCGGCATGCTCGGCCAGGGCTTCGCCAATCCAATTGTTCTCGCGCTCGTTGGCGCCGACAACGACAATGAGATTGCTTCCCGCAGCATCGTAGGAGTGCAGCAAATTCGTGACAATGCGCATCTGGCCCAGGCCACGGGCGAGAATCACGAGTTCATCTTCAGCTCGGAGCTCCTGGAACAGCTGCTGCTGGTATTCCTATGGGGACTGGATTAGCCCGTGGGCAGAGACCGGGGGGAGACTGGCAGCAGGAGAACCAACCAGGGGCAGCGATAGTTTGACTGGCTGCGGCGCATTGCTGGTCGACATGCGGGGCGCCGAGGGGATGGTGATGATGCTTCATGGCCGAAGCGTGAAGTTGAAGCTGTAAGAGTTCCGTTCTAAGATGCAGTGGATGTTAGCTGCATGAGGTGCCCGTCCGTTACCTAGACGGAGCCGTTTTAGTGTGACGGCTAACGCTGGGGAATTGCCGTTTGGTCTTGGTCTTTTTCACGTGATACTTTTCTATTGCTAGTACTCCTTATTACTCATTCCTAAGCCGTTTTGTACGTGATCCTGAGGACGCAAGCAATGACATGACACTACATCACCAAGGCAGGGCCCAAAAGTACCGAGTGCATTCATCAATAAATGAAACACCAGAGAGCGATTGCAGTGATACTTCATATGCGTCTGAATCTCAATTCTCCCAAAAATGGTATTACCCAAAGGTCCTACAGGGTGGCATGTCGCACAGCTGGCCCAACCAAGGCTTGGACAGGACCGGACAGGACAAATGCAGTGAGTGCCAATGACGTCTCGGCCAACGTCATCCAGCTAACGCCACCGGTCTGCTTGAACCTGCCAACTTTTGCGGGCTCCAGCTGTCTGAACCTACCCAAGGCGCTTACATAGGCTACCAGGATATATAAGTCGACAGCAGTTTGCGGTTTACCGCCAACCTACACCTGCAATCACCATCACTCCACTGTCAACAATTGCATGATTTTGTTTCGTCACAGGACAATCTCGCAACGCTGCACACATACAAAGATACACACAAAGATACCCGCTACACGCACTAGAACCATCATGGACTCTGGCAAGAACCAGCAGAAGAACGAGGTTTGTCTACCTATTCCTGTTCTCTAACACCGCCGAAACAAGACATGGCATTCGCTGATAGACAGACGTATAGGGCGAGAAGCAGTTCTCAATCCAGCCCATCAACGAGTCGAACGTCGACCCCAAGTTTGCCGCGCATCAAGCTCACCCGGGTCCAGCCGTGGCCAAGGAGATGCCTCCTCAGCAGGGCACCAAGGAGGAGCGTCAAGCTAGGAAGGAGGAGTTGAACAAATAAGCAACAAGGCCAAACGACCACGACTTTAATGATACATGATTTAATAATAATTTTCTCTCTTTGCTGCGTAACACGGCCTCTCGCAGAGGATTCGCTGTGCCCCTTGAATCATTCAAAGTACATAAGGCAACGGCGGGGTATGAATGAATGCCTAGAGGCCATGATCATGATGTAAGGGTCGAATGAATGTCACTGTAAATGACCATTCCATATGAATCTATTTTCGTACTATGGCGTTTGAACCCGCATCTGCCCGAAATGGATCCCGTACAATTACGGAGTACTACGTAGGTAGATAGTAGATATATCAGACAACAAGACCCATAGCTTCTGCTACGTTCTGGAATCGTAAAGCATCGTCGCCGTCGAAAGAGGCATCGTGCCTTTCCTGCGAGATGACGAAGGGACTGGCGCGGCCTCGTGGTGGCCGCAAAATAAAGTCCTGTCAGCAATTGAAGGTCAGTCAGCATTGGTTGATGGATTGCTGATTTGTTCACTCCCGCTCAAGCTGCCATTGAGTGAATCGACTGAACGCCCCAATCTGCCTGTAGCCGCTGATGCTAGCGCTCTGTACTTCATTACAGGGAGCACCATGCCCTATCCGCGCCCGCATCCTCGCAATTTATAGTGCTCGTGCCTCGCACAGCTGCTGCGGATTCCACAAACGCCCCCCGAAGCGGAACCCCCAGAAACCGCCAGAGCTCCACCGCCCTGCCTGATGTGCGGATTCCCGGCCGGTTCCAGCCACCTGCAGTGCTTTGTCCACAGCAGCGAGTGGCTCACTCACTCAACCTCACCTCTCCCTCTTCCCTCCCGCTCTCGCTCTTCGCCCTGCAAACCACTCGCAATTCTCCCTTGATGCCTCCGCTGCTGGAGGCGCACGTCCGACTCGATCACGCCCGTGACAAGCAGCCCATCAGCTCCGTCGTTTCGGCCCGAGAGCATCGCCCGCGTCTGCCTGGTCCTTAGTGAAATACCGACGATTGCTGTGCTGCCTTTTTGACAGCGGGCGCCAACTTTTGGCTTGCCAGACGAAAAGAGGAGACGGTCAAAGCTACCATCTCATCTACCAACCTTAGGCGCTCCCCCTCTTTCCACGCCGCCGAACCGACGCTATACGAACAAGTCGCTCGTTGACTCTTCGCTCCTCCTGTCAATTTCCCGCCATCCTCCAGCCTCGACCTCGTCCGTCCGCCCCTTGACTCCGCCGCCCGTCTCCGTCTCAGCGACCGCCCTCCAGCGGGTCTACCGCCAACATGCCCTCGATTCTCAGCGACGACGACAAGGACACCGTCAAGCGCCACGTGCCCAAGCAGTCCAACAAGATCCAGGCCGTCGCCGTCGCCAAGCTCTACGTCGCCTACCCCAATCGCTCGAAATGGACCTACTCAGGACTGCAGGGCGCCGTTGTCCTGGCCAACGACCTGGTGGGCAATACCTACTGGCTCAAGATGGTTGATATCTCGGTATGAATAATCCTCGAATTGCTTTCCCCCCCAAAAGCCCGTTGATCGCCAGTCTCTTCAGCATAGTTGGAGAGAATCTGGAAGTGAAGGCGATCTACGAAATAGCGAAGAAGAAGATGTGGAAGCAGGGGAAATTGGGAAGAGAGGAAGAGAGTTCATCATGTTAACAGCTTTGGCAATTTGAAACAGCCCTCCAACCGCGGGGTCATCTGGGACCAAGAAATCTTCGATACGTGGAGCTACAACCAGGACCGAACCTTCTTTCATACGTTCGAGCTGGAAGAGTGCCTTGCCGGACTCAGCTTCGTCGACGAGAAAGAGGCCAAGCAGTTCAAGAAGAAAATGGACGAGCGAGAAAAGAACGCCAGCCGAGCCACGAGAGCAACGCCCTTTGGCGGATCGGCTCATGCGTCGGGAGGCCAGAAGCACGGCTTACTGGGGAACATCTTCCACCGACACTCGAGCGTCTCCATGATGCCGGACACCACGACCTCCAACTTGTCGGGCTTCTCTCACAATTCCGGCTCTTCTGTCAGCTTCGACGGCGGTTCTGAGTTTGCTCTTCTGGATGCCTTTGATCCTATGTGGCGCGAGCATTTCGGCCAGGACCTCAGTGACAAGGGATTGACGGACGATTTCATCAAAGACAACCAGGAGTTCATTGTCGACTTCCTCCGAGAAGAACAGGCCAAGCTGCAGAGCGAAGCAGCGCCGCCGCCTCCTGCCCCGCCCGCACCCCCTGCGCTGCCGTCGCCTTCGACCAACGGCCACGCGGTGAGGGCGCCGCCGCCTCCTCCGCCTGCGTCGCCTTCCGCAAGGAGAGCCGGACCTCCTCCCCCTCCAGCTCCGCGGCGGTCGGGTGCCAAGGTCGACGGCGATCCCAGCCCACCAAGAGCACCATCCCCCCCTCGGCCGAGGTTCAATGCCCCTCCACCCTTGCCCGACGCGGGCAAGTTTGCGCATCAGGTCAATGAGAGGAAGAAGCCCGCCGCGCCTGCTGCTGTTCCATCCGTTCCCGGGCCTCCTCCTCCCCCTCGGCCCGCCAAGACGCCCATGGACGCTGAAGACCAGCCTCACAAGTTCGGTGTTCCGCCTCCCTTCACCGGTCAGCGCGTCCCTGCGCCTCCAAGTCGCGGACCCGTGCCTCCTCCCCCGCCACCTCGTGGCAGCGATGCCGGTGCGCCGGCTCCGGTGTCTCTCCCTCCGCCTCTGCCTCCCAAGGTGCCGAGCTCGAGCGCTCCTCCATTGCCGCCGCCAAGTGCTCGGCCGGTCCCTCCTCCGCCCGCGGTCAGCCACGTACCGCCCCCGCCCCCTCCTCCCGTGCCGGTAGCCAGCAGCGCTCCAGCTCCGCCTCCGCCTCCTCCACTGCCTACGGTCAGCGCTCCTCCTTCGGTGCCGCCACCGCCGCCGATGCCCTCACCAGGTGCCGCAAGTGCTCCTCCTCCCCCACCGCCGCCTCCTCCTCCGATGCCCAGCGCTGCTCATGCCCCTCCGCCTCCGCCTGGTCCCCCGCCGGTCCCGGGAGCTGGCAGTGCGCCTCCAGCACCCCCGCCCCCGCCTCCACCCGGCCCTCCACCGATCCCTGGAGCCGGAAGTGCTCCTCCTCCTCCCCCTCCCCCGCCACCATTCCCATCAGCAGCAGGCGCGCCGCCTCCTCCCCCTCCGGCAATGCCCAACCGAGATTCTGGCTATTCTTCAGGGCCTACGGCTCCACTACCTCAGGTGGATGGTGGACGTATGTCCCTTCTTGGAGATATTCAGAAGGCAGGAGGCATTGGAGCACTCAAAAAGGTGGACCGATCCAAGATCAACGATCGCAGTGCGGCAGCCGTTGGAGGATCTTCTAGTGCCAGCGCAAGTGCTCCCAGTCTTCCGGCCGGCGGCGGCATGGCAAATGCCCTTGCAGCAGCCTTGCAAAAGAGGAAGGACAAAGTCAGCAAGAGCGGTAAGTTTCTCTGTCTCATATTCCTTTACTCACTACCTATGAGGTACATACATATCAGAATACTGATTCTTCTGCGTGTATAGATGACGAAGAGGAAGATGACGATTGGTAAAGAGAAATAACTTGGCTCTTTGACGAGAAAAGAAGCGAGATGCGCCTTATGAGTTGTGGTATTTGTGACGGCCATCAAAGGCCGGAGAGGACACTATATTCCCTTCATCACAATACCATAACCAGGGGAAACAGGAGAATAAGCACAATGGCTGCATGCCAAGCTGACTTTGCACACGGCAAGTCCAGCGACAAAATTACTACAACCCTGTGCTTGCCATACAAGTTGGACATTCACGAAGGGTTGCGGTCTACGGGGAGATGTATGGCCGGAAATGGGTAGTCGGTCTGGAGGGGCACGCTGGCCAGAGGTGTCTGGAGTCAGTTGTAGGCAAGGCAGTTGATGTTATTATCTGATAGATTGATCGGCTCAAATACTGTAGCAAATGGTACGCTGTCGATGGGGTGGAAAGGTTTAGGATGAATCAAGATGAAGAGGTGGAAGAGAGGGTGACGAAATAAAAGATTTCACAAAAAGGTATAATGGAGGCACGTCCTACAACGTCTCATGATGTTCACAGAGGAATATAGTCATGGAAAGGCACCATGAAAGTAAAGGGGAATAGCCGTAGTCATGAGAGTAAAAGAAACATAACAATCATACCAACGGTCCTAGTAGTAAAGGTGGAAAACGTGAACGTGTGAAAAGACAAGAAATACACCCAAGTGACGAGCCGCGCCGTCTCTCCCACCGCGGCCATCGAATAATCCTCCACTCCGGATAACTGTCGTGGGACCCGGCGAGCAGCGGTGAGGGGGGGACCCCTCAAGCTGCGTCCAAAGGGTTTGAGAGAGAAGACAGCGTGCCAAATCTACCAAAGGTTGCAGGCTGGCCATCCCTTTTGTTGCTGTTGTAGACCTTTTGTCATTTCCTCCCATCCTTCTTCATAGCGCACAGAGGGGTCGGAAACGGGCAAAAGGGATGATGTTGAGTTCATGTGAGCAGTAGGAGGCAAAGGCGTGAATATTTCCTTCTTTGTCCCTCCGCAGGTGTTTTCCCTGAGCCGAGTAAGACAGAGAACGCTCAAATGTCGTCGATGTCGAGCTCCTTCTTCTCGCCAGGCTCAGACGCCTCGGACTCGGACTCGTCGGCGCCGAACTCGAAGCCGGCGTTGTCGTCGCCGTCCTGGCCGTACGTGTCCGTCTCGTTGATCTTTGCGTTCTCGGGCAGCTCGCCCAGGTTCTTGAGGTTGCGGGCCTCGTCGGAGGTGTACTTGAGGATGACGTCGCCCTTGCCGTCCTGGAAGTCTCGCAGGGAGAGGAGGATGATGTCGCCCTGGTTGATCCAGACCTTCTTGCGCATCTTGCCACGGATCTAGACGAACGTCGTTAGCCTGTGCTCTTCTTTCTTCTTGGTGTTCCCATATTCGCTGCCTTGCCCTGACGGCGGAAGATGGTGGAGCAGCATCGGCCGCGCGTCATGCGTCTTGTTTTTCCCGCCTCTTCATTTGTGTGCATCATTTTATTTCTCAGGGGTAAAAGGATTCGACATACGTTTGCGAGACGCTTGCTGCCGTCAAAGCACATAGCCTCGAGTCGGCCGTTGCCAAGCATCTTGACGACCTGGGCGTACTCTTGGCCGTCCTCCTTGAAGGTCAGCTCTCGGCGCTGGTCATCGTTCTCCTTGGTTCCTCGTCTGCGGTTCTTGCCGCCCTATTTTGCGCAAGAAAGAGAGAAAGTCGTTAGCCGTGAGCTCCATGTCATCAAAAGACAGCATTTCCTCGAATTTCCTTTCTTCCTTCACCGCCGCGTCGAGAGTCGGGAAAAAAAGAAGACCATCGAAAAGTTGGTGGGGGAGGGGTTGTTTTGGGAATTAATTTGCGTATTCCCTCCCGCCCTTATTTTTTCTTCGGTGGCTGCGTCTTTTCTCTCACTCCGTCGCGCTGTGCTGCCGCAAGAAACACGAGTAAAGACGTACCTTTCCCTTGTTCTTAGGCATCTTGACTGTTGGCTCAAAGAATCTGGAGTGTCGGTGACCGTGAGACGCAGGAGGTCAGGAAAAAGTCGGCGACTCGCAGATTCTTATAGGTGAGGCAAGGTTGGGGCGAATTAGCTTTCAGGCGCAAAGTCAGCCCAGGAAAATGCATGCGGCTTGGTGACTCAATGAGTCACGTGATGAGAGTCACCAGGCAAAGCCTCGTGTAAGCGCCTCAACGTTTACAAGGTTCGAGGCCAGCAGGATCATGCGGGTTACGCTGATTCTCAATCTAGGAGCAAGAGTTGATGGTACGAAATTCTTAAATATTGACTCACGTTGAAGAAGGATGAGTCGACTTGTCTTCGCAGCCATGATCTGGAGAGGCGGATACCACATCTCAAGACGGACGGGAGAATGTGGCTGAAAACAAGGGATATTGCAGGCCAGGTGGAGTGTGTGCATGCGCATCAAGAGTAAAAATAGCCAGTCATCTCTTCATCATTACTCCGTACATCTGCAGCATTCTATGGAAGTCTGCAGCAGTACTGCCTTTCCAACACACCACACCATTAATAAACAAAGTCTTCAATAGAATAATTTCTGAACATATGAAAATCTGGATACGTGTTGAGGTACCTGGTGAGAGATTAGAGACCATTGAAGAACTTTCACCAGTGACGAGGTCTTCTGTACCTTGCGCCACACCTGGTTTACATAAGCAGCTTCAAGCTCTGCAGCCTTCATCGTGATATCGTCGACCACTTCATGCAGCGAAGCATCTTGTAAGATCCAGCAAAGAGACACATATCAAATCCAGACGGACGAAGAGAGAAACCTAAAAAAATACAAACAAGCTCCACATGTCGACCCAAACCATCACAGCATCACCATCATGACAGTGGCATCTCACGCTCCCCTGCCCATGCTGCATCTCATCACCAAGCGACTCACGCAATCCCCATGCTCTCAAGGTCCCTTATTCTGTCCACGCCCCCCAACAAACATCCGCTTCTCATCCTCCTCATCCTCCTCATCGTCATCATCCACCAGAACCCCACGCCAAAGGACACCACCACCACCCTTCCAACGAAAAACCCCCCTCCTCAGAGACACCATCCGGCGCTTCATCCCCGAAGAGGCCAAAAAGTTCGTCAAGCCCGACGGCAGGCTCCTCACGAACCGCGAGAACAGGGACTTCTTCGCGACCTACAACCTCGAGCCGGACAACGGCGCCGCCCGCCGCCTCACCACCGGCCCGGCCCTGCAGAACGCCTCCAAGGCGTACAATGCCACCATCGCCTTCAGCCCGCGGCACCTCATCCACCCGCACGACCTGCGCTTCTTCGACCCCCGCGGCCACCCGCTCGCCGCCGCCCGCCGCGACAAGTACCGCCGGAAGACGCTCGAGGAGCCCCTCTGGATCATGTTGACGGGCGCGGGGGCCTCGTCCGTGGTGCGCACCCTGACGCAGAGGCGCCTCAAGTGCGCCATCTACCGCAGCCTGGAGGACCTCGGCTTCCGGAACGGCGTGGGAAACGGCAAGGAAATTCGAGGGACTCTGTGGATCACGATTCACGACCCGGTCAAGGCGTCGAAGCTGTCGCCTTGGCCGTTTGGCGAGGCCGTTGCCAAGGCTCTGGCGAGCAGGTGCGCCCAGCCCCTGAGATGAAGGGGACTGGCCGTCTCTTCGCATTCCTCCCACGCTGCCCCTTTTCCTCATGTAGGGGAGTCTGGTAGATGCTGAGCATCAATCCTGTTGACTCACGCATCAGCTCACCTCAGTGCAATATGGAAACATATCCAGAATCGCAATACTCAGTCATGCGTTCGAAACACATCAGACTATCGTCCTTAAGGGGGGCCGATACCATCCTTCAGCAACTCATCCTTAGCCGCAGATGCTGCAACGATCGGCCACAGCCCTGACAAAATCTCTGTTCCGTCCTGCATTCACGCCTGTGGAATATTGCAACCATCTTTATACACAAATCACCAGCTGTGTACTGTTTTATTTGGTATCCGCATAGATGAGACCATGCCCGACATCAGTCGGCCTATACAAGGATAAAAAAGAGGAAATAATCGAGCGCGAGCTGCGTGTTACACGGCCCTTCATGCAAAACGTGATATGAAAAGGAAAAAGCAAGGAGAACACAAAAAGCCAACATAAGCCTTGTCCATACATCCCCCATATGTCACAACCTCGCCGTGGCTGAAATAAAGCGAACACTCACTGTCAACTCCAGACCACGTCCGCCAAAACACATGAGACCCCAACCCTCGTGCACGGAACCAGACACAAGGCCATCAAACGCTTTCCTCCAACGCCAGTGCATGCTCTTGGTTGCCCCACGAATTCTCGGAGAGAGAAGGGAGCGTGGAGAAGAATAAAAGAAAAGAGGAAAGAAAATGGATCTCGACGGAATCTTCACAAGGAGCTTCTCTTCTCCAAAAGGGAATCGTCTGCCCCTTCACCTTCTTCCTCCGTCGAGGAAGCAGTGTATTTACCTTTGCCCTTGATATCCGCCGCCGTCGTCGGGCTCAGCTTGCTTTCCTTCATGCTCCATCTGCTGGCGGGTCGTTTGCCCGTCGCCTTCTTCGGCGTTGCTGTGCCCTTGCGGCTCTTTGATCTATCTGACCTGCCCATCTCAGGGGGAGATGCCATTCTTAGATCCTCACCAGACGAGTTTCGCCTTGTCGTCGGGGCAGTGGAACTGCTCTTCAAGTCTCGCATTTCCTTGACAACATCTGCAAAGCTTTCTTCCAGAGTCTTCATGCGAGCGAGAACCAGCCGTCCCATCCTATCACGATCCGCCGCGTCAGATCCGCCTGAGCTCCGTAGTCGGTTGTCCTTCATCATAGCCATAGCCATCTGCGTCTGGAAACTACCCGGTAGACCAGTGTTAATGTCTCCAGCAAAGGGTAGGTTCGTGTTGTCAGACAGAATGCTGAGGTCGGCCGACGAGAGCCTTCGAGGAGCGCGGTCTCGATTCCCAAGACTGTGCCCTAACATGGCCGACCTGCTCAAGTTGCTGATGCCTGTCAGCCCATGAGCAGGCATGGTGGAGCGAGTACTGAGGCCTGGCGGAGAGAAAAGAGCTCGCCTAGGCGGGCTGCGCATGCCAGTGGGCGTAATCGACTCGCCCGCCGCCATGTCCGCAGCATGCCCGCTTCGGCCTGCAGGAACGGCCGCTTTGGGAGGTGAAGCTGATTGGGAACTCTCGGTAGGCGGGGCCATTTCCCCGGGATTGTAGAGTATGGTGTTTGTAGACAAAGTGCGGTTGTGCAGTTCGCGTCGCCGGAGCTTGCCGGAGGCGTTTCCCTTGTTGGACGAGCTGTGCGAGGAGGCTATGACGGCTGACCGCGCGCCTGTAGGAGTTGTTGTGAAGTAGTCATCAGTCTCGCTCGGGGCGGTGTTGCCCCCTGCCGTGCCATGAGGACCGGCGCTGGTACCGAGGTCGTCTTCGTCTTCATCGTTTGTCACCAGCTCGTCATCTCCGTCAGCGTCGGTGTGGTCTTTATACTCGGGCATCAGGTGAGCAAAACGAGGGTCCATGAAGCGAGGGTCCACCATAGGGAACGCCCTATATGAAGAAGCCCCCCCGACATTAGACGCCAGGTCTGCCGGGTCACTGACGATGGACCTGAGATCCGACATATGCCTAGAGTTGGAGCGCAGGTCCCAGCCCATGCTCATCCTTCTCTGCCAGTCAGGCACAGCTCTGCTGTCCGATGGTGGCCAGTTGCTGCCGACACCCTCCTGGTCATTGCGGTCCATCCAATTTCGGATCGCCGTTTGCGTCTTGCGTCTCTCATGCCTCCTTTGCGTCTTTGTGGCCTCGGGCATGCGCATGAAGAGCTCGTCAAGAGCCCTGTCTTTCTGGTACCCGGCCACCGACTCTTCGCGTACGCGCATGCTGGGGCTGAAGATATTCCTGTTGCCCATATCCCCAAAGGAAATGGCCCGGTTCCTTCCCGGGTTCTCAACCAGATCCGTGGGCTCAAACATGGACGGCGCGAGCCAGAAGCGTTCGTACAAGTATATGCAGAACAAGATGGGGCAGTGAGTCACCTTGATGATGACGCGATTGAGCAAGACGAAGTGGCGAAGCGGCATGCAGTAACGTAGAGGCATGAGTAGCCATGCAAAGATGTTGGTGGGTGCGATATAAGAGAAGAGAGCATCGTTCTTCACCATAGAGATGGTGTTGATGGCGAATAGGAATCTGTGTGATGCGTAAGCGATTCATGGCCTCACCAACTGGATACTTGAAGGAAAGCATGGTAGGGTTTGCATACTGGTGCTCTTCGGTGGCATTGGAAGCAATTGCCATGAAGGAGTTGGTCAGGACGGTAATGAGAATTGTCCTGGTTTGAAGAGTTAGCAAACCTGGCAGGACTCCGGATGAGAGATTCGTCAAATACATACACAATCAAGAAGTGGCAGATGATGAGGAACAAGCACAGCAACGCTCGCGCAAGCCAGTTGTACGATGGCCATCTGTTGTCATGTCAGTTCTATATCCTTCGATTCAAAGGGCTGAGCCCGAGAGGATATGTGGTAAAAGAGGGACAAAGGGAGAGGGGGGAATCATACACATCCCAAGCGGCAGGCGTGAAGCCCATGAGGATCTGGAAAATCTTATAGGCAACCTCGCCACCATCGCTAGAGGCGGTAGAGGAAGTGAAGAAAACGTAAAAGCCGCTACAAACGATGAGAATCAAGACGCAGACAGCTGCCAAGTCCGCCGCCATGAGTCGAAATGCGATGAGCAGTTGAGAGAAGTACTGGTAGTGGTCCAGGATGCTGAAGATGCGAGGCAGCAGCAGGATGGCATTTGCGGCCAGCACATCGTAGGCCATGGCATTCCAGTGGTAAGGGTCGGCGAGGAAGACACCATAGACACGCATACAGTAATAGGCAATGAGCAGCACCAGGATACCCAGGTCAAAAATGTTCCAGAAGCTCATGATGTACAGGGCAAACCCTTGTTCATTGAAGCCGACCAACTCATCCAGCATGAAGCCGGCGCTCCAGAACCAAAAGACCAGTTCTAGGCCGGTGATTTGTGCGGATCGTCTAGATAGCACGGCCAGAAAGAGCCCGATGAGGACGGCAAGGGACAGCGTAGACAAGAAGGATCTATATCGCGGGACTCTGAGGCGAGACAGCTTCAGTAGAGATGCCTGCCTAGGGTCGTACAGCATCACGGTTCTTCTGCCCGGGGGAACGGCAAAGTGCCCCTGCTTGGGGGGCAGAGAGCCCAGGAGAGGCGTCCTATCATCAACTTTGGGCTGGCTATTGAAGCGCGAGAAGGGGCTCGATGGCGACTCCCGGTGCAGGCTATCGGCAGAAGAATAGAAGGAAATGGCGCCATTCCAGATGGCCTCCAGCTGCTGGACCACAACCGGGTGGGCGAGAAAGTGCTTGGCCGAGGCTCTGATTGCAACCTCTAGGGTCGACGTCCGCGACGCTACGAGGAGAGTGCTTTTGGTTCTGCTGCTGGTGCTGCCGGCCGTCCTGGGAGGTGCCTGTGAACCTGGCAAGCCTTGGAGCGGGTAGAAGTCGTAGGCCAACGCATCGATCAACTCGCGAGTGGAGTATTCCTTGAGCAGCTTCAAGGCCAGCAGCTCACAGACCTTGGCCCTTGTGTTGCTGGTGCCAGCATTGGCGGCATACATCTGGCCCTCCTTGGTGAACTGGAGGCAGTTTGCCATGAGGGCGTAGAGGGTGGCCCGTGAGAAGTGTTGGTTTCGGATCTGCTGCTGCATCGGCTTGATGAGGAATTGAGAGACTTGGGGAGACCGCAGTTGGTCCCAAGTGAGCGTCGTCTCAGTGCGAGCACTCACGATGATTCGAATTGCGTGGGTCAAGCTGTAAACCGGAAGCGTGTCTGGGACAAAGAAGCAACAGTGGGGTGTAAGTCAGCTAGGTCAATCCCGTGGTTGGAAGGCCCATGATTGAAGACATTGACGCTGAGGAGGTGTAAGTCATACCAAGATGCGTTGAGGAGAAGAGTGGGAGGACGGGCAGAGTATTGCGTCTGCGAGGCGGGCGGTCCTCCTCTCCATCGTCTGCCTGGCCCCCCTGATCTCGTCCTGCAGCATTGTCGTTTCCATAGTCATGGCCGGCACGGCGACGGATGTTGCTGTCATTGTTGTCGTCGAAAAGGCCTGTGGCAGTCCCATTGTGGTGGTCGCTATTGCTGTTGTTATTGCCGTTGTTGTCGAAGCGGTGACCTTCATCCTCGTCTTCGTCCTCGTCGTCGTCTGCTTCTGTAAAGTCCGCCGTGGCATGAGTGCGATGGATGGCGAATGTTCGAAGCGGCGTGACGGTGGACGGCGAGACGCTCTCGTGTCGAGTAGAGGCGCGACGGGGAGCTGGCCGAGGGCGACGCAGCGCTATGGACGACATGTTTTGCCTGGTTGAGCCGCAAGTTCGAGTTGCCTATGCGGTTTAGATCGTTGCCGCGGTTGCAGCTCGAGCGAGGCTCCGTCTCCCGTCTCACTCACTCGCTCACACCCTCTCGTTTTCAGCACCTGTCGGCCGGGGGCGCCATGAGGAGTCGCAGGGCAGGTTCAGGAGGCAAAAAAAGGGCGAGGAGCCGCTCCCGCTTCTGCGAGCTGGGGTGGAGAGGAAGGAAGAGAAGAAGAATCGCGGATGGCGAGAGCAAGGCGGGCGGTTTGGACGAGTCCTATGGAGCAAACAAAGGCCTGGACTGGACAGTTGCCGCCGGGCTGGGCTCCTGCTAATCTGCTGCCCAGCGCAAGCCCACAGCGGAGCGAGAGCCACTACGGAGGACCGAAAGGGCTGCTGTTAGTGGGCTGAGGCAGGCCTGTAATAACGAGCTGGAGGTGCCGGGCAGGGGTCTTCCCCAGCTAGGTGCGTGGGCGAGCCCAGCAGAGGTTAGTGCAGGCAAGGTGCTCGTAGGTGCTAACAGCAGTCCGGTCCACGCCCGCCACATGTAGTAGAGATATCAGCGTGAGGGATTGATGGACTTGAGGCTGCTTTTTAGCAGTGATTGACTGGATGATCGCCCCGATGGTTGATATGTTGGTTGACCATCCATGTCTCGGCTCTGTGTTACATTTACCTGCCTGCACTCGTCATCCACTCACGGCGCAATATCAACAGGAGCAGCCAGATCCAAGATCTCGAGATCCAGAAGCGAAACCAGCTCGTGGGAGAGGGGCCGAGAAAAAAGGAACGAGAGCAGAAACAACATGAAGAATACGCCTCGTGGACAGTCTGTGCGGAGCCCGGGAAGTCGACAGTCATGACATCAAACGTCGGCTGTCGTGCTTTGGCCTCGTGGGCGCTGCAACCATGGGTCTATCTGGATAGAGCTTAGCTGGGGGTCCCCTTTTTGGGTGGTGTTGCAAATGCTACCGTACTCCGTATTTATCGGTCACGGTATCGCTTTTGTCTTCTTTCTTGCGTCGTCCGTCCAAGCAGTTGCTGCCACTGGACACCTAGATGTTGATTGACCCGCATGGGAAAGGGTATTTTGGGGGCATGGGAGATGGAGTTACCGATGCCTGGCTTCTCCCCCCTCTTTTCGCTGCCCCCGGCCACTTGGACCCCCCGCCTGCCGTGTCTTTCGTCAATCGAATTCCAAAGGATGTTGCTGCGACGCAGGGAAATCATGAGATCAGCAGCAGACTGCCATTTCCTGGGGGTGGCACAGAGAGTCCCTGCATTGTTGCTTGATTGACTGATGGATGGATGTACGGCGTCCATCCTTGCATACGATACATGCCTACATGCCATGTATGTATGTTCTTCCGCATGAATGAACTTTGTGCACCCGCATGCTCCCCTCTGTGCAGCCAGCCAACAAGAGACGCAGCCGTGGGACGCATGACACCACGAGCATCGATCCAGGATGGTGAGAGAGGGGAAGAGAGGGTGGGCATCCCACATGCCAGACAAGTGCCGCCGATTGGGGCGACTTTTGTTCCCCCTTCGTTCTCTTGGCCGCCGGGCGAATCACATGGGGGTCATCGCAGGGTTTCAGTTCTCCAGAGAAGGGACGCTAGAGCAGAGGAGAGATTTCTCGCTCATTTGTTGTCGTCCGTATACGATCTTGATGATTCCGACAGGAACATACCTGGCTTGGTCTAACTTCGTACAATGTAAGTACTCGCGGTGAGACAAGCCTCTTGGGATGGTTCAAGATGACGGACCACAAACCGCCCATCTCAAAGGTCTTAGAGGTGTCGTGACCAAGAAAGCGTGCGCCCTGCCGAGCAGATCGCCGGCTCGGGCTGCCAAATGGCCTTTGCGCACGACGACTAGGTAGCTTGCAGTTAGGATCAATGATGCGATAAGCCGATGCGGGCTGAGATGTTCATGGCCGTTCGTTAGCTCCGACGTTAAATTGCAACAGCGTCACCGCTGCCAATAGCATCCATGGTGCTGGAACCAGGTCGTTGCAGATCAAGATACCTGTGAACCGTCAGATAGTCATCTGGCATAACTCAAAAGACGGACTTGTGTGGATGAAAGGGGCAGATACGGACAGTACCTCGGGCAAGTCGACTAGCCCAGATGACCACTTACACGGAGTGAAGATCTGCTTGCAGTCGTGGAGAATAGAGACGCCTCATTCGTGACATCAATCTGAATCTTCAGGAGAACCGATAGCTAGAGTTTGGCATCCCTGTTGCAACTGTAGCAGGGAATTTGGTCTTAAGAGTGATGCCCTTCTTAGCCGGGGTTGGCAGATGATTGCTCGACTGCTCCGAATGACTCGAGACGGTGATTCTTCTGGAGAGATACATGCTCCTATACCGGGGTTGCCGTCTGCGCTGGTTATCTGCTCTTTGCATCCTTAGACCGTCGTAAGAACAGGGTCAAGACGAAAGTCCTCCCAGTAGATGATTCTCACGGAGCCTCGGCTGTAGAGTGTGTTGAAGGAGCCCCCTTGAGGCGGCATGGAAGAGCAAGCAAGGTTGCCAGGTGGAGCGGCTTTCTGATAACCGTAAAGTCGCATTCGTCGACGAAACTGTTTGGCAGCAGTTCTTGGTATGTTATATAAGAGAGATGGAGCGGGAGGGCTCGCTGGTGATGATCCGCATCAATGTCGCTGGATAGTCGTATCATGCTAAATTTGAGCGGGTTTCGGTATATGGGGATCGGATAAAGTCTTTCGAAATTCTCTATAAGGTACGCTTGTTCCTGCCTGTTTAACGCACGATGTTCGTTGCCTTCACAGTCGTTTACATGGCGCTCTTTGCGCCACCGCTCTCAATTTCTTTTTCGATTGATGTAGATGAACAATTGGCGAAATCCAAGGGTATCCCGACTAAACATCGACAAACCAGAGTAGCCGATAGGAATGCGTTCGCACTCGAATGATGCCCAGTCGAAGGGTCATTTGCTGGCATATAGTCAGCGGCGTCGAGTTTTGTCAGCCCGAAGAGGATCAGCCAAAGATGTCAATATCCTGACTGGTCATTGGATTGAAACCGTTGTGTTGTTAGTAGTCGAGCAACTTTTTGAAGGGAACTGTTGGCTTCCGCAATGTCGAGGGTTCCCGTTCAACATGTAATCTGAATTCCGAATTGTGCCCGATTGTAGAGCAGCAAGTTGTCTCCCCCGTGGCAGCAAATGAGAAACATCAACTCCCTGCACATTGAGCTCCACACGGCGTTGGCAAACTTGAACAAAGATGAGAATCCGGGTGAGAAGGGAAGAAGTCGAAGGCTATCAGAGCACATGAATAAGACCTTCAACACCTATATTATCAACACCTGTATTCGGAGGAGAAATCAGTACTTGTTTTCCTTTATCCTAACTTCTCTCCAGACCTGATTGATGCTATTGAATGAAGGACTGCCTCACTCTTTCTGCTGTCAGGATTAATGGAGGCGAGGAGCGTAGAGGAAGCTGCATCAGCTGCGGTAAAGACTGGCCATGCCAGCAAATCAGATGCTCCGTCACGGCCGCATCATCAAGGGGGAAGTTATGATCTTGATTTTGTCAAGATGACAATACATATGGCCAGCAGCTGTTGGAGAAATGTCCTGAGTGGGGTTTAGGTAAGGCACATGTACTACCTGCTTGTGAGTAAGAGGTGCCTGAGGCATCGTGACGTTGGAGGTTTTGGATGGCAAGGGAAGGAACGACGCAGAAGACTGCGGGGTCCCATCTCAACAAACTTGCAGAGTCTGCTCATGAAGAAGACGACATGAATAGGTACCTAACTGATTGGAATCTGATTATAATCAAGGCATGAGGTATCAGTAATTGGTCGAGAATGAGATTCTACTCTGCCAAGCCAAGGCCAATATCTTGTTCAGTTTCCCTACGCCGACTTTGCGAGCATGTCGTGTCACGTTTGGGCACTTGTACGTCGAGGCTCGTCTCAAATTGTCGTGCGATGTATGTATGTGTATCGCCATTGATGCCAAAGGCCGTAAACTGGTAGGCTAACTCTTACGAAGATGAGCAAGCACTCAGACATCCAACCGAAGCATGGACATGTTGGTTCAAGATGGCCTTGATACGTCAATCCCTACCCCAGCTGTCGGAAGAATGCCAGAAGAGACCAGAGGCGTGCATCAGTCCTATGAGAGAGCAGCGTCGGCGGAAGAAACAGCTCATGGCCCAGTTCTTCCTCCTACCCAAAGGAGAGCGATGCAGAATTCGCTTGTTTAGCTCGATGCAGCGTTGGCTTACTGCAACTAACAGCTTAGCTTTTTGCAAAGGAATGCGCCAGGCTGGAGTTGAAGACGATGATAAACCCTGTTTGCAGAAGCGCTATGCTAGTAAGACTAATAAGGTAGTAGCTTCCTTGGTGAGGAAAGAACAGCGGTGTGATGAAGCTGGAAGAGAGGAAGTGAGAATTTTCACTCAGCCGTGTTCTGCGCATAGTTGCTTTGGTCCACAAGTGGCAAGATTCATGCCTCCAACTGCCGAATTTATGAGATGTGATCTCATATTGCTGCCGAGAGTGCATCGTCGGCTTTGTCAATGGTTGAACGAAGCATGCCCGGATGAGCCTATCGTCCTTGTACTGTAAGACTGGCATGTACTAGGTAAGGTAGGTAGTATCGTGTTGTATCTCACCTTGAGACAGCCAATACGAGTACTTCAACATATACTCTCTCTGACCGAGCCCGTGTGCCATTATTCGACTCTCTAGCCTGATGAAGCCATCGAATATCGAGGGCAAGCGGCATCTCACAGCACTGACCCGCATCACATGTTCTGTACAAACAGACAATGACGAATACGTAGTAAGAAAAGGTGAAATTATATTGACATCCAACACACCCTCATTGAGTAGTCCATCTCAGGAAAAGCCACAAACACGTCTCCGATTTGCTGGCCGGCTGGCGTGTAAGATGCGTCAAACGGCCTCGACACAAAGGGACAAGGCAGACAAGCAGAGTACGGCTGGTGGCTGGAGCTTTCTGATCCCACCAGCTCGCGCCACAGGAGGTGGCAAGGATCCACCCCTGGCCTTCCCGTCTGTTGTGGGGTGGATCTTCCCTCTAGCGCGGCATCCCCTTTGTGGCAAATGGCGGCGGTTATTTTGCACCAGCGCAGTGATTTTTGAGCCATTCAAACGGGGGACAATGACTCTGATTGCAGAGTGAGGGCAGGGACAAACATCACGGCCGCTTGCTTGCTTCTTCTCATGTGCGTCTTTTTAAGGTTGTGGGGGTCAGATTTGACAGACTGATGAGATGAGGTTGGAAGTAGGTATGTAGGGCAGAGACCGGCTCAGGGGATTCTAATGGCCTCGTGGGTGATGGATTCGTGCAGACGCCACAAAAAAAGGAACAGCAAAAAGGAAGAAAAGAAGGTAGATACTGTACATCAACCTCGTGGACGAATGCTTGAGAAAATGCCCGACGAGATCATAATGACACCTGTCGGCTGCGATTCTCTGGCTGCTGCATGAAGGCCCGTCGAGTGACCGCCTGTCCAGGGCGCTGAAGTTGGATGTGCTGCATTGACGTGCCCCGGCATTGGGCAATGGACTCGCGGGCCACTCACACCCAAACCTCCAGCACACACACACACAGCGCACCAGCTTGGTAGGTACGGCGGTAGCTCGGAATAGCGTCAGGGGTTCCTCGACCCGCCCTGACCACCACCTCAGGGTCGACGGTACCTGAGACTGCTACCGCCGCGAGCGCAGCACGTAGAGTACCTGCTACATGGGGTCCGGTCCCAGCGCCACTGCCCGGACATTTAGCAGCCAATAACCCCAAATGACTTGACCTTGATGCTACCCCATGTGCATTGCATGCCCCGAAGTCGAAACTCGTTGATGAGCCCGTCATGGTCATGGTTGTGGTCCGCTTCTGCCTCTACCTCTGCATTGAGCCGCTGCAATTTCTCGCCCACGCCAGTTGAGCTGCCGCCTTCATCGACGGCACTTCCGAGGCCACTTCAGCCCGAAAACGCGTCGCTCTTGTGGTGAACGATAATACCATCACAGCCAACACAGGACTCGAATTTCCCACGAATCTACTCCGTCAATACTGGCTCCATTCGATCCTTGACATCCACTGCCTTGCTTGACTCCCGCCTCCATCCTGCGACTATATCTGCTCACCTACAGCAAGCCGCTTCTTCCCCACAGCCTAGGCCTGTCCCGGAATCTCTCTGCTCTTTGCAATTTTTTCCCTTCTCGCTTCGTTCCTTCTTCCCCCCTCGATCTGTCTCCCCATCATCTTCTTCTCGGGGAACCCAGCATCGTCCGAATTCGCGGTGACCCCGGTGGTCAACACACAACTCCTATCCAGGCACCAACTAGCCTCAACCCGCAACCCGCCTGGAGCCCCTCGATGAAACACCAGCACCCAGCGTTTGCCGTATTCCGCAGACCGAGCACCACTGACCAAGGCAGCTCTTTCTTTCACCCGCGCAGGCTCGGGGGTTCTAGTACCGCTTTTTAGCTGTCCAGGTGCCGTAGCCGACCTGTCTGCTACCAGGGAGGTAGTGAGTACGAGGTGCTGGGGACAAATTGCTCCAGGAACCGAGTCGAACCACTTCTGCGCTATCCGTATTATCTGTGCTATCTCCTCTCGCCGCGGAAAGGAGGAAGGCGGTATCAGAGCCACCCCCGGACAATACCTTACTAGGGACAAGGCGCTCGAGGCAGGACACTCGTGGATCTGCCTGTCTGCATCGCACTGCGAGATACTTTGCCCACCGCCAAGAGCGAGCTCAACACACGAACACCTTCGCGACATCCAGCTAGGCGGGTCCTGATGGCGATGGATGCCGGCGAGAAACACGGCCACGAGCCGTCCACGCCGACCTTGGCCGTCGAAGCGGCCAAGGAAGTAGCCGTCGAAGCAGCCCCGAAGCACGTCGACGATGCCGAAGCTGCGACCCCAAAGACGACCCGCGATTCCATGGTGACTGTCAGGCTCTCGGAGCCGCCGGCGCTTTCGCTAGACACCAGTTCGTCCCGCGACAGCAAGTCGCCCGACTCGCCTACACTGCCGACGGCCAGCCATGCCTCCGAAGAGGGCGGCCTCGAAGCGCCAAGCGCCTCTCGAACCTCGACCGCCACCTTGTCTGTGTCCGCAGAGGCCAGCCGTACTCTTCATGACGAGCTTGGAGAGTTTGACGATGCCGATAGCGATTGCTCTGATCCCGAAGAAGTCAACTGGGCGGAGCTGGAAAAGACAGAAGATGAACAGACCAAAGACGAAGAGACTGATAATGTACGTGCGCATCCCCGTCATGACACGCAGTCCATAGCCCTCGCTACTCCTTTTGAAGGACTTTCGCTGACCTGAGGTTGTCTGTATAGTCCACCGCTTTGCTTCTGGCCCGTTTAGAACAGGAAAACGCCAAGTTGGCGACAAATCCAAAGACAGTCAAGGTCCAGCTTGTCGAGAAGCCCCAGCCCAATAGGCCGCGTCCGCCATCCATGGCTAAGCTCCGAAAGATGGTACGCGGGCCTACACCCGCCGCCCTGCGATACTCGATGCTGCCGCCTCCACCGATGACGGATCTCGAATTCTACGCAGCCCTCGTCAAGGACTACCAGCAGACCGCGGCAAGGCTCCCCACCCTGCTGTCTAACAAGATCCGCAAGGGCATCCCACCGCCGCTGCGAGGCGTCGTCTGGCAGAGCATGTCTGGTGCTCGTGACGCCAGCCTGGAGGAGCAATACGAACGACTCAATGGCGAATCTAGCCCTTATGAGGGTCTCATAGGCAAGGATCTAGGCCGGAGTTTCCCGGGTGTTGAAATGTTTCGCGACCCGGACGGCGACGGGCAGCGGATGCTGGGTCGGGTGCTGAAGACGTTTAGTTTGTATGACACCAAGATCGGCTACTGCCAGGGCCTCGCCTTTCTCGTCGGACCTCTGTTGATGCACATGCCCGACAAGCAGGCATTTTGCGTTCTTGTCCGGTAAGCTGCGTCCCCTTTCCCCATCTCCCTGCCTTTCAATCTCCCCTTCTCCAAAAGTTAGAAAGCGGCACGGCTGCCCTTGGGTCATTGAGATACACTTGATACTAACCGTGTCCGATGTGACTTCGTTCGCCCCCTTAGACTCATGGACCGTTACGATTTGAGAAGTTGCTTTCTGCCAGATCTTTCCGGGCTTCACGTGCGAATATACCAGTTCCGAGAGCTGCTGCGGGCCAATCTCCCCTTGCTGTCCAGCCACCTGGAGGATCTGCAAGTGGAGACGGCCTATGTCTCGCAGTGGTTCTTGAGTTTCTTCGCGACCACATGTCCCTTGCCGATGCTGTTTCGCATTTACGACGTTGTTTTCGCCGAGGGCGCTTCTGAGACACTGATGCGCGTCGCACTATCACTAATGCGCAGGAATGAGGCTAGATTGCTTGCCTGCACCGAGCTAGAAGACGTGATGCAGCTCCTTCTATCCAGGGGCCTGTGGGATTGTTACCATTACAACGCAGACGAGTTTGTGCAGGACTTTGGAAGCCTCACAGGCACGGTTACCCGAGAGAGGCTCGCCCAGCTCGAGCAAGGATACCGCGAATCTCTAGTTGCGACCGCCAATACCGCTCGTACATCTGACATCGCGACCGCCGCCGCCCGATTCCTAGGTCGCATCTGGGCGTCGTCCGGTGCGTTCCCGAGAAGCTCAGGCTTAGTCCCAGGTCTGAGTGCGCCGTCGAGGCCACTGAGCATGCTGCGTCGGAGCACCTCTAAACAAAGCCTTGCTTCGACTCTCAACTCGGTCGAGGCAAGCTCCATGAGCGTGATGAGTTCATCTTCCACAGATGCCACCACAGTGTCACGGGACTCTTCAAACACTACCGAAGACGACTCCGGAAGCCGTGAATCGACACCGGTTGGCCCCAAGGCCACCGCCGCTGCCAGCAGCAGCAAGAACACCGAGGACAAATATCTGCATAGCCAGATTGAGGATCTCCTTACGGCGCTAAGCGAGCTGCAGCGTAACCATGCGCTCTTGTCCAACGAGCTAAAGCGTGAACGGGAGGAGAGGGAGGAAGATCGCAAGGCCGTTCGATCGCTTCTGGATGGCCTCAGAAAAAGAGCGAGCCGCGGGGAAGAAGAAGAAGCAGCAGCAGCAGACGCAAGCGGAGATGACGCCGAAGACGCGACTGAAAAAGCTGATGAAGGGGAGGAAGCGGAAAAAGACGGGGAAGACGGAGCAGACAAACTGTCTGACAGCGATCCGACTGACGCAGCGGAGGCACCATCCACCGAGGCCTTGTCAGAGTTGCTAGATCGTGTCGAGAGCCGATTTAGAATCGACGAGGAAAACGACGAGAGCAAAAAGAAGGACAAGCCTTCATCCTCATCATCCGCCGAAAAGTCGGAGTTGCAACGCGAATTGGATCAAACCAAGGACCAGCTGGCCAGCGCCATGTCGCAGAACCAGGACTTTAATCGACGAATTCACGACTTGGACCAGGAGATGTCATCTCTCAAGGAACAGCTCCGGGAGAGCCATAGCCACGTCAGAGCTCTCCACCAGGACAAGCAGCGGCTGGAGAAGCAGATTCAAGTCTTGCGGGCGAGGCCAGTATCTGGCGAGCCCTTTGGTGGCCGTGAATCAGGGACAGATTGGTCCGGCAAGGCGAACGGCGGTGGCTTGAGAGAGTTTAAGCTTGGGCGTAGCAAGTCGATGGCTACTCAGGGCGGTACGTATAACAGACGGAAGTCGTCGCTGCTGCATGGCAACGACCTTGTCCCACCGCCGGCGTCGATGCCAGCGACTCCAGCAGTCTCAAACGACAGCAAGTCGTCAACAAACGACCTCGACACTCTGCTGTTGGATCTCGTGCAAGCCAAGACGGCTCAGGCCATCGCGAAGCAAGAGGCAGAGGAGGCAAAGCAGCAGCTGGAGGCGCTGAAAAAGGCCTATGGCGTAGTGATGGGCGACGCTGCCAATGCAGCTCTACCCCCTGGAACGGTCAATGTCAAGGTCGTCCAGGCCGCGGCCACGACGACATCTCCAGGAACCGGTGGCTTTTGGGGCTGGCGCAGGTGAGAAGGCCGGGGAGAGGAGGGGGAATCGGTTTTAAGTAAAGAGATGGAGGCGTAGAACGCCACTGGAATAAGTTGGATTGGGAAATCGCACATACGCATCGATGTCGCCGAACTGCTGGGGATCTGATATTACAATGCACGACATGTGGAAATGAGCCCTTGGCCGGCATGTTCATCAAGGTTGCATTATGCTTAGGAGTGGCGCAGTTCATACGGGCAGGGTTTCACTCGTGGGGAGCATGGGCCGCGGTAGACGGATGAGGCTGTCCTTGAGATGGACAGCCTTTTGTTTCTTTTTTTCTTTCTTCCCTTCTCTCCTGTCATTTCATCTCTGCATTAGGGCCAGTCTATATTCATGGAGCGTCGGGATCTTCTTCTGCCTCCCTTTTCTTTTTTCCGCTCTTTTTTGGAACTTAGCACGGAGTTTTCATATGGCAAGGGTTGGGTCAGAAGACATTGATGCGAGTTGAAGCTTGCAATGCAATGTGAGCAGACACAGCAGACGCGAATACAAATATACCGATTGAGACGCATCGTGTCACTTTACATGTGAAGCACTGCCTTGTAGGTTTGGGGCTTCCTTTTCTTTTGTCCCTTTCCAACTTGACGCTTTTGCCGTGATCACTTCTCTCCCTTCTCTCACTTCATTTCAAATACGAGAACTCATATGAGGCCGCAGCGGTTAATCGTCCATCATCGCCCTTGCGTCGCAGCTTGCAGGAGCGCATATCGAACCTCGGCATCACATCGCGACAACGACTGACCAATAGAACCCAAGATTACCATGGCGGCAATGGAGCACGTGCTCAACCAACGAGCGAGCAGCTGATGATGATTGCTTCTTTCCTTGCTCAAGCCTCAAACGTGGCTGGGCTGGGCAAGCAAAAATCGTGGCGCTGAATGGCTGATCAATTCTCGTGGTCGTAATGCACCCGAATCGGATCGACGGCTTTTTATCGATGATTGACGGCAGTGATCATGGCGGGATGACGTTTCTCTGGTGGGACTGCCGAAGAACAGAGAGGTTTGTGGTCGGAAATGATGCCACCATTTCGACGACGTCTTTGCTTCGTGCCTCCTCGCACATTGGAAGAGCTCGAAGCTGTGGCTATTGCTGCTCGTCTTGCAATAACGTTACCTACTCGGTATGCGCTCGCTGAATGTTTGCCGGGATGATTGCATGAAGCTAAGAGGCAAGGAAGGGGTCTCGAGTTTCGGCGTGTCGAGATACAGAAACTGAGGGAGAGCCTAAACCAGCCTTGGTACTAATAATGTCTGGCGCCTCCAGAACATCTGCAACATATCACAGGTCTTGCGAGGGAACCCAGTAGTTCTCATACTGTCCATGTCTGAATAAATGCAAGATTCCGGGTGTTGATTGGTCTCATGCAAACTGCATGCATTGGTACATGATGCCGGCTTTAGCCCTTGGGGGCGGCTTTGCGCCTGGTTGGCTGGCTCTTTGTCTTGCTTTCTGTTTCCTCTTTTGCGACTCCTTATCTGTGACGCATCACACCATGGCTTGACGAGAGCACACCAGCATCGGATAGAAGCTGTCGGAGCTGATATCCGGGGGCCGCGCACTGCAAGGAGGCACCTATAAGTGCTCTGTACACTCAGAGGACACGTCCAAGGAGTCGCCCTCGCTGTAAAGATGAAAGTGAGGATGACGATGTGGACAGAGTAGCAAGATTGTGCGATCCATTGGAGCTGTGACGACGGTGCGTCATTGGTGGGCAGGTGACGATTTGCTTGCTTGTTCCAGCTTCTCTGTAGCTGCTGCTTTTAGCGCCATCGTGTTGCATCATGGGCGCCCCCCTCCAGGGTTTTCGCCTTGTAGCTCTGCAAGACCGAGCTTGTACCTGTTCCGCGCTGGCTCTCCGCAAAGGGTACTCCACCGGCGGAGCTAAGGTACTTCGCGCAGTAGCACGGGAGGGTGACCTGTGCCTGTACCTCTTCGCAATCCATGAAAGCTCCGTCTCCACCAGCACATGTTAATTTCGATTTTTGATTTCGAAATCGGTTTGATGGCATTCGCGCCCCCTACACAAAGCACACTGCTGGTGGTTTCTGTTCTGAAAGTGGGAAGGTGCTGTTTCTGGTGGGCAAGGTTTCTTTCAGGTAAAAGTAAACATACTTGCACGTGTCGTGGAGAGAAAAAAAGCCAGGAGGCGCAACAACGTGGAAGTGTGCGGCTAGCAGACGCCCCGAGGAGGACTGAATAGGGAATAACCCCAGGGTCTCTGAATAGAGGGGAGAAAAATAGATAAATTATAGATTTTAAACTATAATCCGTTAAAAATAGCAAGGTAGTACCTACCTAGGTAGAGCAGCAAACCAGACAAGATCCAAGCACAAGAGAGCAAGAAACAGGCAGGCAGCAAGGGGAGGGGCGCACGAAATCGCAGCGTCACAACCACGTCGACACCTGCCGCTAACAAGCTTAAAGCTCGCCCGCAACTTCCTTCACCTGAAAGACCCGCGCCCAGGTCCTTCCCTTACAAGTAATCTTCCCTCTTGCACACACAGCGCAATCTACCTCTTAAAAAAACCAGAGCATCCCACCTGCCGCATATTCCAGCGCTTTCTCGCCCCTCCTCTGAACTTGAAACCTCTTTCTTCTCCCTTCCACCGCAGCATCACAAGGAAACAAGGTAAGCAGTCAACCCGAAATATCCATTCCCTTTGCCTGCTGTCAACAAAGACGACACCGTTGCTTTTCGCTGTCTCTACCACGCAGCTCTGCGACAACTATTTTCCCTCGCCGTGTCTCCTCTTCTCGGCTCTGGCACGCGATACTAAAAAAGACAGCTTTCTAGTCCTAGAAACCACAGCTCTCGACGTCACTTCTTCGCCGTCCGTATCACAACTTGCGCGACCGACAGAGCCCCTCTCGCACTCGCAAAAAAGCCCCCTTCTACAACCAGATCTCTCGACGACAAACCCCATCCGACAAATCGAGCATCATGGCTGATACCGGCGCGGCAAACGGCCACTCCAGTAAGGTATGTGGGCGCACCGCTACGCTTCTGCTTCCTCTTCCCACTTCTTCCGCTCGATCGATCCTGTACCTACATACAGGCAGAACGGGTTCTGGCCAGTAATATCGTGGATGACGAATGCTGACACTTGGGCTTGGCAGTTTTACATGTGACAGACAAGGCCTCAGAGCCCGCCATCTTGCCCCTGCTGTATAGCTGACGATGAGCTTTAGAAGCCGCCAACGGCAACGCTGGAGATTCTCTGGCACCCTACCGTTCGCTCTTCTCCCATCTCTTCTCCTGGGAAAATCCTCGTGAGTAAACGCCCGCCGCTCCCTGCAGCCACATGTCCACTTTGATGCATGCATATATGCATTTCCCTCCATGTCTTTGTCGGATCGTTTTCATCACCTGTTCACTGCAGCGAAGTTTCGCAACCATGGCGCCACCTCACATGACTGACCCTTGACCGTTTAACCGCAGGTGACTCGGCCATCGCCTATACCTCCGTCGTTGCTAGCATCGTCGCCGTCCGATATCTCAACCTCGTTAACTGGGCCCTCGGACTGTCATGGATGGTCCTGGCGACCACCGTTGCTGCCGAGGTTGCAGGCAAAGCAGTCCTTAATAACGGCCTGGCTTCTCAGCTTCGCCCTCGCGAGTACTACACGCTGCCTCGCCAAACATTTGACAGGCTAGTCAGCGAGGCCCACGGACTCATCAACTTCTTCCTGGTTGAAGCTCAGCGCATTGTTTTCGTTGAGAATGTCTACGCCTCGTCTGCTGTGAGTCTCGCGCGCACTTCTTCCTTGGCCTGACCGGGAACTAAACATGACTTTTACACTCTAGGCCTTCGCCGTTACCCTCCTTTCCAGCCTCCTTATCAAGGTGCTTCCCTACTGGGTCCTTGCCATCGTTGCGACCACCATCGCCTTCTTCGCCCCGTTGATCTATTCCCGAAACCAGGAGTTTATCGACGAGCAGCTCAGGTCGGCTGCCGACGTCATCGGCGCCCAGACTGCCCAAGTTCGAGATGCTGCTCAGAAGCAGGCCGATCACCTCGCCTCCGTGTCGAAGCAGTATGCTGGGGACTACACTGAGAAGGTCCATGAGATTCTGCGCACCCGCAGCCTGTCTCCCTCGGCCGCTAAGAAGTCGCCTGTCGAGTTCCCCTCCCCTCCTACCGAGGAGCCCAAGGCCGCCGAAGAGCCTGCCCCTCAGGAGCCTATCATCGCTTAGATGAGCTCGTTGACATGTGGGTGTGTCTGTGGTTGAGGAAACGATAAACGCCAAAGTTGGGCTCCGCGACAGCTCTCGCCACGTTCTTTTCGCAGCAGATCATTACCCACCCCGAATTGAGAGATATGCCCAAGAATAATAATATCTGGGCAGGCAGCGCAGCATGATTTGGGGGAGCAGTGGTGTGCCGCTGGTCAGAGCATGATATCCGCCCATTTGGCGCAGAGGGAATCTGTTGAGCGAGAAATGGCAGGCCTTTGCGCTGAGTGAGGCACAGACACTGGGGAGGAGTGTGGAGGATCACGACGCTGCTACGAGGCCGGTAGGTTTGTTTTGGCAAGCCCTCTTTTTCTTTAACTATCATCAATTTGGCATGGTCGCTTTCTCCCTGTTATCCTTTCCTTTTCCCTAAGCTGAGAGTCTCCCGCCCTGTTTTCCATAAGGACATTGGTGGCTCTAGGCAGGGCACTGTTTGTATGGAATCATGTTTAGTTTTACGTAGTTTGCAAATGCTTTGACACGGTGATTTGCAATTCATTCGCCTCTTTTGCCATTTGTGCGTGATTGCATCCATTGCATGTATCTCAAGGTTGGTTTCATCTGCGGCTTTGCCGAGTGGCCATGGGGGAACTGCAAACCACACAGTACGACCAGGCATATCCGATTGATGGTCACGCCCTCTTTCCTAGAGCAACTGATGGCTCAGGTATGGCCTCTGTCTACATGCGTAGGTAGCAATGGTATGGGATCATTGAGTGATAACGAGGAACATGAGAGCCGCACCAGACACGAAGCACAAGAGGACATGTGTTTCGTATAATGAACACAGTAATAGTAAGTTTGTAGTAGTATATCTAGGTCCAGAACAAAGTAGCTATTGCACAATATATAAGATGTATCTCTGATGCCTGAAACGAGAATTTGCCAAAGATGCGACTCGCGCCGGTATGCCCATCAGCCTGTTGCTCACCTCCTCCTCTTGCCACCACCGCCCTCGTCGTCTCCAGCGCTCCTCTTGCGGCCGTTCTTGCGCCAGTATTCCTTGCTCTCCCTCTTCTCCCTGGCCTCCCTCTTCTCTTCGCCCTCGGCCAGCTTCTTCTTGAAGGCGGCACGGGTCTCCTCCTTCTTGGCCCGGCGCTTGGCGACCTGGTCGTTGTGGACGGTGACGACTTTCTGCAAAAAGGCGCGCGTCTTCTTCTCCTCGGCGCCGAGGACGACGGCACGCTTCTGCATGTACGTCTTCTTCTTCTGCGGCTTCGTGGCGATGATCTGGGAGCGGAAGGGCAGGCTGGCGGCGAGGGCACGGGGGACCTGCAGGCCGTTGAAGTGGCGGTCCTGGCGCTCGATCTTGCGGTACTGCGAGTTCTTGAGCTGGGGGGTGGCGACGCCCTCGCTGCGGCGGACCTCGCCCGTGAGGCGCATGGGCTGCCAGCCGATGAGGTTGGTGACGGGGTTGTAGAAGCGGTGCGGCTTGATGGGATACCAGGCACGCAGGAAGACAATGTCGCTGGCCAGGATCTTGTCCTCAAAGGTGGCACGGAAGTGGCCCTCGGGCTTGGATAGGGCACGCTTGATCTGGCCGCGGATGCCGGAGACGGTCTTGATGGAGGCGCCCTCAAACTTTGCGATTTCGAGGGCCGAGTTGAACATGCCCTTGATGAAGGCCGTGTTCTTGAAGATCTTGTAGGGGGTTCCCGTCAGCTTGAGCTTCTTGACGATCTCGGTGGACTCGTCCACGGAGAGGACGGTGCCGGTGGCGGCGATGCGGAAGCCCGGGGTGGAGGACGAGAAGGAGTTGAAGCACACGAAGCCCGTGTTGGGCGCAATCAGGGGCGCATAGACGGTGGCGAAGCAGTGCATGTGCTCAGGCGTGTACTTGAGCATGCGGTTGCGCGTCCGCGAGTCGGAAATGCTGTAAATGGGTAGGGTCTGGAAGCGGCGCCAGCCCAGCGAGAAGATGAGGGGGTCATTGGTCTTGAGGATCTTCTTGTGCCAACGGTGACGCTTGATGCGCACCTGGACGAAGCCCCAGCGGTCCTCGGTGGGCGACAAGCCGCCAACGATGATGGGCAGCCGGGAGTTGAAGCGGGTGACGAACTCGGCCGGCACGCCCTCCAGCACCAGCTTGGCGTACTTGCCGGCACGGTAGCCTTCGACGGCAACCCTCTGGCGCTCGTCCAGGTTCTCAAACTCCTCCTTGTTGATGTCCAGCTGCTTCTTGATCATGGCCTTTTGCGCATCGTACCAGTCATCCTCGCCAAACTCTTGCTCATCTTCGCCTCCCTCTCGCCGAGCCTTTGCCTTGTCGTTCATGAAGCCATCTCGGTCTTCTTCCTCGAACCTGGCCTTGAGCTCCTCTTTCCTCTTGGCGTTCTTTTCGCGCTCTGCTTGTATCTCTTCCGCCGTCTGCTGCTTTGGGGCTGCAGATTGCGGATCGGCTTCCAGGTCCTCGAATTCACCATCGCCTTCGCTATCCTCGCCACCCTCTTCTCCTTCGCCGTCCTCGTCGTCAAAACCACCGAAGTCACCTTCCTCATCGTCGTCGTCATCTCCACCTCCACTTCTTCTACCTGACGTGAATTTCCTCTTCAGCGCCTCTATGTTCTCCTGCGACGCCCACTTTGCTGCCAAGTCCTCATAGTCGTAGTCTGGTATTGAGCGGTCCTCTATCAGATCTTCGCTTTCTTGTGATGTCTTCTTGAAGAATTCCTCGTCTTCTGAGTCTTGTTCAATGTCCTCCTCTTCCGACTCCTCCGAGTCCTCGCCCTTCCACTTCTTGATGACCTCACTGGCGGTCATGGAGCCGTCGTAGAGATAGCGAGCGAGATCTGCGGTGTGATAGGAACGCTTCCGGCTGTGGAGCTTCATAGCTCTATCGGCCATGCCTTCCTTCCATCTCAACGCCGCACTCTCCTCATCAGAATCGTACTCTTCGTCATCTTCTGCGTCTTCATTCTCGTCGAGGTCTGTAATGGAGCCAAGATCTGAGTCACTGTCCGCAAAGGCCACGTCGTCATCCCCGTTGGCCATCTTATCGGCATCTTTGCTGCGGAACATGCTTCCCAGTTTCTCCTCGTTGAACTCTTCATCCTCCTCGGGGTCTTCTTCGTCACTGCCACTGACGAAGCCTTCGTCGTCCTCGTTCTCGCCATCCTCCCCTTCTTCCCGTTCGGCCATCCTGGCCTTTCGTGGCTCTTTTCTGCCGGTATCTTGTGCCTCGTCCAGTGCTTTGACTTCTTGGCCGCCCCTGAAGAGTTGCACTCCATCATCAGTCTGGCCGAGTAGCTTCCGCTCGGCTTGCAGCCCAATGATCATCTCTTCACCTTCGCCACGCTCAACGTTATCGGCATCCTTGTCGAAAGTGAAGCCCTTTTCTCTAGTGATCCAGATGGCATCACCGTCGATTTTAAGGCCACTTCGATCAGACATGGGGGCATACAGTTTCTTTTCCTTTTCGTCTAGTCTTCTTCGCCCAGTCTTTCCTGTGATCTTGGCCAATGCCTGTTCCATTGCTGGTGTAGGACAAGGATCGGGGAGAACTTCCATAGCCGACACGGTGAAGTCGCCCAAACCAGCAACATGCACTCGCTGGCCCTGGGTGGCGAAGTTTGTGCCGCGTAGATATCCCGATAGGACGATGGATCGATCGCATTTGGGATCCTCTTCAATCTTGGTTGGGTGAGTGATATCGCGGAAGCTGTCGATGATGGTGTAAGGGTGGGTGTTTCGCCAGACGAGAGGTCGCGGGCTCTTCATGACAGAGAGGAAGCGAGAGAGGTTGTGAATCTCACGATCGGGGTATCTACCGTTCATGACACCGGAGAGATAGAAGAGATGGGCGCCCTGGTACAGTTCCGTCCACAGCCTTCGCTTCAGGTGCTTCTTGGCATCCTTCAAGGCGGAAGGCTTGCGAAACAGGTCGAGATGGGTCAGGACGCCGAAAACGTTACCCGGCATACCCGTAGCGGCCAGAATGTTGAGGAACTCCATAGTCTCCATCTCGAAGCCATAGTTGCCGTCAATCATGAGGAGAATGATGTCGGCGACTTTGGCTACGTCCACCATGGCTTCCAGTTCGTTGGGGCATTCCATGAAGGTAAGCCGCTGTTTCTTCGACGTAACGACGGTGATGGGGCCCTGGGGGTCGGAGATGGTCTCTTTGGCATATCGTCGAATGAGTGATTTCAGTAAGGTCGTCTTGCCGACGCCGGGAGGGCCGACGATGGCGACGAGACGCGGCGGCGCCTCGTCCGGTAGCCTATCGACGAGGGGAACATGGAGACGCTTTTCTTTGATCTTGAAGAGAAAAGTTAGTACATGACCGCTCTCAGGCAATGACAGAAGCCCCCTAGTTATCTTGAGACAACGGAGCGGGCGACGGAGCAAAACGTACATCGGATGATCTGGCAGCCTGTCGCTGAAGCTTGCCGGGCCTGGCAAAGGCGAAGGCCTTGGGATTGCGATCTGCGACAAGTCAGCATATGAATTGCGTGGTGTTAATCAGGAGCCCTCAGTCTCCAATTTGAAGCGTCACTGACCTCCCGAGTGCTGCTTCTTCTCCTTGCTCTTGCGATGCGGCTTATGCGTCTGATCCTCCATGATGGCTTGTCGTGGCGGTTCAATCGCCGCTCAGTGGCAGGATTTGCGAGTTGAGCTGGGAAATTTTTTGAACGGATGCTAGCGATAAGGCGCTGTCTATCGATAAGCCCCGATAAGCGCCCCGCTCATGCTAGCGCGGTCCGGCATGATTGGAGCACTAACAACTTGCAGATTGCGGAGTAGTAGTACAGCAGATTGAACATCTGAGAGAGAAGCTTGGAAACTTCGGTTTGGCGATTCCCCTTCGTCGCCTTCTTGTCGATTCTCCTCATGTTGGATTGACTCTAGGCATGGGTGGCATTCGTCATACCATCATGTCGCCTGGAGGAGACGAGTGGCGGCCTGGATTGTCATCACTCCTAAGAGATGAACGGCGCCCTCTGAGCAGCCGACGGCGAAACCATGCACTTCAATGATACGACGATAGTAGATGGGATCTGTACCCAGAAACGTGTCAGGTTCGTTCTCGTTCATGTAGCCTGGTGACAGACACGTTGCCGGCAGCCGTGCTTTTCAGACACACAACGGTCCCGCGTTGCTTCAGATTTTCACCCTCATCTGAGATGATTCTAGCTTTTCGATAAGAACCAGGCTAGTGTCATGGGACGGCTTGTGTTGGCCGGGAACCCGTCGAGCAAATCGCATCGAAAGCCGTTGGTCGAATGGAGTTGGTGGCTCTGCCAATTCGGGGTTAGAACGTCAAGGGGGAGGAGGGGAAGAGTCATAACTGAAATTGCAAGCTGCATGAAGGAGTCACGACGTGCCGCAGCAATCGCTCTGCCTCGCATGGCGGTGTTTCTGTTGGCCCGAACAAGTTGTTGGAGAGGAATTGAATCCTCTGTCCTGCCGCTTTGATGTCGAGTGAAGGCGAGTTCCGCCGTTTGGCATCATCGTGAGGATGTTCTTGCGTGGTTTCTGTGACATCACATGGAGATAGCACCTTGATAGTATCCAGAAGAGGAAAGTGCATCTCAAAGTTCCAATCGTAACGGCTGGTGTGAAGCTCTGTCACTGGACAGCAGTGAAGAGGCTACTGCCAGAAAAAGTATGCGGCATGTAACCTTGTTATCAAACTGGTCGTAGGGATACCCGATGCTGACGACAGGCTACGTAAGGCACGCGTACCAGCGTCGTCACCACCGGCATGTGCACTAAGATTCTAATTCTTTCACTGGCGAGTGCGATCGTGACTCAGAACGAGCAACAGCCCTAGCCTCGTCCCCTGTGGACGGAATCCTTCTAGAGTCACGATGGCAGTGAAGGAGATTGAGTGGATGCCACTTGGTTCGTGGCTGTGAATAGGAACCTCTCCCATTGGGTATCGCATCGGCAATCGTGGCATCTAGGACTAACGAGGCTGAGTCTCCAATTTGACTGACATTTGACAAATGCGTCTAGAGGCCATCACGAACTGTCTGTCCAAGGCAAAATAGAAGGGAAAAATTCCCAAATTTTCAAAGCAAATGCTCATACTCTGAGCTATCCATCTGGTCAAGGCTCTTGCAACTACAAAGAGCAAACTTGCGACAAGTGTTGCGCGTCCTGATGATGTTTGCAGCAACTCTTTGTAAGCATTCACACCCTCATCCATCAGGCAGAACTCGTCATCGTCCTCGTAGGCCCAGGCCAGCCCCGTCATGGCCCATCCCGGACCCTCCCCCACAAGGCTGGACTCCAGGGGGGGAGGGGGGGGGGGGGGCAGGCATGACGAGGAGAACTCTGATTAATCAATTCAACCGATCAATCTCCCACGTTTGTTAGTGCTTCTTCGATCTTTGTCCGTGCAACGTGTACCCGAAACTACATACGGCTGACCGACACCAGTGAGTCAATTGGCTAACCGTTGTGCATTAGCGGGCGAATTGGTGACTGTTGCCGCGCCTCGTGAGATGAAATGAACGTCCAGGATGCTGCACAGAGTTTGTTAGCATCGTGGCCATGTTGTGGACTGTGGGCCAGCAATTGAAGCCTTGCTGATGAATTGGGTTTGGCATGACATGGAGAAGCCACATTGAAGCTTCTATCCTGAAGCCTGGTTTGTGTATATAAGATGGCTGATGCCTGTTGTCCAAGGCATCCATCCATCACATCAGCAACAGCAACCACCAGCTTCATTACGCAGCCTTCTTACGACAGGTGTGGCAGACAAGACAGAATCCCTCCTGTGAGAACTTCTATATAAGTCTCAATTCCGCAACTCAGCTCAGCCAGCTCCAACTTGTATGCCTCTCATCTCATGCTCTCAACCTTCTCAATCATAAGCCAACAACTAATCATGGACAACAACAACAACAGCCCCAACTCATCCAACACAAACATGTCTCTCATCGGACACCAAGGCGGCCTCTCCATCGGCAAGGCTGAACGTCCCGGCCCCTCCCTGGGCAAGAAAGTCAACAAAGACGCCACCCAATCCACGGCTGAGAAGCCTTCATCCTCTTCTTCTTCTCAGTCGTCCACCGTTGAACGCCGCGGCCTCGGTCAGATGATTGGCGGCATCCTCCACAGCCAGCGTCGAGACGAGGCACAACAAGCTCGCGCTGCGTCCTTGGAGGAAGACCGAAGTGACGTTGCTTCGCTCTCCTCGGTTGCTACGGAAAAGAGAGCCCTCTTGAAGGCTGCGGCGGAAAAGAAAAAGGACAAGGGTCGCTCATATGGCAAACCCGAACCAAAACTGCCCAATCCCAACGATGCCATGATGCCTCGCAACAGATTCTGGTCTTAGAGTGCACGACATGATTGGGATTTTTGTTTCTTTTCTTTTTGCCTTCGATTGTTCTGTTGTTTGGATTCTAGCGAGCGAGATGCCACCGAGTTATTTCACATAGAAGCGTGGAGGAGCAGCATTAGAGTTGGAACTGGGACGATGCGGTTACAGAGTATATCGCCCATTGAGCGAATAAGGCTACAGACGATTTCTATTAATCATAAAACTTCAATCATCATCTGGCCTGTGCCATTCTATAAATTCATGAAATACCTATGAGATGTAGAACCCTGAATAGTTTGCAGGGTAATCGTCATCAATGCTCATGGCTGAGACATGCTGGGGTACGGGTAATGGATATCTTATACACAAAATGCACAGGAGTAATGGTGATTACGCAGAGCCGGCCATGACAACGTCAGAGAACCCACGCTTTCATACAGTTACGTATCTCCATAGGATTCCGTAATGTCACATCATCATGTAGTACTCAAACCCAGGTCTATGAACTGGAACAGACACTCACACCGAAACTTGCTTGAGAGGAGTCACATCAACCAGCTCCGCAGTCCTCTCAACAAGGTCTCTTTGAGAAAGTATACAACTTCCATCCTGCTCATCCATATCCTTATCCAAGTCTCATCAAATGGCTCTCAAAGTTCCGAGCATTAAGAAGCAGCACGACGGGCGCTTAGAGATTGGTTCGAGACCAGATAACACAGAAATGTCTCTGGATCTTGCTCCGCGGGCCTAGCAAGTAAAAACCCGGTGAGCACCAGCATGTCTCGCATTAAGTGGCCACAGGGATCTACATGGGCTACCTTTCTCCTAGTAGCCCTAATAGCAGACGTCCTCTCTCCTGCGAGACCCTCACCACGCATAGTCTTTCCTCTCCAAGTCTGCCCGCCACGAAAAGGGGTCTTGGCTGATATCATCGCGAATAAAAGACCCCTAAACTGCATAGTATAGCCGAGACCCATCCCTGGAGGAAAAGGTCCTGCTTGCATGCACTTGATAAAAACCCACCCAAGGACCTGAAGCGCCGGAGCGTTGATTGGGCTTCGAGGCACGGGATAGATCGGGCTCGACGGTATCCAATAACGCCTCGCCTCGTCTCAAGGGAGAGAAAGGGCTGCCTTACAGGGTACTCCGCACCCAGTCCATCAAAAGACGGGGGGGCTCCTGTATGTGCTCATGTGGTGCAAGAGGCTGACATCTCCCTTGCATAACTTTCGCATTCAAATGTGGGTTTCCCATCTTTCGGTGTCCAAAGGCCCTTGTTCTCTGGGAGGGGATGCAGGAGGAAGAGTATCCTTGTGTTGCCAAAGCCGTTGGGCATCTCTATCTGGTAGATGGCATGCATGGGTTTGGTTACACGAGAGATCTGGCATGAGATGAAGTGTCGATGAAGTTACACGAGAGATCTGACATGGATTGAAGCCTCGATACGGTCACACAAGGGGGGGTAATAGAATAAAACAAGCAGTTTGAATTCAGATATCAGAAAGTCCGCCTTTGCGCTGACCTGTGCGTAGCCTCACAATCTGGTGCACAGGTCAAGATCGCTTCCCAAGTAGTCTATCCCATCAGTACAATGATCCAAATAAGCCCTCCCTTAACCCATTTTATCCGTACAGAGCAGCCGTGTCGATCGTTTCAAATAGTCAAGGGCCTCATCAAAAAGCTCACTCAGATACAAGAGGCTCGTCGTCGTCATGGCTGTCCCTTCCATCATCCAACTCCGCCAGCATCTCCTCAACACTCCTCTTCATGTAGTCGTCCTCATTCCACCCATATCCGCGAACGTGGACGATCCCAGCATGGTCAATCATGATGCCGTTCTTCCAGTCCTTGAGATTTGGAGCAATCGTAAATGCGAAGCCGGCCTGCCACAGGAACCGGTCCACCTCCTCGATGGCGGCGGCGTCGTTTTCACCGTCCTCAATCAGCTCGTAGACGACCCCGATGCAGTCCATATGGCTCGACATGAGCTTCTTGACCTTGCTGGGATCCTCGTGCGAAGCCTGCATGTCGTCTGGGAGTCCCGTCCAGAGGTCTTTTCGGAGCTTCAGCCAGCCATAACACCTGGCCAGGCGTGGCAGTGCTGAGATATATGTGGCTCCTGGAAGCGGAACTGGCTTGGTGGTTGTCGGGATAAGATTAGGACAGCAGTTCTCTTCGCAGAATGAAAAGTAGTTCTCTATGGCCTCTTTCTTTCCCATGGGGTGGTCATACACCAAGACTGGGTCAACCTCTAAGGACGCCTCCATCATCTGGAAGACGGCGGCATTTTGGCACTCCCTCTGCATCGAATAGTACGAACCAGGTTCGTGTGGAGGCACTTGGTCCCAGAACTATTCGACAAGCAACGATTGTATGTGAGCGAAGATGGTAGCCGTGGTGAACAGTGTCTCACTCACAACTTTTAACGCAAATGGTCCCTCGTCGCCAAATCTGACCTTCCACACAAAGCCATCGGATCCGCCTCCTAGCCGAGACTCGAACACAATCGTCTTCGGATCCAGCGTGCTGCGTCGAAGCCGAGGGTCCCTCAGGTCTTTGCCCCTAAACCTGGGCGGTCCCTTCATGAGCTCTTCGTTAAGAAAGGGCATCGACATTGACTGTAGGCGGCGACTTTCCGCAGCGTAACGATCCATGCCGGGCATCGTGTCAAAACCTTGCAAGTCGCAAGAGTATGGTGTCACATAAAAAAAAACGTACAAGGCCGAAAGATGAGAGCTAAGAGAGAGATGGAGCGAGGAAGAGAGCAGCAGAAGAGGAGATCTTGAATGATATACTGGGGAGGAGAGGGATGATTGGATGGGTGGATGGATGAATGAGACAGTGGCATGAGTGACTGAAGCGGTGGCTTCTCCAGTCAGTGCATGGCGCACTCAGGCAGAGCCTTTCACGCCTGTGCTCGACGACGGCCTCAAGATCCAGTCTTACATCATTTGCCTGACAGCTAATTAGACACGGCCCAGCTGAAAGGGAAAGAAAAAAGAAAAGAAAAGAAAGAAAAAAGAGAGGTGTCAGGTTTCAACCCCTTGCATACGACTGTGACGGCCCCCCTCTCTCTAGCGGGGATGTTGATATCGGAATCGTTGACTGGCCTGGTCGGCTTCTTCACTTTTCCCATCATTCTGGCTTTTTGTGCAGAGTGCCTGTTATTTTTGTCAAAATTACGTCTAGGGCTTTGGTTGGTCCCGGGGAAGGTCGGCGAGACACTCACGTGTAGTCCTCCCGACGCACAGTCGGGGTCCCATGATGATGGCGATGCCGCACGATTCACGGGCTCACAGAGTCTCCGATGAGCCTCGACCGGCAAGAAAGATGGATGGCTTTCGAAAGTGTACTCAGACAGCCACGGGGCTTGGTGAGCATGCCAAGCTCGCTCCAGCCCGATCCTCGAGACAAGCTGAAATTTTAGCTGATAGGCTCAGCCCAAGCGTCCAAAGACTTGCTGCCGGCCATCACGGGTGACAGCGAGAGTCAGGTATGGATCATAGATATCATTATCACGAAGTTGGTTCACTTCTCGTCAAGAAGCGCCTTGCCGGATGCTTTGGGCGAAATCTCTTGTCTCTGCTTTCCGCTTAAAAGCTATCGTTAAGAATGTCCTCGTTCATCTTGACCATGGACGGGCTATATTCGGAAGTGTCCACTCCTCCCCCAGCCTCGAGAAGGATATCGTCGACAATCCTTCTGCTGGCTTCTCGCGCTATATTGGAACAAGAGAGACAGAGGGTCAGCCGCTGTTACGCACTTGTTACGATCTGGCACTGGGCGACAAGAGGCAAACTTACCCGGTGTCTGAAGCAGCTTCGAGGGCGGCAGCGCAAACTGGATTGTCTTGGGCGGGCTCATGCCGAGGTTATCGTCGTCGTCGCTCTCCCAGTCAATCTCATACGCCGTCTTTCCTCCAGAAGCCGCACCACCCTCCGCCGCGAACACGTCCCGCGTCTTTTTCGCAGCGGCGGGAGTCTGTACGCTGACGCCGGGCGTTCGCGGAGCTTGGCTCGCCGCTGCTAGGCGCTGTCGTACGGTGCTCTTGTATGGCGTCATGAAGGCTTCGCTTCTCAGCGTTGGGATGGCAATTTCCGGAGATGACATGGGATCATCATGCCACCCCATCTTCACGTCTCGCTGCTGCTGCTGCTGCTGTTGAGGCAGCGCCGGCTGCTTGCCTTTTACGGGGGAAATCCGAGCGCTCGACTTGTGAGGTGTAGCTTGTATGCGATATGTCTTGTCCAGGACGCGATGTAGCAACGGATCCTTTTGTCGCTGGGCCGATTCGTCCCCTCTTTGAAAATTGGGCAGACCCCTCGGTGTAGATGATATATCCGGCAGTCGTGCCGTATGCTGCGCAAATATGACTGACGAGTCCATCTCCTCGTCCGAGTCCTGGTGTTGCGACGCCATCGTTCTGCCATCTTCATAATCCATCTCTCGCCGCATAGCCTCATAGGGCGATTCCAGATTGGACATTTTGTCTTTCCCCTTGCTCGCGGGGGGACGGGGCGTGCTTCCTGCCAGCTCGGCGTCGTCCAGCATCGACTCCTCGCCATGCATTTCCGAGTGGTGCCCGGCGGCGCTGACTCTGGATGCTTCTTCTTGCTGGTCGGCCGTGTCGTCGATTGTCATCTCGTCTCTCATGGCGCTGCTGTCGTCCGCGGCGCCGGTCTCGTCTTCGTTGCGGTTTGCCTGGTCTTCGTAGCCGGAGAGGGACACGTTTGCGGAAGATTCGAAGAATTGTTTCCAGAACTAGAAATGGCATCAGTTAGTTCCAACGTCGTCGCAAGGGCGAAACAAAGATGCCATATCGGGGTGTTTGCCGCAGTACCTTGGACGCCTCCCAGACAGCTCGCGAGTGCTCTCCATACTGTTCCACCAGCGGCAAGATGCCGGTTGTGACGATTCTGTGGGCCTTGCTGAAGTTGTGATCAATCTCTGGGAAAGACGATGCCGTCAGTGTCTGCAATCTGGAGCGTGGCCGAAGAGCGCGGAACATACCTTGCAGCGTCAGGGTGATGGATTGCTCCAGCTTCTCCAGCTCTTCCGTCAAGGTTAGATTGCGCGGGGCGACGCTTGGTCGAGACATGGCGCGGTTGCCTCAGGACAGACGAAGAAGAAAAAGGGCTGGGGAATGGAATATCCAGGGCATGTAGTGGCTGTACGAAGGTGGACAGAATGGCAGTGTACTCGATTCCTGCGCCGATTTGCTTGGTGTTTGTCTCGGCATTATTTAGTCCCGAGTCTCGATCGCGTGGAGACGCGATGAGGGGCAGTATTGGCACTTTGGCGGGCGGTCAATGGAGGGGCATGTAAGTTGATGTTTACATACCTTAGTACTATAGCCAGCAACGATCCACGAACAGAACACACAGATGTAGAGCTTCATGACTCAAATATTCATGAGTTGATTATCATTAACTACCTTATTCATAAGTCTTGACAATTGTAGTACACGTTACTCCAACGCCAATCCCACCATCTTCAAGCTACCCCTTGAGGTAGTAATCAAACATGTCCAGCCTGACCAGGAGTTGGGCAACCATGCTGTCGTCCCCGATCCCGTATTGTTCCTTGAATATCCTGTCTTCTCTCCCTCTCTTGCCGTCGGTGCGACGAGCCTTTTCTGAGAGGCTGCGGCAGACCGTTATGAAGATTTGCACCTTCCTCTTGAATTCTGCATATAAAGTCGACGGCTCTGCCTCTGCCTCCATCACCCCCAGCCGCCTCAGTCTCACGCTCTTTGCAAATCGTAAGATGGTATTGAAAATGTCCTCTAGCAGTCTTAGCACTGGCTGTTGCTTCTTCCGCAAAAATAGGGCGAGCATGATCCGATCCAGGACAAGGGAATGGAGCTCCTGCAACTTGTCGGGGCTCTGGATCTCTTCCGATGAACCGCTCGTGCTTGGCCGGTGCAGGTCCATCTCAATCTTGTCTAATTTCTTCTCAAACACCTGCCAGGGAACGGAGATGCCCGTGTCGAGAAAATATGCCGATACACTGGAGACGAAATGCTGCGCTTCTCTGACGAAGCGGAGCGTTGCGTCACCAGGATCTTCCCACTCGCGAGCCAGGCAGTTGGCGTCGCGGAACAGCTGGTTGACAACAAACGTCATCCGCAGGACTCGTAAAAGGAGTTTGAAAATGTAGTCGTACTGCAGCAGGTTCAACGGTGTGATGATGGGGCTCAGCTGCGGTGGTGCCGTGTAGGATAAGCGCAGAAAGTCCAGTGCTTCGAGGGAGTCCGGGTCCATGCACTTTTCAATCTCCTCCTCCGAGAGGTCTCTCAGAGCGAAGCTCAGGTCGCCTGGCAAGTCAGAAAGATTCTTATCGAATATGTGCTCAGTCCTTTCGGATTTCTTCCCGTCTTGGCTATCATTGTAGCAATCGGAGAGTATGCCCATCAAGGCTAATCGCAGCTCTGAGCTTGCTGGAGGCCAGTTGTCACGCCCCCCCAGCCGCAAGCCCATGACGCTGCTTTTCTTTGCGATCCCTGAGCGCGTGCTTGCCGATTCCAACTCGGGATCGAACAAAGCATGAGAGAGGCGGCTACATAGATTACCGTTCCTAAGAAGCTGAAAATCACGCTGCAGCTTGAGATGGTCTCGTAGGTTGTGCGCGCTGAAAAGGAGTCTAAGTGTCTCCTTATTGACCACCTGCGCCTGTGCCGACGCAATAACGCCAAAGGAGAGGACAGGAAGCAAGGACCAGTGGGGAGTGGAATTCGAAAGCTCGATAGCGGACGCATGCGTCCCGCAAAGTCTATCGCGCACAATGCTGCTCAGGGTATCCTCTGCGTCGTGTGTGGGAACTGGCTGAGCAAGCTGCTCAATCGAGGCGGCAATGCGCTCCTCCATGCCGGCTGGATCCAGTCCGAAGAAACTAAGTATGGAACCCGGGTTTTCGGGTGCCAGATGAAGGGAGGTTTCCATGGGGTCGAAAGCGTAGGCAGAACGGCTGGATTGAATGGCTTCGGCCAGACAGTCGCGATACGCAACAGCACGGCTCTCGAGGTGCAGTATGGCGTCCCAGTCATAAAGCCACTTGGCTCGAGGAGGATCGCTGGACGCAATGACATCCTGTTGAGCTAGGGGATGGTCCTCATGGAAGGAGCGGATAAAGCGCAGGTTGCGCCCAGTCTCGAAGATTGTCTCCGTCACGTCGTCGGGCATAAAGCGCGGCATTTTGCTCGAGTCCAAGACGTAGTCGACCTCTGATAGCTCCCGGCCAAAGTCATCCCGAAAGACTCGTGCCTCAACCTTGACAAATCCTTTGCTTTCTCCAAGATTGGCCTTGGTAAATGGCAGTCCCTGCTCGCGCTTAGTCCCAATCCACTCTTCGAGAAACTCGATCCAGGGGCCAGAGACCCTCCGCAGCACCTCTCGCATAATCTGACGGAGATACTCCTCGTTGCTGTCCACCGTATATGCTTGATGAAATACGAGATTCAGAATGTCTTCGTCCGTAAGGCCATGGCGCAACTGTGATGTGAGTGCCTTGAAGGGTCGCAGGATAGCCACCACCGAGTTGACGGTGGATTGAAGCCGCAGAAGCGAGCGAGGATTCCGACCGTTAAAGGCCACCCATTCTTGGACGACCTGCAGAACTTGGCTGACAGTGCTGGCGAGGGCCACGCCGCAGCGGCTCGTATGTTCCGAGTATACGGTTTGCGCAAAAGAGCGCAGCCCTACCAAGGTGCTCCCACACCTCAGGCACTTGTTCTCGAGGGCTTGTAGGACATGACTAGAATACCCGGATGCTCTCATCTTCGGGAGCGCAGGTTTGAGGCCCTGAGTTCCATCTTTCCGCGTAAAAAGAACAGACTCTCCGCCAAGCGCCAAAGCCAGTAACGAGGACAGGTATGTTTTCGTGTCGACAACAGGAACGCCGGCATTCCTGAGCTTCAGCGGGTCGTTTGCGGCGCTTAACAGGGCGTCATAGGCAGCCGGGCCGGCCTCTGTAACTATCATCGGTCTGTGCGCCGTAGATGCGTTGCCGGAGTAGAAACCGTTCCACGATCGAAAAGGAGGTTTCGGTTTGGCGGGGAGCTTGGGTTCCAGCCATAGATCGGATTCGTCTTCATCGTCATTGCTGTCGTCGAAAACTGCAGAGGATTGTTCGGATGGCCTCTCGGGCTCATCGACAGGCTCCGGGGCTACAGTCGCATCATCTTTGTCGGCCGTCCCAGCAGTATCTTGAGAAATCGGTAGCAGCTTGAAGAAGCCATCGTGTGGTGGTGTTATGGGCTCGAGCGCGAAGGGATCCGCGTTTGGATTTGCCAAGGCATCTGGTGGTGAACGGAGCGAATCGCGTGAGCAACTGGAAGGATAACAGTCGAGACTCAATTGCTCACTTGTGAGATTGGTGGAAAAGAAGCTGCCAGCAGACGGTGCCTCCGCCTCCGAGTCCAGCAGCTTCGATTGCGGCCAGAAGTTGGGAATGGCAAAGACATAATCCTCGGAGCCATCGCTGGCCATGGCTCACTGCAGGTTCAGCGACAGATGCATAGGGGACACGATGCGGCAGACGCGCCACCTGAGGCCATTCGCGTTGTTGGTGAACGAAGTCGAGCTCGAGATAATGTGCCTTTGGGGAAGGGAGTTGTTGAGACGCGATGTCTTCAAGTTGCGGTTCCCCTTGTCGATAAGGAAGCTCCCTAATGTTGACCTGCTAAGCTGGCCTGTCAGCGGGCGCCCCGCCCTGTAGGTTAGCGGGTTTATAGCTAAGGTACCTTGACTGCTAGCGATGCAATTTGATGATCTCATGCTCAATGGACTCGATCCATCCTCCAATGCTACTCGTATTTTGCTTTTTCGCATCTTCGCCAAACATCGTACATCACCACCGAGCGCGCCAGCCTATTCTTAACCGTCTCTACCACTGTCCGCCGAGTATCGGCTTTGCAATTGGGCCCTTCATTTGCTTGTACCTTGTTCAAGTCGCATCCTTTCTATTATACTCGTCTCGAATCTGCGTCACGATGCCTCCCAAGAAGCGCTCGCGCCTCCAGGTGTCTTCAACACCAACCACGATCAGAGAAGACAGTGTCATGGACGTTGATACACCGCGGCCAAGCGCAACACCAGGCTTTCTCTCTTCGGCATTCAAGCCTATCATCCCCGTCACCCCGTACGACAGCCTGTGGACAGATGACCAGATCTCTTCGCTATTCAAAGGCGTTATTCGCTGGAAGCCTGCTGGTTCGTTGCGCCAACCTTGCTTGAGCTGCAACAAGAAGCTCTGGAACCCTTTGTTGACCAGTATTTCTCTTTCTAGGGATGCACAAGCACTTTCGGATGATAGCGATATCCGAGCACTTGCGCAATCACGGCATCGACCCCGACATCCATCGCCACACGCGCATCCCCCACATCTGGGAGAAGCTGCGAACATACTACGACCTCGACCTGATTGACGAGCGGGAGTACTTTGACGACGACGAGCTCGACGATAAATACGTCGAGTTCTCCCTCCCCTTCCACGAGTTTGGCGAGATGATGCTGCAGCGCGCCGTTGCGGACCCGAGCGAGGCGCCCACGTCTCCTCCCCAGCTAGACCTCTCCCCTCAGCCGGAACAGAGGCGCCAGCCAGCCAGCACCGCCCCGAAGACGAGGGGAGCCTCTGCGGAAGGCGCCGAGAGCAGTGCTGCCGCGTCGCCAGCGCTGAAGCCGACAAAGGGCACAAGAGGTCGCAAGAGAGCGGCCAGCCAGTCTACCAAAGCGGAGAAGGAAAAGGTGGTGGAAAACTCTGAAGAGGACGACGATGAGTCCGAGGAGGAAGACGACTCTGGCTCGGAAGAGAGTGACAGCGAAAGCGCGGAGAGCGGTTCTCCTGCTCCGAAACCAACAAGAGGGGGGCCGGGCAGAGGCCGTGGAAGAGGCCGAGGACGGGGCAGGAGAGGCAGAGGCAGAGGAGGCTAATTATCGTAACCTGGAAGCGTTGGATAGGCTGCTGGGTGGTTATCATGGCTTCTGCGAACTGGGCATTGCGGCTTGGATCAGATTTGAGATACCCGAGTGTCAAAGTGTCCCTGTGAACACTACTATTAATATTAATATCTCCCTCATCTACTGCGTGGTTCTTGGGTTTATTACTTTAGATGCTTTCCGTCATGCATCACTTTCATCCTCATCTCCATCTTGGTCCAGCTGTACGTCCTCCTCCGCCTCCTCCTCCGCCTCCTCCTCTGCCTATTCCTCTGCCTCTTCCTCTGCCTCTTCCTCTGCCTCTTCCTCTGCCTCTTCCTCTGCCTCTTCCTCTGCCTCCATATCCTCTGCTTCATCTCCTCCTTCATCTCCAGCCTCTTCCTCCTGTTTCATCACCATGTCCTCCTCCTTCGACCCCAATTCCGGCTCTGGCTCAGACCGCGGCAGCGTTTCCCACTCGCTGTAGTAGAGCAGCTTCCGCGCCCAATCTCGTCCACTGGGGAAGAAGTTATCCATGCTCTGGGCCGAACGTCGTGGTGGACCAGGATCCTGTTTCTTAGGTAGGTCCATGGGCGGCTTCTTCTGCAGCACATTCCACATCTCGACTTCTGCTTTATAGCTGGCATGCTGATCGGCTTCCTCAGCTTGCCTCTCCTTCAGTCGGTCTGTGGCTATGCACGCCCTCAGCGCTCTTCTCGTAGCTTTATCAGGCCGGATGTCCCCGATAGTGCACTCCAAGACTTCCCTTGTTTCCACGTCGACTTCTCGCTCCTCCTCATCGGTGGGGGAAACTGATCTGCTCGAGTCGGCGGAAGCTTCTGAAAACATGTCTTCTTCATCCTCGGAGTGGCTGAGCTGAGTAAACAAGGAGGGAGTTGGAGGCTGCGCTTGCTGCTGTGATCCGGATGCTCCCGCATCGGACAAGGCTCGTTCCACTTCCTCATAGGTCATACGGTCCTCATCAGGTTCTTCCTCCCCTTCTGGGGGATCTTCGTAAACATCAAGGCGTAATCTACGAGCACTGCCAATCCAGGCATCCTTTGACTTGGAAGCCATATTCAAGGATGAGATGGCTGCCTCGACATCCTGTAGCAGTACCATGTCTCTGATTTTCCAGCCGATGGCGGTCTTGGATCTGATCCTGGACATGGCCATGAACAGCGTTGTCTGAACAAGCCTCCGGGTGACCGACACGGCCAACGAGTGAAAGTCATCGAACGTCGTGGCCCACATGGACGGGGGATTCTCATCGATGGAATTCCAGTTGTTGGCGGGAATCGAAGAGTTCATAAACATGCGCGCCGAGAGCTCCAGCCACTTTGAGAGATGAAAGAGCTGAGCAAACTGAGGCACATTGCTGGACAGGTTCGCATCCTGGCTATGAAGATGAACATTTCTGCTCAGCTCCTTGGCAACCTTTGGGGTCACGTCCCATACGTCTCCCCACCGGCCCTGTTCCCTCATCTCCTCGCGCACTTCTTGCTTGAGGGAGATTTCATCGGCAGCCTCTTCCTGGGCGTGGCAGCACTGCTGGCTAATCTCGACAGCAGCGGGATATTCTGCAAGCTCTAGAATAGAGCGAGACACTTGCTGGCGCCTCGAATCGCAGGCCTCCTGGAGATGCATCAGGTACTGGCTGACCTCTGCAACGCTTTTGCTGCCGACTCTGGCGGCAATGCCGGGCAAGTCATGTTTTCCGAGACGTGCTACGGCCTCGAAAAAACTCTGCTTTTCTGCTGGGGACCAGGCTGTGAGTCCTATCTGACCTGCCGGAAGGGGTTCCTGGTCGCCGAAAGTGATCCGCTGCGCAGCGTCCCGGATCTCTTCGTTGAGAAGCTCCAGGTATCCAAAGTTGAGCTCAGATCTATGTCTTTTGAACGGCCGGTATACCGCCGTGGCATCATCCAAGGGCCGCTTCAAAGGCGATCGCAGGTCCTGGCTTTCTGCTGCCGATGAGGCGTTGTCCTCGTCCTCATCTTCCTCGAGGTAGTCGCTCTCTTCGCCGGCTGGCTCCCCATACTCTTCGTATCCAGTGCTCAGATCGGCTTCCACGATCTCTTCGGTATTCCCCTCCACCTTGACCTTTGTTGGCGGGATGGCAGCAGCATCGGGTTCTTGATATGAGGAGTCAGAATCTTGGTCCATGGTCCTACGGTCACTGGGATGTTGATGGTTGAACTGGAACGAGAGGACATTGTAGCAGCGACCGAGTCAGGACCACGGATTGAGCCTAGGGAGAAGCTGGCGTTGAATTCGATATCATGCTTGGACAGCCTTGAAGAAGCTCTGAAAAGGTGAAAGCCGGAGAGCTGCAGTTTTGCAGCTGTCTGCTGAGTCAGCCATGTCCACGACTCAGTGAGACCAACGCCACAAGTGGCTAAATAAAGGTTGTCACCTTACATAAGACAAAACTTACACCAAAACTTGCATCGCATCTTTACCCGGATTTTCATTCAACACCCTCACTAAGAGGAATCTGTCGTTCGAACAGCATTACCATGTGCAATGCTACAAACCCTCGTGAGACGTCTCTTCCGTCCTGATGCTGGGACCGGCGTCCCCAAAAGCTTGGCTTTCACCAACCAGCTCCGCAACTATGCGGCCACGGCTGCTCTCAGCAATAAGCTGAAGCTTCGAGACTATCAGCTAGAATGCATCAAATCCGTGCTTTTGTCCCTTAAGCGGGGACACAAGCGGGTTGGCATATCTCTGGCCACTGGGAGTGGTAAAACAGTACGTCACGCCGCCTCCTCATCTCTCATTGTTCGTAGGGGGATAAGAGATGCTGATATCACTACCAACAGGTCATCTTCACTCAGCTCATAGACAGGGTTCACGACCGTGTCAAGGATGGGAACCAAACACTCATCTTGGCTCATCGCCGTGAGTTGGTCGAGCAGGCTGCCAAGCACTGTCAGCTAGCGTATCCAGACAAGAAGATTGAGATTGAAATGGGCTCTCTCCATGCTTCTGGCACGGCGGACATTACCATTGCAAGCGTCCAAAGCATCACATCGAGGGATCGGCTCGACAAGTATGATCCTTCAAGGTTCAAACTCGTCCTTGTGGACGAGGCCCATCACATTGTTGCGCCGGGTTACCTCAGGACCTTGAAGCACTTCGGTCTCGATGAGAAGCGGCACAACTCACCCATTCTGGTAGGAGTTTCGGCGACATTCTCCCGCTTCGATGGAGTGAAACTCGGCGCCGCCATCGACGAGATTGTCTACCACAAGGACTATGTAGACATGATCTCGGACAAGTGGCTGTCCGACGTAATTTTTACGACGGTCGAGTCCCATGCCAACTTATCCAAAGTCAAGAGCGGCGCGTTCGGCGACTTTCAAACGGGAGAACTCTCCAAAGTCGTTAACACCGACACCATCAACGACATCACGGTCCGCAGCTGGATGGCCAAGGCCCCAGACCGCAAATCCACGCTGGTGTTCTGCGTCGACCTGGCGCACGTCTCGGGCCTGACGCAGAAGTTCCGCGAGCACGGCTTCGACGCTAGATATGTCACCGGCGACACGCCCAAGGTGGAGCGGAGCGCCATTCTCGAGGCCTTCAAGAAGCGGGAGTTTCCTGTGCTCGTAAACTGCGGCGTCTTCACCGAAGGTACCGACATTCCCAACATTGACTGCATCGTGCTGGGCAGGCCGACGAGGTCGCGCAATCTGCTGGTGCAGATGATTGGACGAGGCATGAGGTTACATCCGGACAAGAAGAACTGCCACATCATCGACATGGTCTCCAGCCTCGAAACAGGCATCGTCACGACACCAACACTATTCGGCCTCGACCCGAACGAATTAGTCGAAGAGGCCTCAGTTGAAGACATGAGAAAGATCAAGGACCAGAAAGCAGCAGAAGCAGAACAGCAGCAGGGGGATTCTTCAGGCGCCGGTTCAGGCCCTTCTCCAGCAGTCACCTTCACAGACTACTCCTCCGTCCTGGACCTCATCGCAGACACCTCTGGCGAGAGGCACATCCGCACCATCAGCCAGTACGCATGGGTCCAGGTCGGCCCGGAGCGCTTCGTCCTCTCCGCCCCGAGCGGCTCCTACATCCGCATCGAGCGCCTGCCCGTTTGCCCGGGCTCCTCGGGACCTACCTACCGCGCCCTCGAGGTCAGGGCCCTGCCCCCCGGCGTCGCAAAATCCCCCTACGCCGCGCCCCGCGAGATCCTCAAGGCCGCGACGTTCAACGACGCGGTCCACGGCGCGGACAGCTACGCCGCCAGCGCTTTCCCGCACACCTTTATCCACCGGCACCAGTCCTGGCGGAAGTTGCCGCCGACGCAGGGCCAGGTGGACTTCATCAACAAGCTACGGGGCAAGAGCAGGCCCCTGACGTCGGCGGAGCTGACAAAGGGCAAGGCGGCGGACATGATCACGAAGCTCAAGCACGGGGCGCGCGGGCAGTTTGCGCGGATGGAGGCCGAGCAGCGGAGGCGGGACAAGACGAGGTACACCCTTGAGACGAGGCAGGATAGGGAGCACGTTAGGGTCGGGCCCCTTTCGGCTTGAGGACTGGCCTCGTTAGATTGTGGTCATCGACTTTTGGCGTTGAGAATATTGCATACTTTGGAGTTATCAGGATGTTTTGGGAGGGAAAGAATTATATGGGACATGTATCATTACGCAAGATACCCTATGGATGGGTTGCAAGATGAATAGAGTTGTTTACGGGAATCATGATACTCTTCTCAACATTGGCAGAAATAGCACTATGTAAATGGAAATTGTTTTCATGGCGGTGCAACTATGAATGGGAATTCATTACGACATCCCAATATGTCTTTGGGGCCCTTTCACAGTTCAGATGCTGCATCAAGATGACCAGAACGCGCGATTGGGACAATCGTCGCGTAGTAAGGCGTGGGTATCATGCGTCTTTCCATTCAACAGATCGTTTCCATTCAACAGATGGTGACCATACATGCGTGTAAAGACACTTTTGTACCCCCTCCCCTATTTCCGCGGCCGAAAGATAAATCCAAGGTTTCAAATCAGGAACCACCTGAACTCTTGTCTCTTGGCAAACAGATTTCTGGCAGTCCCCTTGGTGTAAAAGAAAGATAAAGACGCACGCAATTCTTGTTGCTCTTGCATTCCTCCACGTGTGTTGACGCCCGCTGCTCTCCGACGGCATCGACTCCTCTCTCATCGATGATGCTGATTCAACAAGACTTCACCAGAAGCCCAAAAAATCGATCATCTTGCAAACTAGATTCTTCAGCTCCAGCTCATGGGGGTATTTTCTTGACAAGATTCTTCATCTTGGACGTCTAAGACGTTCAAATGGGTATAAAAGTGAGTGTCAGTCATCAAGATAGACATTCCGGAATGCAACGAACAGCGAACAAATCGTAAAAGGACAGGCGATCAACGGCAAAGAAACGAGAAAACGTAACAGAAAACGAAACAAGATACGAACACACAAAAGACGACGAAACAGAATAATCAAAAGGGGGGAAATAGTGCAGTCAACACCAATTGAAACAGAACAAAGGGGAGCGCACCAACATCTCCAGGCGAATCAATGCCTGGATATGATGCAATCTTTGGGCGCTCCGTGGGTATATCCAGCCGGGGGTATTCGTGTGTAGGGGGGTCTAATTCGGCAAAGTCTAACGGAAAGGCCCAATGGGGCCGGGGTATCCTGAATTCATAGAGTGTGAAGTAGAAGGTCTCCCGCTATCACCAGACGCGCGGGTAGCGTGGCGGGAACCCATCATGTCTTTGGGGTGGGGGATGGACAGCTTGCTGTCGAAGTGGTGGTTGCTGACGGGGCGAGCCCAGGGGTTCTCGTCGTCGGCGAGATTCACCCCACTGTCGTTCCAGGGGTTGCGGTCGGCGTTGAAGCTGCGGGTGGACTCGATCGAGATGAGCGACGACTTGGAAACGTTCGCCGAGCCCTTGAAGAAGCTGCTGGTGGCCGAGTGCGAGCTGTTCTTTCTGCGATCCAGGAACGAGGAAATGGACGTCATGCTGCCGGGCCTCCTGAGTCGATCAAGGATGCTGCTACGCTCTCGAGCAATGTCGGCGTTGAAGGCATTCTTGATGGGAGAGTCGTTGGCCGCCGAAGCGGGCGCGTGCTGGAGCAGTTTCGAGTCAAAGTACTGAAGCGTGTCTTCAAACGAATCAGACTTGGGACGCGGGATGGAACCTTTGACGATATCCGTCTCGACATTGGCCGTGGCAAACTGCGCAAGCAAGAAATCAATCGCGTCCCGGAGACCTCCAGCATTGTTGCGCGTGAAACCCCAGACGAGAGTCGTAGTGGGAGAGCCATCCTCCGTAGTCTCATCAGGGTTCTGATGAACGGTGACTTCCACCTCGTACTGACACTTCAGCTTGGGGACAAGATCATGCGCAAATTCGGGAGACTCGAGGAACTTGACCAACTTTGCGTTGCGAGAAAGCACCAGCTCATGTTTGTCTGGAACCATGCCGAGAAACTCGTCCACGCAATGAGGCACCTGCCACTGAGGACCAGTGACAGTGACCTCGTCACTCGCCTGCTCAGTGCTGGGGAAGTTGATTTTGCAGTTGTACTTCTGCTCAAGCTCGTCAATCTCCGAAAGGCGAGCGATCAACTCGCGGTGGTACAGCCGATCGACGCTAACGATCTGAGAAGTATACTCGGAATCCTATGCAGAGTTTAATGTCAGTCCACAGAGGCTCTCTCGCTGGGTGCTTTCTGGTGTACACGTACAGCTCGGTCAACCATTTCGAGAATCTCGTTCTTGACGGCATCGAGATTCTGGGCGTTGCGTGCCGGAGTACGGCAAATGACATTGTCGACTTTGATATCATCGTCTTCGCGACCCATTCCCCCTAAAGTGTCATTGTCAGCCATCTCCTGGTCCAACCATGCAAGGGGAAAAGGTTCTTCTCTCGCACAGCTGTTCTTCTTACCTCTGTCCATAGCATTGGAGAACTTGACAAAGACGGAGTGCTTCTTCATGATACGCTGAATGTGCTGACCGCCAATGCCAATGATACGCTTATGGTACTGGTCGGGGACATGGAAAGAGATTGAAGCGGGCATCTCCTGTTCAACCAAGGTCAGACCTTGTTTCATGGAATCGTAACTGGCAGCCATGACATCGATGTTGAAGTTGTATTCGTTGAAACCGTCGAAAATGATCTGTACGTTGCCTAAGGGAGAAGCACGTTAGTTGGATTTGACACGCAGCCGATTCTGCAAAGATGATTACGGATGACGTACTCTGTCCCATGATCTTGTTGATCTTGCCGTTCTTCTTACCACTCACAAACTCCTTGTGCTCGTTGGCCAGCTCTATCTTGACACGGATCTGATACTGAGACATGGTTGCAAACTTCAGCTGAGAGATGGTAGCCAAGGCAGACTTTACAGAATCATCGGAGCCAGTCACGGAAAAGCTCGCCTTGTCAAAGGACACTTCGGCGTCAGAGTTGGCGCAGATGTCGGCGAGCATGGGGTAGATCTCATGAGGAGCGGGGAGGTTTCTGGGATCTGGCTGTTGAACATACCATCCGGCGCCATAAAACTGGCCAGCCAGAGACATGAGTTCCCGGACAGTTCGTTCAACAGGCAGACCTTCGTTTCCATGGACTCGGACCACCGAACGCTGGCACGCCAATGGAGGAAGCATGATGTACGTGGCGTTGGCCTCGAGGATCTTGCGGACCTTGTCGAGGCGTCCCAGCAGAATGTTGTCCAACTTTGCGGGCGGGATGTTGACATCCTTGCAGAAGAGGCGAATGCGAGAGACCGTGTCATGGAGCTTTTGCTTGGCCATTTCGATGGCCTGGGGAGTCTCGCCGGTGATGTAGATGTCTGAGGGGTCGCGGCGATTTGCCTTGGGCGGGCAGTATCGGTACATCTGCGAGAACATGGGAGGGAAATAGATGGCTGTCCCGGTTGACGATTCAATGAGCTTGATGTTTTTGCGATGGCGGCCACAGACAACTTGTTGGAACGGCAATTCGATCTTGGTGACATCTACTACGCGGCCAAGCTGGGCGATGTTAGCACATGGATACAAACACAGTTCACATATGATGGATCGGAAACACGAACCCAAGAGTCAATCTGGATGAGGACCCGGGCCTTTGCATGTTCAGACGACAGGATATCACCGTAGATGGCAACTCTCCAGCGTTGATCCATCCGCATCTCGGAATCGCCCAGCATGCCATCAACCACAGGGGTCAGTTTCGGGCCCAGGAGAAAGATGTCGACGCCACAGTAGCTAGAGATGGAGTCCAGGGTCTCGAGGACGGGCTTTTTGAGCACACCAGCGCTCAGGTCACAGACCAAGCTTCCTTCAACGTCAATCGTGGTACAACGCTGCATTTCGGCCCAGTGTTAACAAATTGTGCCAATATTTGGCAATCGCTGCCCAAGGGAAAGGGTTGAGGCATACCATGGATATGGGAATCTCGTTCAAAATGGTCTCCCGGCTCTTGTTGACCAGGTCCGGGGTTCCCGTGAGGCAGACGGTGGTGATCTGCTGGCTCTTGCCGTTCTTCGGGGACGAGACGAGAACTTGGGCCTCGATAGGCAGCGGTCCGCTGGACAAATCCGCACAGAGCGCGCGCAGGTTTGCCAGATTCTGGGCGTGGACAGGGAGCTCGTGGACCTGGACGTCATCCGGTGCATCCTCGGGGTGCGTCCATCTCAGGACAGCGTCGGTAGTGGCGTGGAGGATGTCTTCCGTATTGGGGCCGACGAGATCGGAGGCGAACGGGATGTTGAACGAGTAGTGTATCGTGGCATCGGGGGCGGGAGAAGTCAGAGGAAGGCCGGGTTGGGAGACGTTCTTGCTCAGGCTGTTCATGGGGACGCTGGGTCGGCCCATTCCGAAGTTTGGGCTCATCCTTTCGGACCAGTGGCGCATGTTTGCCAGCTTATTCATATTGGTTGAGGACCTGCGGGCTGCAAAATGTCGAACAGTATCGCGATGCTGAGGACAAGAGGAATCGGAGGCCAGCTGCCTAGACACTGGCTGGGTCGGCAGGGAATCAACAGGCGGGCGAAGGATTCGAAGAGCAAGGGGTATCGATTCGGGAGGGGAGAGAAAAAGAAAAGACGAAGAAAAAAGACGGCAAGAGAAGTGAAGAAGAAGAAAGGAAAGGGAAAGAAGCGCCGGCAATGCAGGCCTTTTCCTGGTATCTCGAGAGGATGGTTGAGGGCCAGAGGGGGGAAAGGTGGGAGTTGGAGAAGGGTGGAGGGAAAAGGCACGGTAGGGCAAGGCAAGGTAGAGAGAGCAGAAAAGACGGTACGGAGCAGTTGAGAGGGCCGGGCATTTGGTGTTTTAGTCAGGCGAGGACTGGGTGGTGGCAGTGGCCCCAGGCCGCCTGTTGTGTGGGATTTTGGGGGGCCTCGACCGGGCTGATGAACAGCATGCCACTGAAGCCCGCAGTACGTACAAGTTCCGGATAGGCGGTACGGGGCGCCGCAGTACTTGGTACCCGGTACAAGTACCGCGGGCGTGTTAGTGCGGTACGTGCGTCTAGGTTTTGGTCAATAGCGGAATCGGCGCAGCAACCGACGGAGACTACAAACGAGCACCATGGCCACCAGAATCTTGGATCTTGGCTAACTCGTTCCGAAACGCAGATCAGAACGGATATTCGACGCCTCATACTTGGGCACTGGCGTTGTTGATTCATCACGGTTTCCAGTACTCCCTAACATCGGGCATTGTGGGAGCCAGAAGATCCGACAGGGACCAGCCCAGGCCCAACCAGGCTGTGTCCTCGCAGGGATGCCTCTCTCACCACTCACATCTCAAAGAGGCCTTTTTCCTTCACGAATCCCGGAGAGGCCACACCAAAGCCAAGCCCCTTATATGAACTGCATACCTACCTTACACAGCTGATCTAATCCGAGTTCCTTGCCTACGGAACAGCAAGGAACCGACTCGCCGACTCGTACGAAGGCAACAAGGACAGCGTGATGCAAGCACGACAATCAACCGATGGAGCCCTACATCTACATGATACAGGTGCAAACGGGAGTGCTGCCGCGACGCTCTTTTTCGCCCGCACCATGTCCTCTGTACAACTACGCTGAATGCTAAGGTAGATACAGACTTCGTACGACATCACCATCAACTTGAAGACACCTACTTACCTGGAGGCAATAAATCTGCACTGGCACCACACGGACAGTTTGATGCAGTGAGACGGGAGCAGGTCAGGTTGCAGCTGCACCTGGCACGGGTACAAACCAACTGAGTAAGCGCACATCATGTTTACCTCTACGACCTAAGGTACCTTGCCTTGCCCGTACATGTACCTGGAGCCTGAACTACCAGAACAGCTGGAGGGTGTTGGACGTGATACTGGAACCTGGACTAGAAGGCAAGGAATCTCCGTAACCAACCTCGAGATCTCTCCTTCGCGTCTGGCAGGCCACTTGACAGCAGCAGAGCAAAATACCTGTCGCTTTTTGCACCGACAGATGCAAGGCTCAGGCTGGTATTCGACTCGTATCGTGCAGTACAATCACTCACGCACTTGCGCATTCGCTTACATGTACCGGCTAACTGCCAGGGAGAACCGGAACGCACAGGCTGGTGAATGACAGGCCGCCGTGTCGCATCACCTGCACACAGAGGGCCAGAGCGCCAAACGGGCCCGGAATCCAGCGGCGCTCGAGCGTCTGCCGGGCTTGCAAAATGCGTCCACACCTGGCTCCTCACTGCCTCACCAACCTGAACCAGTAAAGCCCGCCAACAACCTTGAGCTTGTGCCCACGATTCGACGCTCGGCGGTGGGGCGCATGTCTCTGGTGCCAGGTACCAAGAATGTACATGCGCCAGCGCTGGCCGGGGTCTTGCACCGGGGGCGCAATTTGCAAGTACCGTGGCCGCAGACGGCGCTGATGAGGTTATCACTGCAAGGTAAAGTGAGGCCTACGGCGCTCGCGGTACATTACGGAGTGCGAGTTGAACGCTGAACCCGTCAAATCAGTCGTTCGTTGGATGCTGGGCTGCTCCGCCCACACTGGCAGACATTCTCGTGGTGAGACCTTAGCTTCAGTTCCAAGCCACCGGCACTTTGACAGGCGGGCCGGGCGAGGCATCATGTAGCCTCTACCAGGCACAAAGTACCGCGAGGGTACTCGTACTGCAACTTCATTCAATACGGCGAGGATTGATGGAAGGTGCAAGGTTCAGCTATGGCAATAAGGAAGTCGCATGGCCTCGCTTGACAAGAGGTTTCGGAAACAAACAAAACAACCTGAAGATATCTGCATATATCATACTTCAACTCTAACAAGCCAAACAACGCCATGTCGCCGCACAACACTCCATGGAGCAGCAATTGAACAGCCGCAGAAACTCGTCTTGCTGCTAGCCGCTCTCCTACTTGTACTACCAGCCCCTTCACGTTGTGCTAGGTTGGAAGGGTCGTAGCACGGCGAGCTGCTGCAGACTCGCGGCAGCTTTTACTCCTTCAACTGGCTGATCCGGCCTCGAGACGACCAACGGGATGCCGTCGTCTGCAGGATGACTTCGCTACCAAACCTTTTCTGTACCCATCTTGGGCATCCCTAACCTGTTCGGCACGTGTTTGCTGCTAATCATCATTCGATAGTGTGCGACTTTGTCGCAGCCCCAAATAAACAACAGCCCTCCCACAAGGGAAGCCTCGGCTCTCCCCGCGTCAACGATTGCAATGTTTTCGGCCGTGGGAAAAGAGGCTTGATCGTCTACTCCTCTCTCCTTCTCCTCCGTCGTCATCATCAGCTTCCTCTTCCTCTTGTGGCTCTTCCTCTTCCACTTGCTTCTATTCCTTCTAGCGTTTGCCGTCTTTGCGGAAAGACCAGATGCCCGGCTAGGCGAGCCCACCACCGAAGCAAAACCCACCCACGGCTTGCTTCGTCTGCCGCCTGCACACACACCATACCAGCAAGACAAGGGCACAAACGCTTTCGATCCCGGACTCCACCGCCGTGTCCACCCCTTGACCCCCTAGCCTGGCCTGGCCTGCTCAATGGCACACACGCAAGCCTGTGCAGGGCCTCACCCAGCGGTAGCCACTCTGGATCGACCAGATCATCCGTTGCAAAGCACCAGACGCTTTGCTGCTTGCCGGTGCCGTTAGCATGTGCTACCCAGCACGATTCCGTACGGAGGGGTCTTCGTGCCTGGACCCGAGCGAGCCTTGGTGGTCTCTATCGCCGAGACATCCAAGCGCTGTTGGGTGGCTGGGCTGGCCCTCCGTCTCTCTCACCATGCTACAGCACATCATTTCATACAAGCCGTGGGATCGACGGCAAGATCTTCAGGTTCAGCGACAATGCAGCCAGCCCCACTGCCAGCAGCAGCAAATCATGACGATGACGGCGCGACGACTCCGTACTTGTACAAGTATGTGCGAGAGAGGGGCACGTACCAACCAAGCTTTTTGTTCCGCAGCGATACGAGGGAGCTTGCCCGCCCAAGCGAGTGGCTGTACCTGCTTGTTGACAGCGCGAGAAGGGGCTCCAAACGGCTTCTACGGAGTATTACGAGTACTGTACTCGCGATATCGCCTGTCTCGGTAGAGACCGATATCTATTACTACTCGTACTTGCCTTGTACAAGAGACCGGCCAGCTCGGTGTCGCGGGGCTTATCGCGGGATCTGTCATGTTCCGTCCGGCCTCTTTGCTTCGATTCGGCGTACGGGGTATGAACCCCCTGGGACCACTCATCACGACTCCGTAATCGAGCGCATACGGCGTGCAGTTCAAGAGCCAAAACAGAATCACACTCGTCAGGCCCGTACGGCATGCAAATGCAGCTGCAGATGCAGAGGACGTGGTCGTTCGCTCTGTGCAACACGCCAGCTTCCAATCACGTCCTATTCATCACCATCGGCACTCGACGTGGGTTGCTACAGGTACGAAGTGCGGCATTCTCTTTCTATCTCTGGCCGTCACCTGTGCGAGTGCGGGCGCCAATGTCAGTGCCAATGCATACTAACTCGGTACTTGTACGAGCAGCACAAGTGAGTATGAGATATTATGTTGCGGCACCACGCATCATTACTACAAACAGAGTTGAGAGGCTGGCTGTTCTGCTCGTTGCCGTGGCCGTTGCCTTCGACGACGTCTCAATCCTCGACTCTCTGCATCTGGCCTAGCCCACCGGAAAGCGTGCCGTGTCTCAAAATTACCGCCGCCACTGCGAGAAACTGGCCACCTGGAGATGCGGGCGTATCTGCGTCAAGCTTGATTTGACTGTTCCACGACAATGCAACCCGCATTCTCGCCTGGGGACTCTGCCGTGGCCCAATCGTGGCCTAGGGGGGTCTCTTGGCTGGCGAGCTGGTTTGGGCAGCTCCCACAGTGCCTCCTCGAATCGACCCCATACGGGCCGGTCAAAGATGGTGGTGTCTGCTACGTTCTGTATCCTCGACCTGTGACGGGCCCAAGATAACGCGGGCTGTGTTTGAAGAGGCTGCGTGCTTACCGGGTGCGTTTTTCGCATGTTTCATCAGATCCCAGCTGCTACTTGTAGTAGTACTACAAGCTGTTATTGTTGGGCACACCCGGTAGTCGTACTTTGTGCGACTCGCTATTCCGGGCTTCATGGAAGAATGAGATCCATCGACCGGCTGTTCCTCGCTTTGGCGCCCACATCCATTGTCGCCTTCAGCTCGATTTCTTTCAAGACCTCATCAGACACTGTACACTAAAAGCTCTGCGCCGCCACCCGGCGACCAAAAGCTCAATCCTGGGGCCTCCCTTCCATTCCGCAACTTTGATACGAAGTATGTCTAGAGGCCGGAGGTCTCATTTTTCTTGTTCTGTTGAGCCACTAAATTCACATTAACCTCTCTACTAATACAGCTAGTATTCCAAGGGACGGGATCGTCACAAACTAGAGAGAAATGACGAACCACGGAGGGCTCGCGGCTGCTAACGCAACTAGCACGGCTTCTTGTCCTCGCATCAAGCCAATGCCACTCTGTATATGAAGCGCCATTGAAAAGCTTGGAAGCCTCATCGGTCGTCTTCGCATTAGCTATCCGTCCCATCCGGCTGCTATTACATATTACCACGTACGTAAAGGCAACAAGCCCAAACACCTCGGTGGGAGTACTGCTGGGTATAATAGTACCTAGACAGAGAAGCTTGTAATCTAGTAGGTACCTACCTCGTAGTGCCCGTCTGCCGAGAACATGAAGAGGCTGTACCTGTTCAACTCTCACAGCCGTGGCTGGTGACGGCGGAGGGGGATAAGAATTGAGTTTTGAGCCCCTCCCGAGCTGCCAATTGCACAAACTTGCTGAGAAAGCGGGCAAGGGCAGCAGCTTTTATGCTCGTTTTGACCTGCCGAGGTCAATGGCTTGATGGCGTCAGTAAAGGGGCCTTGTCCAGCCAATTGTCAACGATCTTTGTGGGCTCTCCATCGCAAGCCATATATCTAGCTATCATGGTTCGGGGAGAACTGACAATGGAGCCGCCACGGCAACATGGGCTTTTACAGAGTTGAAGCCTCCACTTGTACCAAAGATGTGGTAATTACTCTCGCTTTTCCCTCTCTGCTTTGTCTCGCCCGTGGACTGTGCTGAAGATACGGCATTCACATGCTATTCGAGTAGTATCAAGATGGTGCTTCTTGGAATTTTCTGTACAATGCTGTTCAAATAGCGCACGGGGATTTCCGACCTCGACGGAGGCAAGCGACTCTTTATGCCGTCTTCACTGAGGCAAAGGACCCTTTGCTGAACCTTTCGCCTTTGTTTGCCCCCTGTCCTATAGACGATCCATCGTGTTCCTGGTTCCTGGCCCCTGATCCTCTATGAATGTTGTGAAATGTACTCGTACAAGTTGATCATGCAATCGCAGCTGAACGCAGCAGCCTCCTGTAGCCACCCCTTGCCAAAATGCTTCCTTTCTGTAATAAATCGCCCTCTCACCGATAAACCTCTCTCCTGACGTCATCAACGTAGACAATTTCCCGAGACGCTCCACGAGGCCGCTCGATAAAGGCGATCTCGTCCGTTCCTCTGGGGGCTCCTCCCTGGGGCTCATGATACCGTTCAGGGGGCCGCATGCTGTACTCCCGATGAATCGTCGGAGCTCGTTGCATGGGGCTACTGCCGTACTCTCTGGAGTATGCTTGTGGGCCTTCAGGGTGACGGCCATCCATGTGGACATTCCCGCTGTATTCTCTGCCAGGAGCCTCGGGACGTGCGCTGTGCATACGGATGTATGGCTGGGCCGGCTCGAAGCGCATCCGCTCAGGCGGCCGGTAGCTGGGCCCTCGTGGCACGTACTCCGCCGGTCGTTCTTCGATGATCCTGCCATCATGGGACCTCACAATCTGAATATATCCTCGCTGCTGCAGCTGGTGATCGCTAAACTGACCGTCCCTATGCTCGTAAGGATACTCCGGCTCAGAGACATATACTCTTCTGACTGGATCGTAGATCGAAAGCGGTCTGGCATATACCACGTTGCCTTCGTTGTGCGGCGCAGGCCCGAGGTTGTTCGACAAAGTCCGGGGTGGCAATCGCTCGTAAATCACCTCCGGTTCTCCAGATCGAGGCATGGGGGCAACAGATTGCCGGGCGGAGGAAATCAGAGGCTCGACAAACTCCCGCCCATACGAATCGACCATGACCCGCGTCGGTGGCCGTGGGGGGACTATAAAAGACTCACCCTCTGGGCGTACACTTGCGCGGGCCCCCTCAAGAGGTTCCCGATAGATGCGAATGGGCTCCCGGTATGAATCGTAAGAAATAACTTGTGGCACTGCGGCAGGACCATGAACCTCTCTGGGTGGTGGAATGGAATAGGAAACCGGATCGCGTGTCTGAGGCTGACGCATATAGCTCTCGCCAAGGGGAGCAGGGCGGGCGTAGCTCTCACCAGGCACGCGAGGATCATAAAGGCTGTTGGGGTTTGGGGCTCCCGCTGGCTCACCACGTATCGACGCGGAGTGAGGCAGATATTGTGCGGGGCCGGGTTCATGGTAGGTTGCAGGAGCTCGCTCGCTTGGAAACGCCTGTGGCGGCGGTTGCTCATAGGCTGCGTTCGGTGGAGGCTGGGCGTATCTCGGCTCAGATTGTCCAGAATCATTAGCATGTGCCTGGGAGTGTCGTTGCCGTTTGCTGGGTCTGTTGTATGCTGGAGCTGTCATGGGCGACTGTGAACGAGGCTCAACTTTGATACTTGGCCCGGCCTGTGCCTCGAGCGCTTGCCGGTCGGCCTTCCTCTTATTCTTCTTTCCCCTCTTCCTCTCTGTCTCCTTGGCGCCCTGAGAAGAGCTCTCGGAGCTGGCAGGGACGTCGAGTCCGTGTCTGAGTGCCGCCACCTGCGCCGACGTACCAAGAGAAGCGGCTAATGTTGAATCAATGACAGGCGTCTGAGCATTGACAACAGTCAGAGGTGCAATCTTTGCTGGCTGAGGAGCAACAGGTATCAAGTCATGGTTTCGAACAACGGGAGGGCCTGGTGGCAGCGCAGGCCGAGCCGGGTCGTACTGCAAAGCGCTGTCCCCTGAGTCATCAGTCTCGGCTTGCAACTCCCGGACCGGCTCTGTGCGCGCAGTGATGGCTGGAGCCTGTGTAGCTGGAGAGATTCCGCTGTTGGCCAGTATGTGAAGCCCAGGAACCCGCACCTGCTGGGGCCGACTCGCGGTGGTACTTGTCACCAGAGGCGGGGCTGGAACCGGAGCAGGAGCAGGAGCAGCAGCCGGAGCAGCAGCGGGGACTTGGGTTGAAGGTCGGGAAGGGGGTCCTGCAGCATAGTGACCATTCGCAGACGCAGAGGGTGCCGCGATATTACCATAGCCCGTGCTGGCATGAGACCGTGGCAGAGATGGCCTGCGGTCGTCCGTCACCATGGCCTCATCAGACGAGTGGCGCACGCGCGAGGTCAGGTTGGACTCGGGCGTGTCATGCTTCGAAGAGTAAAAGGTGTTATCGTCAAAAGAATCACTTGCAGCTTCATGATTAGCACTCAAGTCTCCGTTGGCGGAAAAAGGTATAGTAGTGGCTTGAACAAGAGTCAAGGCCTTGGCGAGCACATCAGATAGATCAAACTCAATGACAGGCTCTGCTTGCACTTGCTTTGAGGCGCGACGCTGTTCGATGTCGTCTTTCAGAGACCGCTCGATCCTCTGCCTCTGCAGCTGGATCTCAGCTCTCACGAGCTCGTCAGACTTTTCAAGTAGAATGGGATTGATCTCTGTCGTCCTGTTTGCGAATGGCTTTGGGTGTTGGGGACCAGTCGCCTGAGGAGCGCGAGCGTCAGCGGGAGGCTGAGGCTGCGACACACTGGGAGTCTGATCCTGTTTGCCTGTAGCAAGCTTCTGCGCAGCTTCGGGCCGTGTGTCTACTTCGCCAGGCTCTGATGGTGGTCTCGCGAAGGTGGGGAGGGGGGTGGACAAGGCCTTGAGGCCAGGGGGAAGCTTGATGGATGGGTGATTGCCTGCGAGGATAGCATCGCGAAAGCGCACAATCTTTTCGCATTCTTCAATCTCCTTTGCCTCCCTTTGGGCCTGAGAGGCCGATGCAGGCGCGCCTGCACGAACAGGGGCAGCTCGACCGCGGTCTCTTGAGCCCATAGCAAGCGGTTCAGCGCTGCTTGTCTCTTCCTCTTCTCAAGTTAGTACGACTGGGGAGTTGCCGCGTCAAGGCGCAGTAGGAAACGCGCAAGCGTCTCGCGTGTCGTCGAGAGGCTGCTCTTGTGTCGAAGCTACACCGGGCGCCTTTCAGAAGAGACAAGCAGTGCTTTGTTTTCCTTGTGCACCAACCATGATGGTGGACGATGCGTGCTGGGATATGGAGTGGCAGCGGTGGGAGAGAGATTGAGGTAGGGAGGATATTCGGAGCGGGTTTCGTCAAATAACTTGGGCGGTGACTGCTCGTTGGGCAGAATTCCGAAATGTGGGGCGATCGGAATCGCGATGGTCAACTGCCCTGTGAACCTTGATGAAGTCAACCGAGATGTTGAAGTGCGTTGGCAGTTATGACTTTATTGCGCTCCAAGCGTAGATGAAGAACTCCTTGATCATTATTTCTTCGTAAGGGATTTTTTGTTGGTGACTGCCTATACCATTTTGTAGGTTGCAAACCATCTGTATTCAGGTGAAACCAAATGGGATGACATTGACTCTTTGACTCTGGGACCTCGCCAGAAATACTAAAGCAACTCATATTGAAGTCATTCTCTCGCCAAGTAATCCATGGATTGGCAGTGAACCACTACCTAGTAGTAGACAATTAACCACGACTTGAATGCTGCATCAAGGCGAGAACCAGAACATATACGCAGTTGCTCAACCGTCGGCAGATGATTCAGCAATAGACTTGACGCCTGCTAACCATTTCTTGCACGCCGAGAGCTGGTGGCTGGCCGTTGATTCTAGCAGTTTGTTAGCAGCGCTATAGCCGATCCAGGTTCGAGTCATCCCGCCTCAAATCGGCATCCTAGTGGACAGACAAGTCATACCCGTATTTCTATCCTTTTCTCTCCATTTTACATTTATAGACCGGATGCGTTTATATAGGCTTCCGTCCTCCTTCACAACTCAGTCCGCCATAAACCTCCGCCTCTCATTTCACACACTTCAGAAGAAACATAACGGCTTTCCGTCGCAAGCGATACCCCATACTGCCTCGCGAGCATTCCACCGAGTTCCGGCCTCTTTCTCTCTCACTAAGATGACTGTCCCCAACGGCACCAACCCCGGGAAACCGGTCCTATTCTTGTCAGTGACTCTATACGCCATGTTAACACTATGAACAAACATGCTAACGATATTCAAGTGACATTGACAACTGTCTTTACCCAAGGAGTAAGAAGCACACGGCGCAATATGACTCATGACCCAACCAGAGCCTAACTGAGCGACAGGCAGCAAAGTGCAGGATCTCATGGCGGAGCTGATTGACAAGTATTTCTCGGAGCATCTCAGCCTGCCCTGGGATGAGGCTGTCAAGCTGCACAAGGAATACTACACCAACTACGGCCTGGCCATCGAAGGCTTGGTCCGCCACCACCAGATCGACCCTCTGGAGTACAACGCCAAGGTCGACGACGCCCTGCCCTTGGAGGATCTCATCAAGCCCAACCCAGAGCTGCGCCAGCTGCTCGAAGACATTGACAGGAGCAAGGTGACCCTGTGGCTGTTCACGAATGCGTACGTCAACCACGCCAAGAGGGTGGTTCGGCTGCTGGGCATAGACGATCTCTTTGATGGCCTCACCTTCTGTGACTACAGCGAAGTACCGCTGGTCTGCAAGCCTCACGAAAACATGTACAAGAAGGCCATGAAGCAGGCCGGCGTGGAACGAATGGAAGACTGTTATTTTGTTGGTAAGTCTCTCCCTATCATTCGGCGGCTCGACTGAGACACGCTCTTTCGAGAGCCATTTTTCTAACAACCGAGTAAAGATGACAGTTTCGCAAACTGCGCTGCTGCAAAGAAGCTGGGCTGGACGGCAGCGCACCTGGTGGAGGAAGACGTTCCGGCGCCAAAGGTCCAAGCCTCGCAGTATCAGATCCGCCACTTGCGAGAATTGCGAGAGGTCTACCCCCAATTCTTCAAGAGCTCTTGAGGAGGAGTATAGTACACACCGATTACTTGAACATAGACACAGGCGGGGCCAGAGATGGCACACCACTAGAAGAGGAGGAGAGGGCTCCTCCCAGCCACAGAGAGACATATATATAGATACCATGCGAACTGATTGGGTATCCCTTCATGAATCGTATTGCCTTTCAATGAACAAAAAAATCCCCAAATCCATGGTCTTCGTGGTCCCTAACCCGCATCTTCCAACCAAGACAGTTGCATATCCTTAACGCCTCGCTACCTACGCAAAGAAAAGAATGTCGACTACAAGAAAGACTGGATTGTTCATGGCCGCCGGATGTTTCGTATGATGGCGTCAAGCTGGGTCAAGATGAGGTCCTTTTCCCTCAGTGCTTCCACCCGCTGTGCCTCGGCCGTCTTCAAGTCTTCCTCGAGATCTCTGATATGTCGCTCCTGATCTTGTTCGCTGTTGTCGAGTCCGGGAAGGGTGGAAATGAGGACCTCGATCTGCTGCTCCTTCACAATGAGGTCTCGCGACAACTCGACTAGGCCAGCTCGAAAGTCTTGTGGAGGCAGTGCATCCACTGCGAGAAGACAGTCAGCATAGGTTTGCTTGCATTGATTAATCGGACATCTGTAGCCTTCTTCGCGCACCTTCTTTTGCCGCTTGCTCCTTAGGCTCGCGGATTTTGTCGTTCGGGCCAAGTTTCTCGAGATCATGGCGCATCTGGACGAAGTGCATGCAGGCGACGAGCTGCTGAGCGAACTGGACGTGAAATGCCGTCAGCACCAAGGTACAGATTTGGCGGTAGAAAGGCAGTGGATGCAGCACGTGAACCAATCCCATACCTGATCAACAGCATCTTGAAGCTGCGTGAGTCGGTCACCCATCTTTGCTCTGCTTCAAGCAAACAAAAAAGCACCCAATGGCTGCAAGGCTGATGGCAGTGACGCGAAGAGGTGCCGATAAGGCTGTAGCACTTTGGCGGGATGATGTAGCTTGCCGGCAAGGGAAACATTAGCCGGAGATCGGCGAATAAACGATCCGCTCCACCAGTCAGCGGGAAGTGAACACATTGCTATCTGTCCACCTGTCAAGTTAAGCGCAGTGACCTTGTGAGATGCCACCAACTTCCTCACTCGCCTGTCCAACATCTCTCCCAAGGGCCGACATCACTGCAGTTGTGCCTCTTTCAAGCCTGTTTCTATACGGCTTCTTCTAATCTCGAGTCGGATTTTCGCACTTTAACAGTTATTGAGCCGCAACATCGCCCAGCGCATCGCATAAACCATGGCCGCGCCGCCGCCTCAACCGCCTCCAGGCGCAGTGCCCATGGGCATGCCTATGCCGGGACCCGGCTTCATGGGCCAGCAACCAACGCCCGAGCAGATCCAGCAGATCCAGCGCAAGATTGCTGAGGACGCTGCGAAGGCTGGCATGACCGTGCCCGAGTTCATCGAGCACATCAAGCAGCAGCAGATGGCGCGAATGCGCGCGATGCAGCAGGCGGCTGCCCAGCAACAGCAGCAGCAGGGAGGCCACGAGGGCCACAACCATCCTCACCCGCATCCTCACCCGCATCCGCATCAGCAGCAGGGACAGCCGCAGCCCATCACCCCGGGCCCGCCGAACCCCAAGGGCCTCGCCGTCGCCAAGTTCCTGCGCAGCCAGGACTTGAAGACACGTACCTCGATCCTCAACGGCGAGCGCAAAGACATGTTCAAAGGTGGGTGCATCTCTATGCTACTGCCAGACGCTGAAGCGCAGTGATTGAACAAGTGCTGACCGAACCAACAGTCAAGCGTGCTCTGCGAGCGCTCCAGTCTCCGGCATATGAAAAGGCGCGAAAGAAGAACCCTCTGCTGCCGGAAATCACCGATCGAGCCTCCCTGGAGAACACCTTCAAGCTGCTGCCGCTCAGCATGCTTGCGCTCCGAGTCACCAAGATCGAGCCGCAGCCCGGCCCCAATGGCAAGAAGCCGAAGCGTGTCAAGGGCCAGTGGAATGTCAGGATAGAGCAGCAGCAGGAGGCCAAAGAGGACATGTACTATGTATGGCTCTGGGAGGGCAGCCAGGTCAAGCGTCAGCTGTATGCTGCTCTTGCCCTGGTCATCATCTTTGCCGTCGTCCTGTACCCTCTGTGGCCATTGAAGCTTCGCCAGGGAGTTTACTACTTGAGTTGGGGCATGCTGGGCCTTCTCGGTCTCTTCTTTGCCATGGCCATCTTCCGTGTTATTCTCTTCTGCGTCACGTACTTTGCTGTGCCTCCCGGGCTCTGGCTGTACCCCAACCTCTGGGAAGACGTCTCTTTCATGGACAGTTTCCGACCCGTCTGGGCCTGGCACGAGGTGAGTTATCTCTTGTTGCCTTGTTCCGCTCTCTGTCTCGACCTGTGCAGAAGTGCTAACCCGTGCTTTAGACCGAGAAACCCAAGAAGAAGAAGAAGTCCAAGTCTGTTGGAGCCAACTCTACCGTGGCTGCAGCCACTGGCCAGGTTGCGCCAGCTACTGCAACGACTACGGGCACGGAGACACAGATTGACGTGGCGCCTCAACAGCAAAAAGCCTACGAGGCCCCCAAGGTGGAGGAGCTTGCGGACGAATGAAGCGAGGAAAGTGTACTTGTACGAAAATGAGCTGCGCGGGTCGTTTTGAAGTGAAGCATAATGAGAGCCTGAACCATGTACACATATACCTGCTTGTAATGCTTCATGGGAAGTGACGGAAGGAGAGGAAGGCAATGAGGGTTTTCAGTGTTTTTGCGTTGGCAATTAGAATTACTTGATGATGCTCCTAGAGAGCCGGCGTTGTGTATGATTTATGGACAGGGTCTATTTCTTTTCACTCTTTCTCCCACATTGGCACGTCCTCATCCTCATGCTTTATCTATGCGCTCTCGCTGCCAGCCGCACGCTCATAGTACCAGATGGCACCGGGAGCCTTTGCGCAAGACGACACGGAGCCGCCGGCGATGTCAGCACCCACTCTCAGGCCCTGGTTGCGCTGCGCAGCGCCGTAGACGTGGTAGTAATACCAGACCTCGCTCAGCTGGGTGCCGCCGTTGTCGAGGGAGCCCTTGCCGGCCTCGGTCTGATTGTACTTTGGTCCGCTGCAGCCGATGTAGGGGACGGCGCCGTAGCCTCGGGTCAGGGCGTCCTGGACGTCGGAGAGGGAGTAGGAGGTGGTGTTGGAGGGGCGGATGTTGGCGGCGGAGAGCCAGCCCCAGGTCGGGAGGGTCTTGTAGTAGGCGATGACGGTCTCGTAGAAGTTGAAGAGGTCGTCGTACTTGCTGGCCTTGGGGCCCTGTTTACGCTGTCAGAAGTTGATATATATCAAGATAGGGGGGGCAGCTTCTTACGTAGCACTCGGTGTCAAAGGTTGAGAAGCAGGTGGCGTGCTTGGAGAATTCGTGGGCCCAGAGCTCCCAGTTGGGGGCGTACTGGTTGATCCAGTACTTCTTCATGTAGGCCAGCAGATCCAGCTTGCCGTGAGGCTCAAAGAGGGTATCGAGGGAAGGGCCGGTGTACGAAGGGACGGGGGTGCCATCAGGCGTGCCAGTGGTGGTATTGGGGGCAGGCTGGGGGTCATATTGGCGGCTACAAACGGCGCAGTTAATAAGATGCTTTTCCTCATAGCTATAAACAATCAGAGTGAAGGGGACATACCTGAGATCGCAGTATTGAGTGTAGCTTCCATTACAGAAGTCTAATGGGCATTGGTCAGACTGAAGCTGAGGCTTGTATGATGAGAGATCTCGGCTTATAAGGCTACATACCAGGCCACAGACCGTGGATGGTCCAGGTATAAGGTGGGTAGACCTGTCCCTCGCTTTCGAGGCCAGTGTGAGTGCTCCAGAACTGGGTTTGAAGCTGCAAGACCGTGTCAGCACCTCTGTACATGAAATCCTCGTCGCAGACGCCAATTGACGAGACTGGAGTCTTCGTGACACATACCACCAGTCCTCCGTAGGTCTCAGTGCAGCAAGAATCGACTTTTTCGGGAGTAGCGTTCTCGGAGCACGACAAGACGGGGTCGGCTATTGAAAAAGGAGAAATAAGTTAACAATCAATTCAATTGAAACTAAGAGCGCCAGTACTTACACAGAATGCAAGTGTGGTTGTCGGGCGTCATGTTGGGATACAGCCCAGCAGCGGCGAGCTGGGCGCCCGCGAGCACAGCGAAAGCTCTGTGAGACATGGCTCCAGGTGTCGGATTATTATCAATTGGGACGAAGGGGTATGAAATTGATTCCCAGAAACCAGAACTGCGATCTTGATGAACGGACAAAAGCAAGATGAAGAAAAGAACAAAGGGAATGGCGGCTGCATCGAGGTTGCATTCCTGACTTTATAGACGCCATGATGTACGCCCCCCGGCTTATCTTGGCCTGCAGACTCACATGTATGTACTAGTACTACTCACCCACGATCATCCACTTTGTGGCCGGCCATGCAGGAAGCGGGATGCTATACCGAGCGTCGAGTTGCTGGATTAGAGCGCTGGCCCATGCCAAGCGGGAGTAGTACGGCACTCTTGTTCGACATGCCGCTTCTAGCTAAACGGCTCCTCGGTCTTGAGCACGGGTGGTCGAGACCCCTGTCAGACGATAAGTTACAAACGACGACAAATTTCGCCATAATCAACTCCGAGGGAAACACTACTCGGCGCCGGATCGAGCTTTGTGAGTTTAGATTCGAAGTGGTTAGTGCTATGCTGCGAATGATAACTCTCCATCTCACTTCGTTCGTGGCTTGCTACGTTCAACTTTTCTACGTTTACCTTGGATGAGTGTGTGCTGTGGACAAGGATCAGCGAGCGGCGGCGTCCTCCGAAGGTGGGATTTTGGGAACTTTTGAAAGCACTCGAATGCGATTGCCAACAAGTGCAGTTGGTCCGGAGGCGGCTTGAGCATTTGCAGTTGAAGCCCAGAATAGACACAAGTTATGTACAATGTAATATGGTAGGAGTTGAAAGGCAGTCTTCACCTCTGCTCGTTGGCTCATTCATGCATTTACATTCATC